TTTTTTAATTTTATAATAATTTCTTGGTGATATGATTTTTATGATAATTGTGATTTATTAATAGTAAATACTTATGAAAACATTTTGCAGTTATAGGCTGGCAATTTTTACTGGTAATGAATTTATTATAAACTTTTTTAGCAAATTTTTATTGCTTTCAGTAATATGCTTGTTGCATACATTATTTGTTAATTTTATTTCAGTCCTCTTCATAAAATATCAATGTATTTTTGCATGCATTTATGCTATGCATGTTGTTCATTTTACCTTTAAAAGTTTCATTACATGTGTATTATTTAACGATACAGTCGTCCCCACTTAATTGCATATCAGTTAATCAAATGAACAGCATATACGAGTAAAATTTAGTGGAACAAAAATATATAAAGTCAATATTAACTTTTCTTATCTTAGCAATTATTTATGTTTGCCCGCCCTCACTTAGTTGTATAAAGAAGAGAAAAAATATTTTTTATTAGAATGTTTCCCCAGCAGACATATTAGGGTCATTTCAATAGGGACTTCTTATCCATTTCCTGTTCCAAGCAGGTGTCGAGGGTAGTTTAAGTAAGAATAAAATCTTATTAGCAGTTACACAATAAACGATAGAGTTTTTTTCCCATCTTTGACACATATCACTCCCACCATTTAGAATGTGGGAAGGTAAAAAGTAGAGAAATAACCAAATTGATGAAAAAATTTAACATAAATAAAAATGACCCCATCTGATAAAATTGTGTAAAAACAAATTTACCAATTATGAATGATGTAGAACTAAATTTTTTGTTTAAATTTACATTTAATTTTATAGTATAAAAATTGATTTGCTTTTAAAAAAAAGAGAAGAAGTTGGTTTGAGAATCTTTGTTTTTTCTAATTTAACTTTCAACAACTCTAAAATAAATCATTGATAGCATAGTCTTTAGTGCACTCTAATTGCAACATGAGATTTGTCAATCTCTTTCAGAGAATATCAAAAAGAGTTCTCTAAATAAGAGTCACTCACAAATATTTTGAATACATTTTAATCTACTTTTTTGTTTTGCTAATACCTTTTACGTATTTGGTGAGGAGGTTTTCATGGTCTCTCTTAAAGGTTTTTTAAACACCTAAGTGTATGGGAAAAATTCCATGTCTTTCAAAAGTGGTAATAAACAAATTAGGCTGCTAAACAGAAGTGGTATTTCCTGAAGTTTGTTTCACTGTATTAACATTCACAGTTCTAATCATAACTGTCTATTGATCATTAAAATTTCCTAAAAAAATAGCATTTACTTGAACATCCCGCTTATTTGAATACAGTTGTCTGGAACTAATGGTATTCTTTTAAGCAGGGCTGACTGTATAATGAAATGGCATTTTGATAGTTTCCTTAGTTTTGATATTTTTAAATTAAAAACTAATTAAAAAAATACTAATTATGAAGCTATGATTTTATATCATGCATGTTTGTTATTATAATTTTTTTCTCTCTGTAATATTTAAGTATAGATTCATTCTACATTCTTATAATGTGTAAGAAACAAGTTCTTTGTCATGTGATATTTTCTTTTAATCAAAATAAACATTCTGAAATGAAAATCAAAAAGTAGCTTTAAAAATATGACGTTTGTGTTGTAGTTCATTGTTTTTAATGCCACTTACCAAATACCTGGCTCCTGCTTGGTGAAACCAAGTGAATTTAGGTCGAAGAGTTAGTTTCTTATTTTTCAGTGGCGCAATCTATGGCCAACAATCCAATTTCAGCCACACGCACCTCACAGCCCGTTTAAAGGGCAGATATATTCATACATCCACAGAGCGTAAATTTGACCTGAATCAGAGAACGATCAATCTCCAATTCAGTACCCCCAGAGGTATTGATTTGTTATAGAAACATGGACGATTTTGTGCGGGGTATACAGTATACAGGGAATCGTCAGGTCCAATGAGCCAAATATTTTTATAGTTAAATATTAAGAGTTAAATGTTTTAATAGTTAAATACATAATTTTAAATGCGTAATACATTAAAAGTTATGGAAGCAACATATTACGCAATTTTAAACATCAATTACTTGTTCATTAAGTTCATACATTAAGCATTGGACTGACAGGAATAATAATCCTAAGTTTTTATTTTATTAGACTAATTAGAAGGCTTTAAGAACAGTTTAGAGTACTTGGTTTCATAAATTATGCAATGACTTGCATTTCAATATGGCCTTTATCTGTCTGAATATCATAAAACGTATCTTAAATGCTCATATTTTACATTCATTTCATAATGCAGAAAAATCCTTTGGTTAAGTATTACACTATTTGAGTCATTTAACGTCAATTCTTCGGCAAGAAATCATTGCATGTATATACTTAGTCACTATTGGTTAAATTTTCAATATATTCTTTATAAATTTGAGAAATTTCAGTATATTAAATTTTTTTGATTATTTATAAAAGGTATAAATCCGAAATTAAAACTTTAACCCTTTAACTGTTTGCCTCGAGCTGTTTAGGGTTGACCTTGTTGCTTTCCTACACAGCTAGCAGGTTTTCTACATTGTTAAATAAACTGGATATTGGAAACTTTAGATAAATTTGTCCATATAACTCAACAGTTAAAGGGTTAATGTATAATTATGAAATCATTATTACAATATAATAATTAAAGTCAATTATAACAGTAGAACTTAAATTATCCAGATTAATTGGGAATAGATCCATTCCTAATAATTAATTAAAAAAAAGTAGTTGCTTCTATAGGTGGGATTAAACTGGGTATTACTTATGGTTTTATTTATGTACAGGGAGAATATCTTCATACTGGTATCTGATGTTTGTGCCAATTTTAATTGTAAAGGCACCAATGTGCTCTTGTTAAATATATCTAGATGTTTTTCCCAAGATAACTATATATTTTATTTTTCAAACTTACTCCCTTTGATTTTTTTTTAAAGTTTCTTACCGCATTTTGGAACATTTACTAATATGAAAATATTTCTATTGATAGAAGGATCGTTTTGTGGATTCATGTAGACATAATGAATTTAACAGTGTTACGCTAACTGTCACAAAAATTTTTAAGATTAAAAAAAATAAACTGACTTACTGAGAAATGTTTATCATTGATGGCGAAATACCAGCCAGAAAGCATCCTGATCTAAGACTGATGACTATAGTTTTAACTTTATGACCAGGAACACTAGATGCCCCTTTAAAAGTTAGGTATTCTGGCTGTTTCCTTCTTTCTAAATCAGGCCAGTCTAATTTGAGTTATACTTCACTTCAACTTCGTAAGCATTCAATGTTTTTGAAATAATTTTTTTTAATTTCACAGACATTGCAGCTATGCATTTCTCCTTAAGAAAGGCCAAAAACAAATTTTTAATCTTTTGTCAAAGTGATTTGGATAATTTGAGTCTACTGCATAATTTTTTCTTGTAAATAGGTTTTGTTATTTTACTAACATAGCATGTAATATTTTGTTTATTTATTATTTAAACAGATTATACTTATCCTTGATGAGGGAAATATTAACATAGCTTTGCAAAGCAATCTTTATTTCTCTCTCTCCATATCACATTTATCAAATTATTTCTATAAATAACTACCCATTTTTCCGTATTTTCTCTTTTTCAGGCCGATTCTATAGCCAAGGCGGGTTCGACGAGCTCCTTAGTGGAATAATTCTAACCACAAGTCTCTGAAAGGATTGGATAGTACAGGGGGAAACAGTCTGTCAAAGCTTGCCTTTTTTTTCTCATATAGAGCATTTACTTTGTTGCTTACTGCACTTGCTTTTATTTCTTACTGCATGAATTCTTGTTCTTGCTTTTTTTTTTCTTTTTTTAAGTAATTTTTTTTTAAAGAGAAATATTTTATTTTTTTTTATATTAAAAAAAATGCCAGAATAAATTTAATTTTTTCTTGATTACCCTGGGCTTACATCACATTTACCATTTTTTATTTATCAACATGAATACAGAACATAATAAATATTAAAATTTGACTTTTTTTTGGTGAAAGTGAACTGATTGATAATTTTGTACTTCACAGTAATTTCTTACTTTTCTCTCATTTTCCTCAAGTGTTTTATATTCTTATCTAAATTTCAAAATATTGTTATAATATTTTGTAGAAAATTACTGTATATTCTTGTGAGTAACATAAGCTTCAATAGTTGAATTTTATTTAAATTAAAATTTGAGAATTAGGCAGGGTGGTTCAAAAGAGCAGGAAATTTTGAAAGGCAAAAGAAATGCTGTAAAAAATTTTCTGCATGTTTCACATTTTTCATGCGAAACATATTCATTAAGAGCATGTCAGACATTTTTCAAAAATGTGTAACATATACTTAATGAAAAATGGCAAAATGCAAATATGCTATTAATGTAAGTAAAGTAGAGATGAGACCTAAGCAGTTATTTTCTAAAAACTATTTTGACAAAACAATTTAAAGAGGATGTTCCTTCGTAATAAATGATTATTACTTTTATAACAATATTTTTCAACACTTGCTTTTAAAAAAATGATCTCTTGTAAGGATAATAATTACTTTTATAACAATATTTTTAAATACTTGTTTTTAAAAGAATGTTCCCTTTTAATAATAATAATTACTCCTATAACAATATTTTCCATTATTTGTTTTTAATTAAAAAATAGATTGTTTTGGAATTGTTTTTTTTCTTTCCAAAGAGGAAAAAGTATCGAATAGTAAGCAATGGCGATCTTATATTTCTCAGAATAAAACAAAATCCCTTTTCCATTTCATGTATATTAGGAAGAAATTAATAAAAAATACAAAACACTTACAATAAATTAGCGATGTATTACATGAAACGGCCTTCTTTTTCTGAGAATTTATGATCTGTGGTTGTTTTATACTCTGCTAGAAGTTCTACATTTTAAAACCACTATCAAAACTTCCTATTCTTTTAAGCCACTGTTGCCAGCTCAGGGACAAATAATGTGTCAACTTACTTATCCACATTGGCTGACTGATTTCATATGTATTTTTAGGAGTTGGAATACCGAGAGACAAGTCTTTTGCAGCTCATGTGTGATGATTCTTAAACATATCCAAAAATTTGGTATTAGAACAGATTGCTACCTTGATAAATGATGTTGTCAATTTTTCTGTGAGGCATTTCGTTTATCTTTTTGTAAATATACAATTCAAAACGGTATTGTGAACAATGGATATACCTCTATGTAGTATTTAGTGTTTCCTTGTGTAATATATTTTTACTGCATTTAATTCTTTGAAGGGTGAAATTTAGTCTCTCTAATGACCTATGGGCGGGGGATAGTGCCCTATTGCTAGTAAGAGTTCAATATATTTTTTCCCCTTTGTGCTCAAGTTATGTTGTAATGTGATTGCTACTTCAGTTATTCTAAAACAGTGTTTCCCAAAGTGTGGTACGTGTATCCCTAGGCGTACGGGAGCAGTTGAGCGGGGGTACGCGTTCTTATGCAAAATATCCTGCAACAAAAGAAAATTTTAATTTTTTTTAATTTAACACAAAGCTAGCCATGAAAATTTACGATGACATATTTTTCTATTGGTTATTTTTTGCAGAGTTAACAGTTAATAATTAGTGGTGTCTAGAGCCAGTTGTGATTTTTAACTTTCGTGCAGTTTTTTTATAGTAATTTTTTTTTTTATTAGTGGTACTCAGCATTATGAAAAATTTTGGGAAACTCTGTTCTAAACCTTCTTCCTATAATCTTAATTATGTTGTAAAATAAAAAACTTGGTGAGAAAAAAAAATTATTTTTAAAGTAAAAGATCCATACATTTAGTTTTAATAAACACCAAATTGTTATTTTTTTATCCCAAATTGGCTAAAAGGAAACAACATTTATAGGGCAAAATGAATGGTTACCACAAAACATAGCAAATGGCAATTAAAAAATTGTCAGCCAGAGTCCCCCATCAGATTACTACTTTTTTCATCAAAAATGAATATGTCCATATTCATGCTTATTATTTTTTCTAAATAAATATGGAATTATTAATATTTTTAATTTAAAATTACTTCACACTTGTTTCTTAAAATTTTTCATTTTAGAAATAAGCCTTTTAATTAATGCTTGCCATGTTTCGGGAAATGTTTTAAAATAATTGTAGTGCATTATTAATATTAGTAGTTTTTACTAATGAAATAAATAATCCCAAGAAACTGAAGCTCTAAGAATTACTTTATTAAAACTTCATTCGCTTCAAAAACTTACAAATTGAAAAAAGCAGTGAGTTTCAAAAAAGTGCTTGGTATCAAAATTTCCTCATTTTGCTCTATAACACCCATTCGCGACGTTGCTTTGTTGCATCATTAGTCATTAATAACTCTTTTGTAATATAAAGATGTAAGATAGTTCATATATTCATGTATCTACAGAATGATTTTTATAAAAATTTCAGTAGGAATTTTGTTTGTAATACCTCTATTGTTTGATAATTCTTACTCCAGATTACCTAGGCTGTGGAAACTTATGGATAATCTCAAACAGGTTATTTTACAATAGACTAAGTAATATGAGAAAGAAATTGCTTTCATATGCTGTCATAAATAAAAATTAACAAATACATATTTGTGATATAACTTGCACACACACTAGTGTATTATTGAATGATTATGAAATGTCTTATTTAATAATATGTTAGTCAGTATTCTTTTTCCTCTCTTCCAGAGAATTTTTTTTCTTCTTTAATATTAAACTAAACACAGTATTCTGTGAGATTATGAGAATGAATGATTAACTCACTAACTAAGAACTTTTTTTTTGGCCTGAACTTCACAGACCATTTTGTAAGCTGTTATTAGATTGAAAGTAACAATACTAATCTAGAAATAATTAGAAAATGTTAGAACCTGATTAAAATAATATAATTAGAACCTGACTAAAAGCTAATTCTCACAAAATTTAATATAAAAACATTGAAGCTTAAAATCACTATGTATTGTATAGTTAATGATTCTCTTTTACTTTACTTTTTTTACATAATAATGTTAATGTGTGTTAAATTTTAAATGAAATGTTAAATATTTAATATATTATAATGTGCGCATGCTCTGTGATCAATTAAACAATGTCAATTTTAGTATACTTCTGGTCGTTTCTGAGGATAACATTTTGTAGAATGAACTACAGTGTTCTTTGGAAATATCATTTGTTGTTGTTATAACTTTTTAATAAAATCATATTTTTTACATATTTTACGACTATACCTTTTTTTCTGTAACTATCTTAAGCAACTATCTAAATATTTTATTTCTTCTTTCTTTTGTAATGCCCCAAATCACTGTTATTTAAATAAATAATTTGTGAATAATTAGTGGATGTGAATGAATTATTCCATAATCACAGTTGATAATTTCACTTTTTGATGCTTGCTTTATAAAAAAAAAAGTTAACCACTTTTTATCTATAGTTACCAAACACTAGCACTTTTGTATTATACAGCAAATAAAAGTAAAGCTTTTTTTTAAACTATTCTTTGACATTTTTTATTAGTTGTTAAAATCTTTTAACAATATGTTTTAAATAAAAGTAAAATTTAATGGATGAATCGGATATATCATTCTAATTAGAAATTGGTGGCTTCGGAGATTGATAAATTTAGTAAAATTAACTTTTAAGGTACAGTTGATCAGTGTTTTTTTTAAATTTGTTTATAACAAGTTTTTCAAAATTATTGCAATAAAATATACAAAAAATTTACATCAAAAATTTGGGTTAGACAGTTAAGGACGAGTGTTATTAAGGTTGTTCATAATATATTGTTACATCTTGGAAGCTTTCTTTCTTAAGGTAAATCAATGTGGTTCTGACGATTTAAGGGACACTAATATTCAATACTGTTCGAATATGTTCTCTTATTTATGTTTGCAAAATATAACATATGCAGGTTCTTGTGCTAATTAATTTAACTCTATTGTATAATAATATAGATAGACAAGATTTCATTAAAAAATATCTTCTTAATTTTGTACAAGTTAAACTATTTTGATGTAACTTTGTTACAGCACAGGAAGAGATTACATAACAAATATGTAAAATTCTATAAGAAATTAAAGTCTACAATAGAAAGAATCATAAAAAAATGCATATTCTCTTATATATTTCATGAGCCCTTACTAATAAAAACAATTTTCAGGCCATCGATCATCCTTTTACAATTACAGCACCACCTATGAACTAAAATGAACAGGGTGGCCACCCACCTTGAAAACCTGGAAATATCAGGGATTTTTTTTTATACTGGAAATATCAGGGGAATTTGGATAAAAACCTGGAAAAATCAGAATTTTTGAAGAAAGGCTGGAAATTTTTTCTTTGATAATTTTTTTTAATTTCACCAATTTAAATTATTTACTAATTTTCTTAATTTAAATTATTTCATCCATTATACCCACTTTTTTTAAACGGAAATTTATCGCCAAACAGTTGAAATATCGTCAACTTAGCGATACTTTGCTTGCATCAAAATTTGCTCCATTACAGCTCTGTTAAACTAGAATGCCACATAAAACTCTGCCACGGTTTCTAAACGAATGTAGAAACCTTTGACCACTATGGGACTGTGCAATTTAGGAAAGATTCTGGTGGAGGTGGAAAAAGGGATTAGGAAATTAGCTTCTGTTTTTAAATTCTGTCCTTGGGCTGAATCCATTTATGGCTCAAGTTTGTTCCGATGCTTTGGTGGTAATTTTTTTTTTTTATTTTGACAAAATGTTTTTCTTTTTAACTTTATGAAATTCTCCAAAAATTAGTTGGTTATAATTTAATAATAATAGACTTTATATTGCACCATTTTTGTGAAAGCTTTTCTACTCCCATTCAAAGAAATCTATGAATTATTTTTTCTCAGCAAACCAACCACATTTTTTTACAATCGCTAACAGCAATGTTTGTCGACAAATCTTTACAATTGTTGCATTAATGATTTTTGGTTCAAAATTTTGTACCAAAACAATAAAAATTAAACAAAAAATCTTGCCAAATTTTCAAAATAAATTATTTTTTTCAAGATGATATGTTAAAAAAATATTTTGAATAAAATATTTTATAATACCGACACTTTTCTTGTACACATCCTACACTTTATAAGAAAAAAGAAACAAAAACCTGGAAATTTGAAATCTGATTTGAGTGGCCACCCTGAATGAAACAAACTACAGAAATTTGGGTCTTTTTCTTCTTTTTTTTGTTGTTGGAAAATCGAAGTCTTCGATAAAGAATATGGATCCTTATTTAAAGTTGCCTTTTCCTCATGGAGTTGAGTATAGGGGGTTGACTTAATCAGTATTCACTGCATCCTTTGAAGATATTTCACCGATGCATTTTTAGATTTTTGATCTGATGTGTATTTTCAACGAAAATTATCCTTCCATCATTAATTCTATTTGTCTTTTCAATAATTATTTCGATTAAAAAAAGTGATCTTACATGATGGAACTAAGTATTTCTTACCTTCAAATGTCTTTTGTATTAAAAAATTATGAGCATAAGTTATTAGAAATTACTAAGGTAGTAATTAATACACCAGAGTTTGACAGTTTTAAAATTTATTTCTGTACATATTTACAATTTGATAAATACAAATTTCTTGAAGCTTTCGCATTATTGAAGGAAAAGAAATGCTCATGACTGTTAACTGAAGAAATAAACTGATTCCAAAACTTTATCTAGGTTAAATGTACCTGAAAAAAAGTTTATTTCATTCTTAAAGAAAAAGGAAATATTTATGAAATTTGAAAAGAAAAACAAGACTAATTATTATGATGGAGGACCAATAACCATTCAATAATAACATTTGATACATCAATCCAATTTTCACAAATTACTTTCCTACTGTTATGCTAAATAATTAATATGCAAAATAAAAAAGACAGAAACATATATAGCTAAAATAAATTTTCAAGGCCATTAGAAATAAATTACATTTTACATTATAAGAACATTCTTTATAAAATGGTCAGATTAAAGGCATAAAATGTACAAATTTTGCCATATATTCTTTAAGTAATATGCATAATGTTGAATTTAAACATTACAAAAATTTTTTTTATTATTAATAAGCTTTTTTACTAGCATGGATAAAAATTTTTTTATATGTATATATATTAAGTTGATGATAAAATTTAATTTTGACTTCAAGCACTGAAGAATGAAGCACACATTCAAACTGCAAATAGAAAGCTGCTGTTTTAATGTTGATCTGTTATTTATTATCTGACATTTTTAGTACAAGAGCGGTGAATGTTTCAAATTCATTCACCGCTTAATTTTGAAGATACTTTAAATTATAAATAAAATTCTGTTACATGTCTGATAATGGAACAATGATCCTAATTTTATTATCCATTAGGATTTTTAATCTAATTTTAGTGTCTTTATAAGGACTAATTTTAGTAACTTCTTTCTCTACATGATTTTAAGATATGACAATTGTCTTTTATGAAAACTGATAACTATTTAGGACGCCCGTGGCACAGGTCCTGGGTTCGATTCTCGGGCCGGGCAAGGTTGACTCAGCCTTTCATCCCTTCAGTGGGTCGATAAATGAGTACCAAGCATGCTTGGGACATAAACGCTGCGGTTTTCGCGTTTGGCTAACCACCTTACCGGAACATCTGCTCCTGCACCCCGGAGCCCATGGTCACGAAAACTGAGATGGCCACAGTAGGCCTTGGCCATCTATGTGCTGTCGCGTCTCTGAGTTTAGTTAAGTTTAGATAACTATTTAGACACAAAATTTTAAATTAGATAACATTAAATTGTTTAAAAAAACTATGAAAGTTAAACTAATATAGAAAAACTTATGAAATATAAAGAGTAACTTACCTTTCTCAGGTACATTACTTAAAATATCTCTAAGCTGAACTCTTGATTTTTCATGTAATTTACTAGATGATACTTTTCTAAACGAAAAAAATATATAAATAGAACCATGCCTAATTTGTCAAATTATTTAAAATGTATATATAATACTGTGCTGCAAAGACATTGCAGGTAAAGCATTTTTAAAGACCTATTTTTATTTTTTTTTAATATTGTTTTTAAAATGTAAAGACAATTATTTAAACAATATCAACTTGCTTTTAATTTTCAAATTAAGAATAATCAGTTGATTGGCACTTAACTGTTGGCAAAACATAAACGTGGGCTCAATCAATGGATTGTTGTTTGTCTGAATGTATAGGTTGACTGAAAATTTATTCAATTCAGTCAAATTTTTAATGTGCATTGCCACGTGTGATTCGACACAAGTCTTTGTACTTTAAAATCTAAAAATGAAGCCTCCTGGTGAAGGCATAAGTACTCCTCTTAACCTGAAAAGTTAAATTTTTTTTTTACTAGAGAAAATTTACTCATTGGTATTTTTCCTAATTAACAAACGATGTATGTAGTTTACAATCGCTAAAAAAAAAGCCATCAAGATTTTCCTGTCATCCCCTTTAGCTATAGTTTGTTATGTCCAAGCTTAATTGCATGACATAAATATGAAGGAATGCATACTATTAATCCTTAAATACTTTAAAAAAACACGGTTCACATATGGGCCATCCTTATTTTAAATCATACACATGTTTTAACAAATTTTGCTTACAAAGAGTTGAATAAATAATTTCTAACAGTTTTAAAAAAATTGCTAAAATTTCATGCACCACAGAATTAACATAACAAATAAAGAGATAAAATGAAACATTACTGAGAAGTCAAAAACACTGGGAATTTGATTACTATAATTTTTTTTTTTTTTTACAACATTTGAATTACGATGAAAGCTAGGGGAGTTTGGGGTAAATGATTGCGTGTTTAATTTGAAGTATTATTTTTTGTATTCTTGAATAGAGCTTGCAATTTATTTCTCTATTTTAAGAACACAAAAACAGGGTACGTAGCGTTTGTAAAAAGTACTTAAAGGTGCTTTTTTGGGGATTTCGTTTTTAAAAGCTTTTAAAGGTGCTTTTTTCAGCTGGTGTTTTTAAAAAGTGCTTTTTTTCCACAAGTAATTTTTTTTTCGTCAGTGATATCTGGTGTATCTCATACATTCCACGAAAAATGGGGTGTCTGCTACCTAATCATTCACGCGGACTTCGTGTCCTATGTCGTACCCACGACATAGGACATGACTATTGTCAACATGGGACTATTGTCGATGTCGTACCCACGTTATGGCTTGCGCATGCGCGCACACTTAAAACCGAAACCCGAGTGCTCCAATTCGTATAGAGAAGATCAGATCCTTATGAAATGTTTTTCTTTTTAATTTAATTTAATTTTATTCTTGTTTATTTTATTTTACTTCTAACTCTTTTTTGACGNTAAATTTTCACAAGATAGGTACCTCTTAAAAAAACCCAGACAGATCAATGATTTTGCTCTTTCATAAACGACACACCTTTCCAAGAAAACAAATATTATTATCATTTCAAAAAAAGACTTTCTGATATTTTTCACTAGAGTTACATTATTTTTAATTTAACTTTTGTAACTTAGTGATAATAGTGCTTGAAAAGTTTTTAAAAAGTGCTTATTTTTGATTCAAAGATTTGGCTACGCACCCTGAAAAAAAGAGAAAAATAAAATCTATCTATACTTTGTAAGAATGAAATAGATCTAATTGAGATGCTTAGAATAATCCTAGAGTAAACTTATTAGCTAGATCACTACAAGAGTATATTTTAAAGCAAATATGTTTTACCAATCGCTAAAATGCAATGTGTGATTCTTTTTATATTTAATTTCAAAATAGCAGTATAAAATCTTTAAATCAAACATTTTACTTACTGATCAACAACCCTTGCATATTTACTAAGAAAAAACGCTGAGAGGTGTTCTAAAATAGGTTCCTTGTGCAGTGACACAAACTGCTCTCTGCAAATCTGAAAGAAAGAATATAAAATTTCTAAAAATGATTTAAACAATGTTTATTTTCATTTTAAATCAGAACTATTGTAAACTTAATAAAAATTAGACAAGTATAAACAATGTTTTTGCTGTGAAATTCTTAAAATCTTGGATTAAAATATACCTTGTTCATAATTTCAACTGTTGAAGAATGAGTCCAGTAACAGTCATGAACAGAAACAAATGTAATACCCTTTCTAAAAGGACAAAAATCATAATTACTTGAGGTATTAAAATAGGCAAACAATTATAATTTTTAAACATAAGTTACCTCTCACCTTTGACAAAACAATGACGTCAACATCATATGAGTAGAATCGAGTGAATGTATAAAATTTGGAGCAAATGCATTCTTTTGTTTTCTAATATTAGGCAATCTAAAATTTGAAAAAGTGTCAAAATTGTAAATGATGATAACAGATGAATGATTCTGCAAAATATTGAATTCTAAATGAACTTAAGGAATAGATAGCATTTACTTATTCATTTATAAAATTATCCTTAAATTAGGAAAATAATATCTTACATTTTAGCATAAACTAATTATATGAGCTTGCTATTCACTCTTTGCAATTGTATGAGTCAACTCATCGGCTTAAAATTTTTTACCATTTCTGTTATGTCTGTTATTAGCCACCATAGCAAAGAACCATCTGAATAGTATTGTACAATACTGTTCACCTGTGTCTATAGGTTTTAGGAAATACATAAAATTTAAAATAATATTTTCCAAATTAAGAAAAAGTGTAAAAGCGTTTTTTCTCCTTAAAAAATAACCACTTTTACAACATTATCCCACATATTTAGTATGTTTGAACATAAAAAAATTATTCAAATGCATGAAATAAACTTCAGAAAAAAATGAAATTTGTTAGCATGAAAGCTAAGTAAGACATCAAATTAAGAATGAATTTGAAAGAAAAAAAAAGTTTATGTTTTTTTCATGAGAAGTATTTTATGTATATTATGTATTATTTGGATAAAAAATATTTTCCGAATTTTTTTTAACATCTTTCCTAATGATTAGTCTGTAAAATCAGAAGTATATTGTATGTAGAATCAAAGAACTCAAACACAGCATAAAAATTTTGTCAAATAGTAATAAGTACAAAAAATTAGTCATTCCGGAGAAAATCATCATTAAATTAGAATGTTTTGTTTGTTATTATTTGTTTGGCTTACTTACTGAGTTAACCTCTAATGAGCCAATATATTTGTTATAATATTCTGGATGATTCCTTTCAGTCAACATAATTATGATAAGCACACTGTTGATGCCAATATTTTTCAAGAAAACAACAAACTTTATCAGGTTCAAAAAATTGGCAACTAGTTTTACAACTACTCACACACTCTATTACATTTCGATAGAACCCCATAGAAAATATGGGAGGTATGTTGAAACTGCAGGTAAAATGTTACAGTATAAATCCCTGTTAAGTTGGTAAATTTGAGTGGTTAAATCCTCAGTTAGTAGCTACAATTGTATGTGAGGTACAGGTAAAACCTTGTGAACTGATACCAAGTGGTTAAGTCAATAAGTTCTTTTTTTTCCACAGCACTACATGATGTTCTTCATAAATTCTCAAAGGCTAACTAATTTTTTGTCCAGTGTGTTTTTGCATGATTTTATACTTAAGACTTAAAAGACAGTTTCAAGGATTTTTTTAAAAATTAATGAGAAAAAAATGTGGCCATAAAATCGAAAACAATTTAAGCTATAATAAATCCTTTTAAATGTATACAGAAAACATTGACTTACTGATAAGGTTCAAATTTGCTATTGTAGCTTGATTGTGGTTCTTTAATCTAAAAAATTAAAAATTGTGAGAATTGAAATTTTTTCGTTAAAAAAAATATTTACATTAATTTATAGTTGTGTTTATAAATAAATTAGTAAAAGTTTCAGACCTGAGTCATGTAGTGTGAGGTACTTTTTACCGATACTTCTTTGTGGTAAGGCTGAATGACTGGTAAACCTACAGGAGTAACCCATTCTAAAGTGTCACCAGATATCCTGGTTATTTGCTCTGCACACTCAGTAAACCAATCCTAAAATGATAATTATTTGACTGTTAGTGTCTGTATATTTTCTTTTACAGTAAGTCAAAATAAAAATAATTTTTCAAAAATATAAAATTTTTAAAAAAATATATTATGAAACTGAAAAGAAGACATACTTTCAAAATTAAATATTTATTTAAAAAAAAAAGAGAAACTCAGAAATACAAATTGAAATAGTTGAAAGCATAAACAAGTATTAGTTTTACTATCAAAGCTGCATTTTGGTGACCAAGTCGGCAGGATGTCACTTAAACCTCTGGTTGAAAGCTGTTTAGAAATTTTACTCGGAAATTCAACAAAATATTTGGTATGCATATGCATTAAGTTGTATGTTATAAGAATCTTTCAAATATATCTAAGCCAAAAAATACTTTTACGAAAACCTGTTTTATTTTTTTATAATGTATGATTTTATTTGCATTCTTACAACTCAAAAGTTAATTTTTATGTTCTACTGCAAATCCCCCCCCCCATATAGATCTTATCTCCCCAAATAGAAAAGTCGGTAGGAAGTTACTTAAACCTCTGGTTGAAAGCTAAAGTTTTGAAATTTTACTCTGAAATTCAACAAAATATTTGGTACGCATGTGCAATAAATTGTATGTTATAAGAATCTTTCAAATATATCTAAGGTAAAAAATTTACAAAAACCTGTTTTATTTTTTTATAATGTATGATTTTATTTGCATTCTTACAACTCAAAAGTTAATTTTTATGTTCTANAAAATATATTGAAAACATAAGACATATCTAAGCCAAAAAATACTTTTACAAAAACCTGTTTTATTTTTTTATAATGTATGATGATTTTATTTGCATTCTTACAACTCAAAAGTTGATTTTTATGTTCTACTACAAATCCCCCCCAAATAGATCTTCCCATAATTTTTTTTTTTAAAAAAAGTTAAATATTTAGACTTATCCACCACTAAAAATATTGTTAAGCTATTTCACTACTAAAGAATTAATCATTCTCCTAACACCTTCCCTTATCTTTGAGAAAATGATACTGCTCTTGTCAAATATTTCAGACAGCAGCATCTTTTGATTTGAATGACACCAGTTATCAGACCCGACAAATTCTGCTTTCAATCAATTTGGCCCCTGTTCTTAAGATAGCTGAGTTAATAAAAAAAATAATAACAGAAATCTAGTTATGGTAGTTGATTTATACGGTGGAGTCATTCATATAAATTAAACATTTATTTAGCCTCTTGACAAATGATCCATTGTAAATTCAATAACTCTCTAGGACCTGCTGCCTCGGAAGATTTTCTTTTTCTATGCATGAGAGTTTAAACTTCAAAAATGTATTGTTACATTTCCTATCAAGCAATGGGGAGGAAAGAAAAAGAAAAATTGAACTGTTACAAGTTTCTTTGTGGATAATTGTGGTCTGGAAAAAGGTAAAATTCTCAACTATTTTAATACACCACATAGAAATTTCCTTGCAAATGCCATAGGTGCCACAAATTCTGATCATCACCTTTCCAAATCAAAAAAATAATAACTAAACTCAGCGGCGCGACAGCCCAAGAGGGTCAAGGCCTACTGTGCCCATTTCAGTTTTCTTGACCTTGGGCTCTGGGGTGCAGGAGCAGATGTTCCGGTCAGGTGGTCAGCCAAACGCGGAACCCCCAGTGTTTAGTTCCCAAGCATGCTTGGTACTCATTTATCGACCCACTGAAGGGATGAAAGGCTGAGTCAACCTTGCCCGACCCAAGGATTGAACCAGGGACCTGTGGCACGACAGTGCGAAGCGCTACCGCTCAGCCACCGGGCGTCAAAAAAATAATAATGATAATAATTTGCGTGACTGGAAAAAGTGTTATGAATGATTTAAATATTGAATGTCAAAAGAATGATTTAAATATGGACAAAATAGTTTCAAATAATTACATTGAGAATGAAAATGAAGAAACTGATACTCAATTGGTGTTTTCATAAAAGAACCAAAAGTTAAAACTTGAAGTGATTGCATTGAGGGAATAAGACATTTTTATATATCTAAAAATTGTGGAATAACTTGCTAAATGATTTTAAAATGTACCATCAAAATATAAGGCTTAAAACAAACGTCTATCACACCTTTCTTTTTACACTGTATTACACTTTTGTTAAGTTTAAATAAATATCAATTTAAATGGTTGTTATAGTTTATTTAATTGTTTCTATATCATCATAATTGTTCTAAAAATATTTTTTTTCTGTCCCAAGAGTGTCCATTTATCCGAGGTTTCACTGTATAGATATGTATTGAGGGCAAAAAGAATGTCGGGTAATAATTTGAAATAGAATAGCAATTAAATAGAATAGTAAAAAAAAAGAATACTATTTTGTACATCGATTAGTAAAAAGAGCACTGCTATAAGTAATTATTCATAAATATACCTGAATTTGCTTAGTAGCAGTAAACATTTCCCTGATACTAAAGAATGTTTTCTTCATCAAATAAATGGCAGCTTCATGGTAATATTTCTCAGGAAACTCTGGTATATCTTTGAGTTGTTTTAAAATCTGCAATTTGGCTCCATAGGGTGTAACGCCATATACAAAAGTCATAACAGTTTGTTTCACAACCTGCAATTTAGACTTGATAAAAGACTGAACAGTAACAAGCAAAAGTTTGTAAAAAAAAAAAAAAAAGAACAAAAACTTATCACTTTCAAATAATAAAGGGATAACTATATTGAAGATATTTAAGTCTATCTAACAACTTTTAAAAATTACATTAACTGTATAAGCATTAGCCATACCTTAAAATGTCCTTTATTTCTCCTGCCAATGAACTAGTTTTTTCTTTTTTATTTATTGAGACACTTGTGAATGAAGGAAAATTTTTTTTATAGGACTTGGCCCAAATGCAAAATGATCAATTAATTATAGCTTATTTGACAGAATAACACCCTAGTACAAGTCAAAGCCATCACTATATGGTGCTATTTGAGGAAAGGTTTTCAATCTGTCAATGCACATGATTTTAAGATCTTTTTCTATAGAGTCAATCCACCTCATATTAGTCATAACATACCATCAACATACTTTTTAAAGTATACAAGTAAATTAACCAAAAGTTCTGTTAAAAATCATTATTAACTGGGTTAGCAATATCTTCTTTATAAATTTGGTTTAAACATTTTACTCTATAAGATTTAATAATTGCAATGATGTTTGGTTGATTAAATTTTCTGCACAATTCATGATTGTATCGAATCTGTTAAACATCATTTATTTTCATAGCACCGAAGATAGCTCAAAGTACTTTATTTCCTTAAAAATCAGCAATTTATCGTCATCAGATGTATTTCAAGGCATGCATCCACTGCCCTAGTGTAATACAGGTATTATTAATATAATATATATTACTTTGTGTTTCATAAAGGTATGCAATTATTATATAGCTGCAATTATTAACATAGAGCTATTTTTTTATGATACATGCAAGGATATAAAAAAAAGTCAAAAAGTATCAATGAATTACTTTTCTTTTTACAAATCCTTCTAGCTGTTTAGCTACTTCTAAACCTTCTTTTGCTTCCCGAGCTCTTTCTTTCTCAACCTACAAAATTTATTTGCATTAAAGAAAAAAAATATTTGAGAATACAATGTAAAAATCTACTATATAGATCAGGGGTTTCCAACTTACATGTGAAAGGGGGCCGCAATTAAAAACACCAGTCATATGGCGGGCCGCAACTTTATCAAAATTTTATACAGGACTCTTATACTTGAAGGAACATTAAATTTTACCGCAGATTTTCATCAAAGTTTTTTTAATATTAAAAATCAAAATAACAAGCATTACCAATAATGCTTGTTACGCATAATTTTTAATCTTCTCTTAATCAAAAACTTAGTGACAAGATTTTTTTTTCTTTTAGATTTAATTCTGTTATAAATTAATATTTTTTTGACTTTTTAGGAATTATAGCAACAAAAAAACTCTCGAGCATCTGAAATTAATTATTTTTTTCTTTTCCGCTCATGCAATTTTCAATTCAAGAAATTTAAATAAAACATAATATTCATCCTCTCTTCTATGCGTTTTAAAATTTACAAATGTAAATAATTTCGTCTAAAATGAGTGGTTTCAAAAAGTTAAATGGGAGAATTTCTTAGAGAAAATTTCTGATACGCAAATGCTAAATTATATTCAAAAAATACAAAAAAATGAAATAAAAAAGAGCAACATACATGATTATTTTTGTATTTGAGTAAATATTTTCTTGGATGCAAAACCTGAGAAAGATATTTCTTTGCACCGTTGGTATCTTAAATTTCACAGAAATGAAGAAATTAGGTTTCTTAACCCACTGGCGGTTAAGGAAATAGGCAAAATTGAGAGAATGTTTCTCCCCTTCACACAGTTCCCCTATCAGTTAACAAGGGAAAACCGGTTTTGCTATGCAGAGAAGACTGCAGGTTAAAATGCGACTTTTTACGTGCAGAACCGTCAGTGGGTTAAAGCGAAAGAAAAGTATATTAAACCCATATACATTTCTTACGAAAATTGTTCTAAGAAAACGACTACTACTATATTTTAGTTGCCGGCCACAAAAGAAGTCTTCGCAGGCCGGATGTGGCCTGCGAGTTGGTAACCACTGATATAGATAGATGTAAATAAAGTATACCAGTGCAGCAACTCCACTATAAACATCTTGTGGTGCTGTAGACGGGTGTAAATTAACTTCAATTGCCCCCAATTCATCTCTCCCTAAAGCAGCATAATGTTGTAAGCCATTACAAGAACCGTCTTGATGAATAGGAAAATGTGATACATATTCTGCAGGGTTCGGATGCCTTATTGCATTTGCAATTTCTTTGCAGCAAGCAAGCGTTTGCCATGGTTTGTCTGATGTTTTCCACCATTGCCTACCCTACAATGCATTAATAAAAATGAAGAACAAGTAATAAAAAATATATTGAAAACATAAGACATTGGGTGAAATATTGATAATATCGATTAAACTATACAGTTATTCAAGACCAGGATCAAGAAGTAATTTAGCGAGATTATAACTTATTTTAAGTATTGTACTTAAAAATAAAGGTATTTGTTGACAACTAATTAATTTTTCCATTTCAATAAGGAAGTTGTGGACAAACAAATGCATGCTTCAGACATTTTGTTTTCGGCATTAATATCTATAATGAGTCTATTCACACTACTTATAGTGATGACAGCAGCTATTTGAAAGTTATGAGGGTGGTTACCGACTTTAGTGGGCATCCTGAATATGGAAAATATTTAGAACAAGACATTCTAAAACTAGTCTATTTTTCAAAAATAAAAAAAATACAGCCTTAACGAAATATGAAAATACTCTTTAAAAAATATATAAAAATATTTATTTTTTAAGAGTTTTTAAATTGCAATCAAAATAAAAAATACTCTTAACTGAATGTGAAAATTATTTAAAACAAAACATTTTGAAGGAAACATATTTTTCAATACAAAAAAATGCAATTTTTTAAGCCAAAGTTTCATCACTTCATACTTTTACAGATTTTCAATACATCACTTTAATATCATGCTGGATTTACTTAAACAGACTTATTGCAGTGGTCAAAAATTATAATAGGTATTTCGGTGAAAGATATTTAAGTCTGGTATCACACTTGAATCAATGCAAAAGGGGTGTAGTATCCAGTAAACACATTTATTTAGTTTACACTATTTTTACTGTATTACAGTACTTTTTTTACCAGCTTAACATTATTGATTTGGTCATCTTAATTTCAATCTCAAGTGATCCAAATAATATCTTGTTCTATTCAACATTACTCTTTTTCTAAACTAAGTCATCAAATATTACTATTAAGTTATATTTTTAAATAGTAATTTAAAAATTCATAATATAATGTAATAAATACAAAAAATCTATTCAATAATTATTGAAGAACCATCAAAAATTGCATGAAAATTTTTGAATTTTGCTCATGAATGACATAAATTAATATGTTTGGTAGTGTATTATAAACTTTCTTCGATTATACAAATCACATTTGTAAGTACAAGTATATACTAAAATTATAGGAATAAACTCAGAATTTAAAACAGTAATAAACAACAAAAAGTGTTATTTTCTTCAATAATGGCATTTGCTTGTAAAAAATTAATGAATAAAACATTTTTTTCTTAAGATAATTGAAAGATAAGCTTTGCAATAATCCAATAGTTAAAAAATATTAAAAGAAGTAACATGTATAAAATGTTCTTAACTAAAAAGAGACACAGTTATTTAAAAACAGAAAGTTTTTTAGCAGTAGAGTTTTGTAGCGTCACTCTAGAGCGAAAGTTTTGAGCAATGGATGAACCAAAGGTGTAGAATAATATCTTTGGATAGAAACTGTTGTTAAATAGAACCTCATTAAAAAGAGAATCATAAATAAAATAAAATTAAATAGTATTTACTGACTACAAGTATGAATTTGTTGTGGTTAATACATTTTATGTTTAACTTTGATTGTAAATTACTTTGATTGTTTAAATAAATAAAATTATAAATTAAAAAGCTTTCATGTAAAAAAAAAGTTTTGTCACATAAGAGGAATAACTAATATTTTGCGAATTTTTTATACTAAAGAATACATTAAAGATTATTAATTTCAAGCACCTCAAAAGGATGATCAGCTGAATCAAGTATTTCTGGCATGACTACATCAGCATACTTCAGACGTTCTTCATTAGGCTCTCTAAAAAAAAAACAACAATTTTCTAACTAAACAAAACAAAAAATATCAAATTTAACTAAAATTTGATAAATATGAAAAAGAAATTTAAGAAAATCATATAAGTTCCCTCAAATATGTGTTTGTAGAATTTGAAAAGAAATTAGTAGTTATTTTAATTATTTTTCCGTATTAACCCCTTGCAGCAGAATTTTCATCGAACATATTTTTAACATTTTAATAATTTATGGTTATGTAACACAGCCTGAAACACTGCTGCATTTTTCTTTATTAAATGTTAAATCTTCCACACCTAACCTACTTCCAAACAAGAATTTTTAAAATTCATATTTATTTAAATCTAACAGACACATTTCTTGACTATTGAAATTTCTCTAATTTACAAACATAATTCCGATAATTAAACAGATTTTTTTAGTAATTTTTAGACTACTTTTTATAATTAAAAAATACCAAAATATATTTTGCTTGTAATAAGAGCATCAGAAAAAAATATATAAAAGGGACACCGCTGTCCCACTTGCATCAAAGAGTTAATAAACTAATGATTTCATAGCTGCCAATACAAGAAGAAAAAAATTATTAGAGATTACAAAAGAAGATATTTTTAGCATGCTATTATGCAATATATGAATTGTTCCACTCGTAAGTAATTTTAGGAATTTTAATGAATAACAAAAGAAAAAAAGAGATACAAAAAAAGTATTAACAATAATATAGTTTCTGCATGACATTACATGTTGAATGAAAAAACTTTTTAACAAGTTATGCTTAATATATTCTAAAACTACAATTTTCATTTGTGAAAGAAATAAAATTAATTTTAAAAGGTGTAACATACTTTAAATAACATGAATAAGTTTTTTAAAAAATTTTCAAAACAGTTTTAAAATTTTTTTAAAACTTTTTTCAAAATAGATAAAAATAAAATATTCTGGAGTTTTTAAAAAAAATGTATCGATTTGATTATTTTAAATGAAATCAAACATCTTAAATTTTATTTTATGTTTGAGTCTTACTTTTTTATTTAGTAATACAATAAAAGGCTGTTATAAGAGTAATTCCTCAAGGAAGATAGAATCATCGTTATACTGATCTTGACGTAATATGTAAATACACATATTTAATGTTAAAAGAGCAATAAAATGACTCACGTGCAATAGCTTTGACGTCACTCATAACAATGTATGTTGATTTCATGCAATTAAAAAGGAAAATATGGGTGCATAGTAGACAAGTGTGTAATGTAATTTTTTTTTAAATGTGCAGTGTACATCATATAGAATAACTACTATATAATAAATAGTAAATAATCTATTCTTAAATTATGTATATTAGTAGAAAACGAACATCATGTTTGAATTTAAATCATGACAGAAATAAGAGCATAGTAAATTTTGGTAGCTGTGTCAATATATCTGTATAAGAATAAAGCATGGGCTGTCGAACCTTTTTGACCATCAACCTCCAAAAATTTCATAATTTTCTTATCAACCCCCTCTATAAAAAACAAGCCTGTTTCTTAAATTATTTGTTTAGACAAAATCAAATTTTTACATAAATCAATGAAAAGAAAATGCTTGATGACATTTGGATAGACTAGCAATGTTTGGTTTGAACTTTGTTAGTTTCAGTCTGAAATCACCTCAAAGTTTCACATTCAATTTATTTCTGCTTTGTTGAAATAGAATTATCATGACTGCAGCTATATTTAACCATATATGAGCTTGGGAATGCAATTATAAAAGGCAAATGTCGCATTACAAAGTTTTGGGTATTTTTGCGTAACATTTATATTGGTTCAAAATGCACTCAGTTACATAATTAAAAAGCATATTTGCTTTAATGTCAACTAGTAATTCAATGATGTCATTTTGTAAATGACGGTCAATATTTTCAACTTCAGCAGAAAGTGGTTAGATAATCCATTAACAATTCGGGTTATTCCCATTTTCAATGACTCTAAAAAATATAGTTTAAAATCCTCATTTAATTTTAAAAATCTTTACAATTGAACAGCATTGGTGTTCATTCATCAACTCTAAAATCAGATAGACACCCCAAGAGTCGATATCAACAACTTTGGCAACCCCTGTTAAAAATATTTATTGGAAAGAAAAATTTGCTTTGAAATATAGTGCAAATTTTAATTAATAGTAATTTTTTCATACTTGTCATAATTAATGATAAATTTTATAATCTATGCCAATTTATTTTCCAAGTTTAACTTCTTTTTTATCTCATTTATAATTTGCAAAATTTCTTTAAGCCTTATTTACCTTTATAAGCAGTTACATACTACAAGATTATTTTTTTAAACTAATGATGAAATTAAACATGAAGAAATATTAATACCTTTTCTTAAATCCTGTGAGATTAATGAGATGAATTTTCAACCAGTCCAAACCCTTTTCCCCTAAAGGTTGTCCATCAGCAAAGAGTAGAATGCTTCTAGCCATATCATTTCCTATGTAATAATTTATACTTTTATTATGAGTCTGAAATTTTAAATAAGAAACTACAACAACTATCTTTTTCTTCTTACAGAAATCACACATTATATTTTACGTCATGACAACTACAAATTGATTGTTTGGTAGCTATTTTATCTGTAATGGTCGCCGCTAATCTAGTTTCATTCCTTAGTGCCTAAACACAGAACGACAGAAGAAAACAAAAAAACATCAAAAAAATTTTTTTTTTCGAAACTGAGAAAGGTTTTTGTATACAGAACTGAATAAATAACCAGTCTGTTACTGAATAAATAACCAGTCTGTTTTTGCACTTTAAAAAAGTTGTCAAACTTTATTTGTGTGTAGCACGAAGTATATTCTATCCTCATTTGGATTTAAACCGACTAAAACAGCATAGAAAATATCAATTTTTAAAAATTAAAATAAAGTTCATAGCAATGGAAACTTAACAAAAAATTATTTTGCACGGAACTTTTAATGCAATCTTATTAAATAAAAAAATCAAACGAAACTCTTGCTTACCCAAATGATTAAAGTGAGGGGGTGTTGGATACACTCGACCTCGGAAATCTAAGTTGTGAGGGAACCAAAAAACTGTTTCTCGAAACTATAAAGATTGAAAAAGTAAGAGTTTAAGCCTACAGAAAGTCATTAATGTAATTTATTCAAAACACATAATAAGTCTGTATTGTTACATTTTGAAAGAGAGCTACAAAACATATACAGGGAAACTTCTAAAAGCAGTCACTGACCATTTTTTATTTTTTAAATAACAGCAATTTTGAGATAGCTGCCGAATAGGAGTAGCAACTGTTGATAATTTTTAAAATAAAATCAGATATCTTCTTATTTATAAACTCTATTCACATCATCAACCATCATTCATGTATATTTAATTGACATTTAAATAATACTAATAAATTAATATGATAGAAGTACCAGAAAGAATAACATGCATGAAGAATAACAATTTTGTATGATTGATATACAGGCAAGTGATAGTGTTCACTTTTTTAAAAAGGAAAAAAAATTTAAAATGTATAATTGCATTATAAAAACTAACAAATTGCTATAAATACATACATGGTTAGCAATGCTCAGTTTGTAGAGACAGTCATACCAAAGGCTTGTCATTTCACATTTCTTTTTCTTCAGTTCTTGTTTTTGTCTACGAATAACAGCCTTTTCCTTCTTAGTCATAGACCTTTGAAATACATTTCGGATTCTTTGAATATATTATTTTAAAGAGCATTCAAATCAGGAAAAATTCAAATGTAAAGTGCGCAAATAAAAAATGGAACACCATGAATGACTTTTGGTCTAATTAACATTCATGGAAGCAAAACTTAATCTAAATGAGATGAGGGCCCAACCTTAATGTGTTAATTAGTGCAGATGATACTTTAAGTTACAAAGCAAGGAAAACTTTCCCAGATTAAGCATTTTTATTTGACATATTCGGATTCTAAACTCTCAAAATATGGGAGGTATCCGCAATCTGGTAAATATTGTCTCAATTGTTCATGCAGGGAGCAATAAAAATTTTAAACTGGTTAATTTCCTTTTTTTGTGAATTTTGCAGTATTTCATTGAATTTTATAAACTTTTTTGCACACAATTAAAAAATTTCTTTTTTTTTTGCAAAAAATTCTAAAAATTATTAATTATTTTTCATTGTTTTAATTAATAATAATCAAAGAATTTAGAATTGTAAGTTATTTAAAAGAATGTAATTTTAAATGGCAAAGTAAGAAATGCGAGCACAATCAACTTTTTAAAAATTAGATAACTAAGTATTAGTTTTTATGAAAGAAAATCAAAAGACAAAGTTGTCTCAGGCTTTAACATTAGGATATAATGTTAAAGCTTAAAAGAAAAGGAATTTAGGCTTAAAATTGTCCTTAATTTTTTAAAAATACATTAAGAAATTTACTAAATAAAATATACAAAATAAGAGCAAAAAAAAAAAAAAAAAAAAATCAGAGAGAAAGGTCACCTCTTTTTGAGAGAACGAGAAGAATATTATTATAATTTTAACTATTATTTCATGTGGTCTGAAACATTTTATTTAGATGAAAAAAAGATCTAGATTACCTTGACAAGGTCAAAAGAAATTCTTATTTATATAATTGTTAGTTATACTAGCTATGAAAAAAACTCATATAACTTCACATTAAAATTTATTAGCATGTGTAGAATGATGAATAGTGCTTTTAATTTATAACAAGTAGAAAGTTGAAGAAAATTTTTGACGAATGATGTGCTGATTAGTTAACAAACTTATTTGTTACCATAGACAAATCTACTTAGCAGTCAAGTTTTATTTTAGCAACTAAGAAAACTCCTTTGATTTAACAAGCTTATCAATTATATATACCTTGTATAAAAACTATAAAGTTCAAAAAATATTTATTTTATTTTTTTTCACACTTTTATGTCCATTCAATGAACAAACAATTTATAATTGATTTCAGAGTAAAAAAAAAAAAAAAAAAAAAAAAAAAAAAAAAAAAAAAAAAAAAAAAAAANAAAAAAAAAAACGCTTTAATAATTCACACAAAATAAACTAACTCAAACATTGTACATTCAAACTACTAGTTACAAAAGCCATATCTCCCTCTCATCTAAGAAACTGATCCCTATTTAAGAAATCAGAACAAACGACCCAGAAAAAATTGTCTTGACATGTAAAAAAGCAGTAGAAATTTCATTGCCCAGTGTACCAATTTTTATGTCAAAGATTTGATTTAGAACATTTTCCTCCTTTTGTAATTCCAATTTTTTTTGTACTCTTACAGACGGGAAACTATCAGTCTATTACCCTCCCTAAGTGTAGAAGGACCACCTTACTTGAAAAGATTGTGATTACCTCTGAACTATTTTCTTGTCATTTTGCTATTGATTCCCTTCCCTAAATATCTAATCAATTTCACATGTTTAATTTAAGGTTTCAGGAAAGTATAAAATTCTGTTAAATAAAAATAATAAATTAAAAATGAAAAAAATTCAAACTTTAAGCAATTTTTGAGCAAATCAAAACATATTAAGAAATCTGCGGATTTTAGAGAAAAAGAGGACAATTTCGCGGAAATCAGTGCGGAAATTCGAGCCGTGACAGACCTGCACCCCTAATTATTATGTATGTATACTATGAAGTATATATATCATGAAGAAATGCATATATGATGGTATTTTGTTACCATGGCTATTAAAATACCAAGCTCTAAAAATGGGGTTATGTGTATAATTCAGTACATAACTCCTGGGTGGGTGGTGGTGATGATATTTTGATTGGTTATTTATAAAATATTAATTAACCTGAACATTAGCTGGATAATGTGTGTGTATTTCAGTTATGTAAACTTGAAAATGAAAATATCTTTTCTAGAAAATTAATAATAAAAATAACTTTTTTAAAATGTTCATATCTATAAAAATTCTGATTTTGAAATAATAAAAAAAAAACATTTATAGAGCAGTAACTCTAAAAAGAATTTTTAAAATAAACAATTTTATAAGAACAAAAGCCCTAAGCATTGCCTATAGCCTGGACAAAAAATTAATTTGGAAAGGTTGCATTTACACACCTGTCTTTTAAAAGGCTGCCTTTACTCACCTTTCGACTATCATGTCTATTTTCATTAACTTTTAAAGTTAAACATTAACAGCCTGAATTATTTTAAGTTTACTTTCTAATAGATATAATTAAAATATATCATTGTGATATTAATAATAATTAAATTAATTGTAAATGGGACAACATTGAAAGCTATAAAAGTAATAAAATGATTTTTGCAGCTAAATATTCAGCATTGGACTCCATAAATAAAAGTTATAATCAACTTATATGGTGACATTGGTCTATTAATGATTAATGAGGAAAGTTTAAACACATTATTGTAAGAATTCTTTCCTTACGCTTCAGAAATCAAAATACATTATATAAATATGCCAAGACAATTTTTCTCTGTGTTTTGTAACAACAAAAAAACTCACAGAATTTTTACATTATGCAAGTTGAAAAATTCTGTGATGTAATAACAAAACTATAAGAGTACTCGAAAAATATTATGAAAATTAAAATATTTTATCTGTTAGGAATCAAAATAAAAAAAACTAAATGTTTGCTTACGGAAGAAATTTTGGAAGAGAAGGGCTTGAAGATGGATTCAGAGGTATTTCAAGTTCATCACTACCCCCATTTCTAAAGACATCAATTACCAGGTCTAATATCTATAATTAAATAAATTAATATTTGCTTTGTTATATTACAACAAACACTAAGTAAGAGAATTCAATCGAATTTTTACTGTCAATGTGGAAGAGACCAAAAATTATTCTTGTTTTATTTAAGACAGTATTATTTTAACTGAATTTTATTTAACTTAATTTATCGTTGAAATACTTTCTGTTATATATTTTCATTTCAAAATTTTTTCAAAAATTTCAAATTTTTATTTTGATAACAAGTTTAAATCGATACATAATATTGCCTTTTAAAGCTGAACTAATATTATTTAACTCTTTTGACACTCTGCTGTCAATAAATATAATACACAATAGAAATTAAATATCAGACAAATTTTAAAAAAATGACATCATAAATTCAAATATTTCACTAAACAAAATAAAGAAAACTCTTACTGGTTTATTAATGATCCAAGGACATAATGAAAGACTATTTAGTGAATCGAAACAAGGATTCAGTTGATAAGAAGGCATTTTAGAGTAGCGAGCAGCTTGATGAGTGGCTTGAATGGGAAATCGAATAAAAGGGGCTGCAAGAAATAATAACATTATTTTAGCCTTGATTTTTTTTAAATATGAAATTAAAGTTGTTGAAAGGCACACTTCTTATTCGAATTGTCGTTCAATATTTATTATTTTTTTATTCTAAAGTTTGCCAATTTTTTTATTATAAAGTTCGCAATTCTGACGACCTTCCCTCAAAAGTCTCAGGTACAAGCCTGTTTATGTCCACCACTAGACGAGTGTTTAATCATAATCATATCACAAAAGATTACTCTTATAATTTTCTTGCTTTTACAGTTATTAAATTAAAACATTTTAAAAAAGCCATTTTTTCAAATTAGTGTTTTTTTCATAACTTTAGTTAAATTATTTACTTGCAAGAATATCTGCAAAGTTAAAATCTTACTACACATAAAAAAACCTGTTTATATCGATAATAATAGTCGATATCAATAATAGTCTTAGGTCCCAGCAAAGTTCCGATTTTTTTTAATGCATTTGCAAACAGTTTGTATCAGTATATCAATAATCTTTCTTTAAATGAACCTGTAAACACAATAAAAAATTTTAATATACGCTAATGCAGTAAAAAAACAAAGGCTATGTATATATTGATTGCAATGTTTGACATTGGATAAATAAGTGCTTAAACTGCCTATAGCAATAACCTGTATTTAAAAGTACTTTTTTAGGCCCATTAAGCATTATTACTGACAGAATTCACCACCAATGTATTTTTTTGAAAATTTATACGTAATTAAATTATAATTATAAAAAATAACAGACAATAATAGATTAATAACAAATGACTATAATTATATATATAATTGAAATATAAAATTATAAATCCATTACTTGTAGTTATGAGCAAGCCTCCTGAATCATGCTTTACCCAAGGTTTCGGAGGAGAAAGCATAGGAACTAAAGTTGTATCAAAAACTAAATTCTCTAGTTTTGCATCTCGGTATAACTTGCACAACAAGGAATGTGTCTAAATGGTAGGAAGCATTATATCAATAAAGGATAATAAGTTCCAATCTTTGAGCATAAAGTTAAAGAAAATTATCAGAAGAAACATTTCATAAACATTATTATAAAGTTTTATGCTCTAATTTAATCATTTTTTAATTTTCCTTTTTATATTAAACAGGTTAAAATTTCTAAAAATTCCTAGCTATCATACTTATAACTGAGCTTAACTGAAGTCCATAGTATTTTGTTTGCATCATTAGATTCCTTAAGACGATTTCAAATAATTTTACACAAGAAGACTTTTACAACTAAAAATAAATTAAATAAATAACCATTCACTACTTTAAACCTACATAAAAATGTAAATAATATTACTTTTTATGTGTCTCAGGCTATAATCATGTATGTAATAGCAATTGTTTGAATAATGTTAAAAACAATTTAATACTAAAATATTTCACATGGTCACGTGTTAGTAAAAAATACATACCTGATTAAATAATTTAAAGTTTCAAAAATTTAATTAGTTTCTATTAATTATAATTTAAAGCTTCCAATTGTCAGAAACTAAAAGTACTTGTGCATGCTTATATGCAAATGATTAATTAAATAAGTTTTATATAACCTATTGAAAAAAACAAATATAATGAATGTACTAATTCGTATTTTAATGAAACTGAACTCAGAATCTATTTATTTAAACATTAAATTTTCTTTATTTTATTTTTAAATCAACATTAAACAGTCGACTGAGCTTGCATTTGTGGTAATCATGGTTCAACTCCATAGGTGTACACTCTTAGACCAAGTGTTGAACGAAACTCGCCTTCATGAAAGACTTCTTAAGGGACATAGCCAACATTTGTGTTGCCATGAAAACCTCCCGAGAACGATTTAATGACAAGATTATTCTAACCCCCCATGATTCATCATCTATCATTGAGGACATTTTTACGTTAGAACTGTGCTCGGTGAGAACCTCAAATAGCATTTAAATCAACCAGCTATTGTCTAATTTTCGAGTTTATGCCACTTCACTGAAAGAGAAGTGCTCTATCCTGGTCGAAAAATTAACATTTGACGTGGTCTAAATATTGTCTAGTTGTGAGTTTGTGTTACCTCACTGAAAGACAAGTGCTCGAACTATGTTCAAGTATTTCAAAGTAAAAAAAGAAAAAAAATCGAAGATGTAAGTTATTTTACATACATACATTGTTTTAATTTGTGAGTCACTGTGAACGGTAAGAAAAAACTATTTTCAGTAAATTTAGTTTTAGTAAATTATACTCTTTTTTAAATGGATTACATCAAATTAACATATTGCATAACTCATACGCTTTTATTTAATAAATTACATGCACTACCAATGATTTTATTTAAATAATTTTTTTCATAACGTCACATTTAAAAAAAATTTATTAAAGTCTAACATCAGCACCTCTTAAAAGAGCATTAACTGAAATAATTGAAATTTCCTTTTTTAAACAAAATAAGCAAAAAGTTTTAGATGAAATTTAGGAAATTATTCAAGAATCTTAATCCTTCAATTTAGTATAAGGACTAATAACATTAAATTGCATTATAAAGAAAATTAAGAGAAATATTATATACCATAGTTTAAATTAGAAAAAAAAACATGTTTACAAACAATTTTATTATTCTCTTGTAAGATATATTATTTAACATTGTGGATCAAGCAGATTAATTATACAGTCTTACGTTACATTTTTGGATTAATTGTAGTATTATTCAGCTTTATTCAAAAAAATGTGTTTACCAGGAGATAAAAAATGAAAAATTTTGCAAATTAAACTATTTAGAAGACTAACATGCATAAAGCACGTATAAAGCAAAGTATACATGTCTAAATGATTACAAATACATTACTGTAAAAATCTGAAAATTGCATACATGATAAAAAAAAATAGCTATCCTTAAGTTTTTTATTTTATTTTGGAAAGTCTGATAGTAAAAAAAAGTTATTACTTTACAAAACTATGAAAATTTAATAAAACTACAACGAAAAAAAAAACTAAAAATTTTATTAACTAAAAATTATAATAAATAATACTTTTTGAAAAAATTAAATTTTTACGAGATTAATAAGTAAAGAAGTAAAATTACCCTTATTTGTTTAGATAATTTTAAATCCATTCCTTCATATGCAGTATAAAATGCTTGACTCATAACCCTAAAAATAAAATAATGGATAATTAAAATGTATAAAAATTAGCAAAGAAAATAAACGGAACAACGCTAAAAAATTAAAAATTTTAATTGGAGCTTTTAAATCATTGTAAGGCATTATGCAGGGAATTTATGACTAGAATACAAAGTATGTTTTTGCCATAAGAAAAATACATACACAAAAAACAATCACCTGGATATGATTTAAAAAAATTTAGTATATGAAAAAAGGTTCATTATACATTAAACAGAAGAAGAAAAAAATTTTGTGTCACAAAAAAAGTGAAATTAGTAAGAAAAAACATAAAAATTAGTCCTACACCATCAAAAAAACTTTGTTATTCAGTTAAAATTTGTTTAAAAATGAAAATGCAACACAATATGACTTCTGGAATGCTGAAGAGCTTTTGAACTGAGCTTAAATCTTGGATAAACATAATTCTGACAGTGCATAATATTTTAAGGCTACTTTTATAAGCATTTTTACAGCTTTTTAAATTGCTTTTTTTATGTGTTTAATACAAGCTTTCAGGTTACTAGTAAAAAATAAAGTTTGTTTTCCGATGCAAAATCAAAACAATAAACAAAAACGTACTTTAACTTAGCCGTAAGAATAAATTCAAGGGGATTAACGCACAAACAAAATGAAGCCAGACATAGCTAAGTGAAAAAATCACTCAGTAAAAAAATGAGTGACTTAAATTTAGGAAAATGCATACTTAAACAACGTTAAATTTTCTTTAATATGCTTGCATTTCCTTTACAATATGTTTCCTAATTTCCGTTAGACTATTCACAAATTATAAGGAAAAATAACAACCAAAAGTAAATATTAGCAACAACTTAGTATCAATTGGCCTTTACAAATTATCTCTTTCAAAAACTATTTTAATATGCATTTAATTTTAAATTTTCCATTATATTTTCTTTACCTATGAAGTTTTCGAAATTAAGTGTCAGAAAAAAAACTAAGAATGTGAAAAGTTAAAATAATTTATTCAAGAGTACTTCAAAAAATATAACACAATGAAAACTTTCAAAACTATAAAGCTACAATTTTTAAAATTTCCAGAACGTCATCAGCGTTAGATTCAATAATGTCCTCGTACAGTTCCCACTCTGCAATAGATTCAACTTCATATTAATTTGCTGAGTCCTACAAAAAATCATCTTTACTCCCATCCAAAGAATTCCAAATTTCCCAATTATTAAAATATTTTACGAAAACATTTGTATACACGTTTTGACACACATCTAGTATCATTTGAATACAAGAAATTTAGTTGAATTAGTAAACTCTACAACTTTTTTTTTAACTCACTTAGAAAAATCTAAATTGTTAGCAGGTGGCCTTAATCCTTATTTATTGCTATATTTAAAGTTTCATTTGGCTGCTTTTTCTATACAGTTTGAAAAGAGCGGGGAAACAAATATTTTCAGTAGTGAGATCATTTTTGAGTATTAAGGGATACTCATGTAATCACAAAATTGCAAGAAAGTCAGAGAAATAAGTTTAAAAAAAAAATGAAAAAAGTTGAAAATCAAATAAAAATGGGAAAAGGGTCTGAAATTTAAGCTATCCCAGTAATATTAAAAACAAGTCAAACATTTTTATTAGGTAAAGCCTACACAAACAATACTTACTTGCTGGGAGCTTTATGACGAACACAATCAGCATTAAATGCAATATTATTGCGAAGAATATCATATAGATATTTTCCAATCTATAAATGATAAATAATGCATCAAATATATAACTTATAAACCAACATTTATTACTAAGAATAACTGAGTTTTCTTTTTGTTTTTGCCAGTCATATACATGAAAAAATATAGCCTTTTTTAACTTACATTTTAATGCAAACATAAATTCATAGTTTCATTTTCGAACGTAAGTTTAAAATAAATTTATATGCAATAACAGCCTTTTAAATGCTGCAAATTACAAACAATAAAAACCATTAATATTGAAGAATAGATACAGAAAAACAATTTTTCAATTTCCTCACCTTTTTGTTTTTGCCATTTTCTATAAAAACTCTTAAACCTACATGCAATTTTTTTTAATTTTTTTTGCAGCGTAGTAACATTGGACAATGAAATAAGATTAAATTAATTTGTAGTAACTAGGCTCTAAATTTGTAAAAGTTCTTAATATGAATTTCTAAAAATAAAATAACATATTTTGCTTATGAACTTTAACAAAATAATTATGAAAAACATATCTAAACATAATAAAGTAATACTTCATTTAGCACTAAGTGAAGATTTATTAAATATATTTAATAATTTTTAATTTATATGATTCAGATTCTAATTTAAAGTGGAAAAAAGTTTTTAAAAATTATATCTCTTACATGTAATAAGACATCAGGAGGCCAGTTATTATGTGAAATATCCTAAAAATATACAAAATTAAGATTAGTATGAAATTGCATTAAAAAAGGTAATACATCAAAAATACAAATCTACTTTAACTGCTTACAAATGTAACCATATATAATTTACTTAAAAATGAAATAGTAATTTTCAAAAAAAATTGTTTTTACAAATAAAATACTAAAATTCAACTAAAATTCAATAACAGATGGCAGATCCAGAAAATGTTTATCTTGTGCAATTTTTTCTTCTTTGTAATAAAAATTTATGGGAAGCAACTGAATTTTTCTCACTCTCCCACTTCCCATGAAGTTAAAAAACTAAAATTTAGAACATGTCTTCTTCATGAAATAAATAGAAAAACTAAAAAAGTTTTTAATTATCAAGATAATTAGCCTAATTAAGTATTGCTAAATAACATGTTTTCACTGAGAAAAAAATCTCAAATTTGGACCAGGCCTTTCTTATCAGATATAAAGAAAAACTATAAAAATTTCATTTCAAAATTTGTAAGTATCGGGATAATATTTACCTTACCATTTGAAACCCATTACTCCATTATGCTAAATAAGCATTTGCCACAAACATAGAAATCTCAAATTTTGACCGCATGTTTCTTATCAAATAAAGGGAGAAATTAAAAAAGTTACACTTTGATATTTTGTTACTATTGGCCTAATTGACAGTAATGCTAAATAACACATTTTTACCAGGATAGAAGTCTCAACTTTAGACTATGTATTCTTTTATAGGATAAATATGTATTCTTTATGGGATAAAATTAATACATTTACAGTGTTGCTCTATAATTATATTTAGAATGTGTAAAATTTGCTGTAGAGTAATGTTTGTAGAGTTTAAAAAATTATTTCTTTTTTATACATTAATTTTGAAATATCTGTATTTCAAAAGAAATAGCAAATTAATTTAAATTGCAGTGGCTTTAAATGGCTACAATTATCAAATAAAGTGAGCAAATAGTTAATATACTTAAATTAGGTAAAGAATTCATATATCAGGCAGTAGATATTACAAATAAGCCATTATTCTAATATAGTAGAAAATAGTCATTATTCATATAGCCAGAAAATAGTGCAGATAGAAAATGATACTCACAATACTAGGTCCACTCGAATAATCTAATTTCAACTTCTCCCAATATTCCCTTGGCGTATATTTTTCACAAAGTTCAGGATTAAGAAGATAATCTAGGTAATGTTGATAAATGAATAACACCTGAATGAAGAGAGACATTACATAATGAAATGAAATATTACACAATTTGTTTTAAAATAAAACTTCAAGAAATAATATAAAGATACCTTGTCTGTTATTTTATGTTTTTGATTCAGCCAAACAAAGTAATGGTTCATAACTTTGTGTCCAAGCGCTTTATACATGGTACCTTCATTAAGGCTGAAAAACTCCCCAGTTTCAGAAAGTAATCTTACTTCCTAATAAAAAAATTTTATTTTAATTGTTATAAAAACATAAAAATTTTATTGTAATAAGAAATTAATAAGGAGCATGAAATAAATCCTAAATGTACACATTTTAATTTAAAAATAAAATAAAAATAATATTAGATAATGAATTACTCATTTTTTTAACAATAAAATTAACAGAAAATAAAGTTTTACTCAAAGAAAACATAAAAATATTTTTGTAAATAGAAATTAGTAATTGATCTACTTAAACATCTACATTGATCTACAAAACAACATACAAACATTGATCTACAAAACCTAAATATATGGATTCGGTTTAAAAAATTGTTAAATCAGATAACGAATTATTGTATTTTTTTATTGTTATTAAGTAAAAAGAATATGAAATGTTAACTGATGTAAACATAATTAAAAAACATTAAAATATTTTTTAAAAGCATAAAAAAATTATATTTCTAAAGAAAATTTTTTTTTTCTTAAAAAACATAAAAATTTCATATTTGCGAAAAGAAATTAATAAGAAATCTACTTAAACATGAATTAAATCGCGAGAATACCAATTTAAAATCGAAAAATTAATAAATAATTTTTTTACTTATTATTTATTAACAGAATATAAAGTTTTACCAGAAGTAAACATAAAAATAACGTTGTAAAAATATTATTTCATTAATTAGAAATTAGAAAATTACTTAAACATGAATTAAACCCAAAATATACCAATTTTAAGATTGAAAAATTGATGTACAAATCAGATAACGAATTAATTAATATAATTATTAAGTTAGTGGAATATAAAGTTTTACCTGAAGTAAAAGATCCACGAGAATATCAGTATCAATCACAGCTAAATATGGATAAATTGATGTTTTACGAATTCGAATTCCTAAATATAAAATAAATAAAGTTCAATACTTTTTAAAATCAATAAACTAAATCAGATAAGAAAATATAAAACTTTCGTTGGTTGATTCCCCTCACCAAGAGATCGTTTTTCAAGACTTTTAATGTTTTTCAAAACCTGCGTAAGTTTTTTCCTCCACTCGCCTTCACATTCTTTTAAATACTTCCTCTAATAAATGAAAAACATAGTTCAGGTAAAAGAAATTGACAAAAGAGTAGAATATTTATTTAAAAAAAGACAATAAACTTAAAGAAACTATTATCACTCTAGAAGTGTTCAATGATTTACTCTCTACACTCTGAAATTTTACATATTTTGCAAAGTTGGGATAATACTGTAACACTTTAAAATTTTATGTTTAGAGTTTTTGAAGATATCACTAATCATTATTGAATTTCTTTAAAAAAAATTAAGATTATTAATTAAAACACTAATTTGCTTGACATAAGTAAAAGAAATATAAAAACTATCATAATAAGAAAAATTAAATGAAGGAACCAATAAATATAAGACTAAAAAATACTTTTAACCCTTTCGCGACGAGTTTTTTTAAATTTTTTACAACAACAATTTTGGTAGCATAAACTATGAGTAGGGTAGCATTATGTACGGCAGCGCCATCTATGTTCTGGGAATAAAAATACCTTCAAAAATATTGGCAGGACTGGTGGGAAAGTCTCCCATTAGACAGGGGAGGGTTTCTGTCCCAAAAGAGTTTTTTTTAATTTGCTTGGGACGTATCTGTCCCGCTAGGTGCGAAAGGGTTAAGGTAGTACTGTACAGTGTGCAAAGAAAAAAAGCAAACACCTTAATACCTTTTGGTCTAATTACCAGATTTTTAGGTACTATAACTCAATCTTAATGGTTTGGGGGAAAAAACTAAAATATGCTAATAATTTAGTGCAGGTGATATTTTAAGTAATGCAATCAGACTTGCAAAATGCGCTTTCCCTGAATAATCATATAGATGAATTTTTGACCTTCAAAATATGTTACTGCAATGCAATATGTAATTGCAATCTAGAAAACATGGTCCTAATTGTTGTTGGAGGAGTGGGTTAGAAAGTTTGAACCCTTTAATGTTAATTTCACTTTTTGCATATTTCACCATATTTTTGGAACTAATGAAGCAAAAAAAGAATTTCCACATAATTATAAAACTTTCTTATTCAAAGAACATTCCGTTACAATTTTTTTTAAATCTTTATTTATTATTTTATTTAATAAGAGCAAAACAAAATTTTAATTCTAAGGTACACAAATTTTTGTACAAATTTAATCTACTAATTTCAAATACCAAAATCAAAAATTTGAAGGTAATCAATCAATTAATACTTCAGAATGAAAGATTTAAAAATACAACATCTTTGATACGGTGAAATATGTAAAAAAGAAATTAATATTAAAGGGTCTACGCTTTAACAACTTTCCTACATAAACTATTGAAATTATGTTTCTGGAATTGCAGCTACCTCCCATATTTTAAGGGTTAAGAATCTAAATCCTACAAAAAAATTATATAGGTTTATTCAGAAAAAAATCTGTTTTTGATTGTACTTTTATAATTTAAAATATCAATATCACATATTCGCTAATTAGCGTACATATCTGCTAATAAGGTTAGGTCCTTAAACCATTAAGGTCAAGTCCTAGTAAAATATATTCTGTTCACTAGATCAAATGTTATTAAGGTTTTTGCCTTTTTTGTGCAGTGTACTTCCTAAAATTTGAGCTAATTTATTTATTTACTGAACTTTTCACTCACAAGTAGAAAAAAATCCTCGTTTAAACTTACAGATTTAAGAACTTTTGCATCCAATTTTGTAATTGCATCTACTGATCTAATCTCAAGGCTATACTTAATTTCACTTTGCATTTGATTTGCAGCATGTTTTGGTATATCTTTTTCTTCAAAGCAAAGATCAAGGTGTCTACCTCCTCTCTACAAAATAAAACAATGGTAAATAAAATAACAGACATAAAATTACAATTTAAAGGCCCTAGATATTACAATGTTTAATATAAACATGAAATATATAATATGTTATATAATAGGAGAATGAATATTATAAAGGTATATGATAATTACGGAGGCAGATATCTCTTCTGAAATTGAGCTTAAAAGCAGAATAATTTCATGAATTTTTATTGGCTAAAATTAAGTAATAACATCATATAAAGTATTACCAATATGTTTCTTTAAAATTTATTATCAAAAGCAATAAAGTTATCAACGATATTAAAGAGTTTTAAAAATGCAGGATACCATAAACATATTAGTCTTAGATAATAAAAAACATAAAAAAATAAAGGGATTAAAAATATAATCGACTATCTAGGTTTTGACCATTTGCTTTATAAGAAAATATTTATTTTTAACTCATACAGTTTTTATTTTAAAAAAATGGAGCTTCTAACTGTTAAATATAATCCATAAAATGAGAGCTTTTTTTTAAAAAATAAAAGACAAAAATATAAAAATAATGATATAATTAGGAAAATTTAAGATAATTGGCTGAATGGTTAGGAAGATATTTATGGGACAATTTTAAGAACCATTTCAAAAGTTCAGGAATATATTTAAACACATGTAATTAAAAAGCTATCTTTAATGATAAAATAACTTCATAAATATTTTGAACTGTTTCTGACTATTTTATAAAACCTCATCTTACAAAAGTGATAAACTTATGAAATGCATAAGATAAAGATTTATTGCTATTACCAATGAAAATTATGTTAAAGATCATAAAAAGAAATTCGGAAGAAAGAAAAAAAAATCTTACTCCATAAGATTTATCATTCAACTTATTGAGAAGTTCACATGAATATATAGAACTTTCTTTTCCCAGTGACGGTGTGGAAAGATTTGATTCCACAAATCCTAACACCTGAAATTAATAAAAATATAAAGAACATTATTATTAAACATAAATATCACACTACACTAACATTATTGAGATTAAATAGTAATAAGCGTGTCGAAAATCATATACCAAATACAATATCTACATCATATAAAATTGTGAATAACTCAGAATGTGAGTTTTGTTCACAATTCTAAATGTTTGCACACAGCAAAATTTTCAAGCTGTTTGATGTACACAGTAAGATTTTTCAAAATATAAATAAATAAATACATAAAATAAAGCAGTGTGGTAAAGCAAATAAAAGTAAAGGCTGGTTCATTATAGCTGAGAGATAAAGTACAGTATTTGTGCCTCTTCTTTTCATATTTATAAGAAGAAGATAACAATGTTTTAGAACATCAGCAAAATAATTAAAAACAAATCATGTCAACAAAGTATGAAAAATCAGATTTCATATTTTCTTCTACTTTTATACTCTTAAATGCTGCTGTGCATCAGCCTGCAGTAAACAAAAATGTTTTTTCAGTTTTTAAAATTCAGTTAAATAAAAATGTTTAAAGTTCAATTTTTGTTAAAATTCAGTTTTTTTTTTAAAAAAAAAATTCAATTTTTATTCAGTTTTTTTACTTTTATTAATTATAAGGAATCAATTTAAATTTACCTCGGTTATCTTTTCTTTTTGGTCTGCTACAAAAGTACATTTATGTAGAATATCAGAACAAGAAAAGCCCTATTAGATATGGAAAATAAAAAGAAAACACACATTTATTAAGGGAAACAATAATAAAATCTGTAATGGGTAAAAATTTCAAGAGAGACTGAAAATTATCTTGACAAATCAACTTACTTTAGATTTTATTTCCTTTACTACATGCTGAATTTCTGAAATATCTAGAAATTTGCTTCTACCAATGCATTCTAAGTAGCCTGCATAAGATTGCAAATTTGGAGAAATAGAATTTTCAGACATTTGAGAAACTATTTTCTTAACTTTATCCAAGCGACCCTGTAAATAATTTTCCTTTATTTGCTTTGTAAATTGGAAAAAAAAAACACAATATGCTTAAAATAAACATATTCTTTTTCATTATTTTGAGCAGTTAAATAAAGTAAAACACAACAATAATAAACATTATAAAAGTATGAGATCAAAGAATTTAATGATTTCAAATCTGAGTGTATAAGTGTCACAGGAGAATTTATAATCAAAAGTTTATAAGCAAGGAAAGACCTCAAAAATTAAAATAAGAAATTTTAGATAAAATACAAAATAGCAAAGGCCTCTTAACTATTATCTATTGATAATCACTAGAATTGCTTTTTGAAAAGATCAGTCACTGTGAATGATAGATATGGGAAAACAATGAATGCAGGTCAGCATAAAATAATGCCTCGAAAACAAATTATCATTTTTTTTCTTCCTTGCTAGCAACAGAAAATACTGTTTTTCATTTTTAAAAAAAAAAAATTTTTTTTTGTTGTTAAATGTCGGTAGAATTTCTGGGCAATAGATGCTGACTGCTGATGGTTTTAAAATGATTGAAATGCATCTTATTAGCATTATGAGAATAGTATTTGGGACAGATCTATAAGAAGACGATGCATGTGGAGAAACAAAAAATGAGGAAACGATAGATTGTGGTTCAATTGTATTTAAGAACGCTTTTTTAATTAATATTACTAATAATAATTAAGGTTAGATATCACTAAAAATATGTAAATAAAATTATCTGGTATTCTTCGGTTAGTTGAACATAAGGATATTTATTTATTTTAAAAGATTTATTTTAAATTCTCAATTTGAATTAATTTTAGGTGTTTAAAAAAATTAATAAAACAAAAAAATAACGAGAACAAAAAATAAAAAGTTGGCAGAGTTCTACGTTTTATAGTGACTAATCGCTAGTGCCTGGCTAACCAAAAAGTACCAAGGATTTAACGCTGAATTAAAAATAATCCTTTTAAAAAATATATATTAAAAATTGAATTTAAAAATTTGCAACTTTTTTTATCTCGCAATGTGATTAAATCATTATGAAAATTTTAAGTATTGCGAAACCTACAAGTACCACCAAAATTGTTTGATTTATAAAAAGTCAATTAGATATTTAAAAAAAAAAAATCAGAATAAATATATAAAAAAAATTTGTAGTAAATATATTGTATACAATCAAGTATTGTGCAACATACTGCACACACACAAGAAGCAAGTTTAAAATAGTTGAACACATTTTTTATGAAATTTTAACTTTATTTATTCAAACATTAAACTGTTAGTTTAAATATTTTTAAATAATTTAACTAAAATTAAAAAAAAACTTACTTTCTGAGCCCAGCCAGAAATCAACATATTATAAACACTGACATCAACAGACTTAGTCTCATATTTGTTCAAGTACCTCTCAAAAGCATAATGTGCTTTTCCCACCTAAAATCAGATAAGAAGAAAAAAATTAAACGAAGAAAATGGCAATAGAATAAATATATTTCTGGTGTTAACATCACAAATACTTGAATATAATCATATTGCTATAAGTATAAATCCATTAAAAAAAAGATGTAAATTTAATGAGACTATATTTATTTTCTTTACAAAAAAAAGTATTTTTTTCAACCCCAAGAATGCAATAATGTAAAATTATTGAAAAACAAACCTGATTCAATAGCTGTCAATAAATAAAGTACTGAACAGTGTCAACTTGTTTATAAACCAAAATCGTTATTAACATTCCTATTAAAAAAAATTAAAACAAGATGAGTGAATTCTTCTTTTAATTAAATAAAGATAAAAACAAATTATAGCAACAATAATATATCTTCCTTTTTTTGCAATATTTCAAAAATGAAAAAGGAAATTATTTAATTAAACAAAACTGAAATAAACCATTGCACTCAATCTTCTATTTAACATTTTATTAAGAATGAATAACAAAAATAATTAATTCTAAAACAAATTATTTAATAAAACCATTTTCTGTATAATATTTTTTGTAAAAGTTTAAGGGTTTATTCACTGACCAGACAATAAATAATTTTCTATAAGGAAATAAATCATAATGATGCAGTACAATAAAATTTTGTTACAAATTTTAAAGGTGAGACTAAATTCTTATTATACAACTCGTCACTGAAATTTTTTATTACTATTCAGAGAATGAGCCCATTTGAACTTAAAAATAAATAACTAAATAAAACCATGAAAAATTAAATGCTAATTTCTCTAAGAAAATTTTATTTAACAAACATAACATTAGTATAACATCAACAAATGAAAAATATTATTGGTCTTCCTGCGACCAAGGTAGCTAGCGAAGAAGTAGAAAAGGTAAGTGGCAGTTCTTCATCTGACAGAGAACTTTTTTTGCAGGGTTGCTTTTTCCTGAAAAGTTTAACTCACCAAGCAGGCGGTAAGACAGGTGAAAGTAATGAGCACCGCAAATATATTTTTAACATAATTTGAAACAGAGAGATTAATAAATTATATAATACATATTAACATTGATAACTAACAAAAGATAAAGTATACTTAGTGCTATGTAGAATAAAGCAAAAAACGTGAATAATACACAATTGAAAGTACATAAATGGACATACTTTAGTTCTAGTTAGAAACAGGTGGTTCTGAGAAAGGTTTTTGTTTATAGAACCGAAACTATGGTATGTCCACGTATTTACTTTCATTTTCGCATTATTCACGTTGCTTTTTGCTTTAGTTATCATTAATAAATATGTACCTCATCTATATTAATGCAGACTTCTATGTATGACTTCAAGGTTTTCATTGCATGTGCAAACTTAGTTGTTTTAAGCATTTCTTTTTGATTAGCCGACAGTTCTTTCTTAATTTTGGCTTTTACGAGATTTCCTTTATTGGATTGTTTTGTCTTAGCTTCATTAGCCGTTTTATTCTCTGAAGTACTTTTACTTCTGGTTTTAACATCGGGTTTAACTGTAAATATTCCATCATTGGCGTCTAGGTTTAATTCAGAAGCATTTGATTTGAATAGGTCCTTTCCCAAGCTTATTGAACTTGAGTTTTCTTTCAACTTTTGCACGGATTGCCGACTTTGAACATGGAGAGTTTGTTCTCGAGCTTCAAGTACTAAAATATTAAAATAATCAGAATCATAATAAGTAAAAATATGAATCAATATTAACAATTTTATTTTTAATTCATTAGAATGAGTTAAACAAACCTTTCAATAATTCCTCATAAGGTTTAGGTTTTATTTTGTTTTTCTTTTTATGGATTGAAATTTCATCATAGACTTTTAATTTTTGATTTTGAGCAGTTGAATATTGGGCAGCACATTCTGGAATGAAATCATAAATTTGTGAAAACATTTGAATTAAAAACCTTCATAAATTTCAAAATTACAATGCACAATGACAAAATACATAATTATATATATATAATTTTAATATATATAATATATAATTTTATATATATATATATATTAAAAAAAGGGATATGGTTGCCGTATTTTGCTAGGAATCACCAACGTGCGATCTCTGAAATGACAGAGATAAAGACACGGTTTTTACCCATGTCATCTTAAAAATCGAACCCTGCAAAATCAATATCAAGCATCAAATAAATATATTAATCATTTGAAGCATGGTTAACAAGTATCTTCTGTATACATTTCGTTAACTGCTTTCGAAACTACAAACGGTTTCAATACTATCTTATTCTGTAAAACTTCAAACATTTTACAGCATAATAACCATTTTCAAAACAATTCTACGGAATAAAAACCTTCTTTTGATAAATTTTGTAAAAAAGTGTTTTGCAAAACAACTCTTGTTAGAGCAAAAATGGGGCTGAAAATTTTGTTCAGTAGAAGAAGAAATGTCAACACATGAATGATGATTGTCAACACATGAAGAAAAATATAGTAACACAAAGTATGAAAAATAATAATGCCTTCAACTTTAAAAAAATCATCTTTATATAAATTTAAATAAGTATATTGACAGTAAAACTCTTATATGTTGTAGTTGGTTGTAACTATTATTGAAATTTAAGTAAAGATTTTATAATTTGACTATAAATTTTATTTCTGATTTAATATTTCATAATTTGTTCTCTTGACAAACAAAAGAAAAATTCTTTTAAAGCAGGTGTGGAAAAATTACATTATACAATTCACTAAAATAATACTGTTTTTCATCAACTTTATAATATTTGTGTTGCTGATCATCAATATTATAGTAAACTTTCTGACTACAACAACATTTTTAGAAAAATAATAAAAATTAATTAAATATTAGTTAATGTTAAAATGAAACAAGATATTTTTGCTAAACCAATTTAACACATTCTACTAAAAGAAAAAAATTCTTACAATGGTTTCTATCCAAGCAGGCATGGAGAAATAAACAAAAATCTGTAATAATCAAAAGGGAAAAAACAACAATTTTGTTACAAATAAACAATGAAATTGAGAGAACTATTCATCCAATAAGAAGATATATCATTATTAAATTAAATGTTTTGTAGTTATACAGCCTATTTTAAAGGATATTAAAAACTGTTATTAAATTATTTTTTTTTTAAATTTTAAAATAGTAACACCATATTACAAAATTTGTTAGTTTTTTTTGCTCATTTGAAAAATATAACTGACAAATAATTGGTGGTACTTTAAGGATAAAGATACCTGTTTATATCTTAACTAGTTACAGGTAGTCTTAATCCAGTATCCATAAATTTATTGTTCTAATTTACATTTATTACTATAATCGCTGACATTGGCAATAAAAAAAAATATTTATCGAGAATTTAGCATTACTAAAAAATGGAGATAACTGCAGATACCCATGATGAAATCTTTCTCATTGGAGTTTTTCAGTTACGCTAGCCAACAAATTTTTTGGACCTTTTTTATTTCTACACAACAAATTGTAATTCCAACTAAATAAATAAGACATGAAGCTGTTTAAAAGTTTTAATATATGAAATTAACACAACAATTGAGGATTTTTAGGGAACCAATAACCAAAATAATATTTTAAAAAATACAGAAAACAATATGTATCTTGAGTGATGTAATATTTATTTAGGGGAAATTTCTGTATCGTGATTAATGGCAGAATAATCGCCAAGTCTTGACAACTTCTGGGCAGCAGCCTGCGAAAACTAAAAATCACAGAAAGGGGCTAACTCCAAAGGTATAACTCGTAGCCAGAGTTGGGAAAAATGTAATTGATTACAATTTTTGATTACTGCAATTATGATTACAAAATGACATAATTTTGAATACAGCTGAAATCTTGATTACAACAATCAATTATAGTAATCAATTACAGAAATCAATTACATGTAATCGCAATTACAATTTTCATTACAGCTGTAATAGTCATTCCAAGTAATTGGGATCCCATAATCACAGCAAAAACGATTGCAGGTAATTGTGATTACACATAATCATGATTACTTGTAATCAAACTATACGATTACAAGTAATTACGATTGCATACTATACGTAAATACATTATGCAAATATGTATGGGGATATATATTTTCATGTACATTGAATGTACGCACGCATGTACATAAAATTTTTGAGTCCTAGAAATACATATACAATGTATGCAGAAACGTTGTTTGTATGTACAATATACGTATTCATATTGTAATATACATAAATAAAATATGCATGTAATAACAGGGCTACATCCCTGTTATCAGTGTTGTATTTAGCTTGAAATAATGCAGTCGTAAGCCATCAGATGTTCTAAACAGGTTTATTTAAATGTAGGCTGGTATTGATAACAGTTCACATCCACACTCCCTACGGGAGGGGAATGGACAAGACTTCTGACAATTCCGGAACAGTTTATCAGGATCACATCATGATAAAAGGGACACACAAAACTAGTGTTCCTACGTTTTATACCAACACACATTTCAGGTAAAAAGGCACACTTCGTACATTCCTTGTAACCTTACGCATTAAGGAAAATCATTTACTGCTTCCTAATATGGAAGTGACAGAGGGATAGATTCTAAAAATAACTCTTCCTTTGAAATATAAATCTATTTATATTTCAATGGTATGTTTTCAGCCTTGAATTCCCAAAATAGAATCTCTCTACGCTTATTCTTTAACAAAGACATTTTATGAAAACAAAAGTTTTAATTCTTTTATTAATACAAAAGTATTTAATTTTTGTATTACATGCATATGCTTAGTACACATAATTATGCATGATAGAAGTATGCATGCATATTAGTTTGTATGCAAATGCAATGTTTTGTATCTTCGTATACACTGACAATAAATGTATGAACGAATGCGAAAATAATGTATATACCTATACATACATTTTTATACATTACATACATTGTATAAATGTACAATAATAGCACATATATACAATGTATGCATGCATACATTGTACGTATTTACATACAATATGTAAGCATGTTGCTTACAGGTACACTAAATGCACATAGTTCCGTTAATAAAATGCATGCATGTATTCATGCACGTTTACATGTGCATAGATATATGGTTTGTACATGCAATAGATGCACATATATATCAGAGTTGGCCAAAGATGTAATCGATTACATTTTTTGATTACAGTAATCAATTACTTGTAATCATGATTACAATTNATATTACAGGTAATGTCTAAATACAGGTGTGCATTTAAATATATGTATTTACAATGTATGTAAGCACATACAATGTGCATGTATTAAAAAACTTTCTAACAGCTAAGTTATTAAAATTTGCTCTAAAACATATAAGACTTAATCTCTTATTTTTTGGAAAGCAAATGATAATCTTATTTTAAATTCCTAAATATTATTTCCACATTTAAAATTAGCCATTTAAAAATTTCTTTCTATGTATTGCATTATGTTATAAAAAATTTATTTGTGGTGTCAAACATTTTATGAAAATTATTTTTCATTCAAACAATTTTAAAATGACATAAAACAATTAAAGGTGCCAATTAAATCTAAATTTAAATATCGTTTGATTTTGTCATTTAACTTGCTTGAGTCATTATCAGTGGTTTTTCCACTTAACTTACATACCTTTTATTTATTGCATTGTACATATATTAAAACATAAATGTATTGTATATATGTACATACATTCATTGAACATTAATATATTGTATATATGTACACATGTGCAATGTATGAATGTACATACATTCACTCCTTGTACGTGCATATATAATACATATGGATATGCATACATGAGAGATTGTGAATTGTACATGTGTGGATGCGATTATTGGGCATAAGTACATTGTACATATTGCATACATTAGGAAAACATATATGTACACATGTAAAAGTCGTGCAAAAGATTTATGTCCAATATATGTATGCTCATATTTACAATTTATGTATGCTCGTGTATATGCACAATATATGAATGTAGATCTGCACAGTATATGTATGCACATACATGCAAGTCGAATGTATGTATGTGTATATGTAAAATATAAGTACGCCCTATGTACATACAATCGTACACAAATATATTTTTCATATTTAGATGCATACATGCATTGTGTATATGTACATGCCTATGATGTACATACATATATATATTGTTAATAAATAAATTGGACATGCATGTTGTTGTTGTTACTTTACGTCGCACTAGAGCTGCACAATGGGCTATTGGCGACGGTCTGGGAAACATCCCGGAGGACGATCCGAAGACATGCCATCACAATTTTGATCCTCTGCGGAAGGGATGGCACCCCCGCTTCAGTAGCCCGACGACCTGCGCGCGAAGTCGAGCACTTTACGGTAGCACAGTTTAACGAGGACCAATACCGCACACCCTCGGTCCCTACGCAGACTGATCCAAGTGGTCACCCACCCGCACACTGACCGTAGCCAGTGATGCTTGACTTCGGTGATCTGCTGGGAACCGTGTCTTAACGATCAGTCCACTGCGGGACTGGACATGCATGCATGGGACATAGATAGAATGTACATATACACATATATTGTACATGTATGCATAAATATTATTTATAAATAAATTGTACATGCAGACATGAGACATACATACATGCATGGGACAAACTTCAAATGACCATACACATATGGGACATTCATACATTGTTCATAGATGCATAATATATAAATTTGTTGTAAATACATGTATGGCACATACATTGCACAAAAAATGTCTGTACAAATGCATTTACCCACATATGCATTATATAAATACATATGTACACACATTTTAGTTATATTCGTTCATGCATACCCTGTATGTTAAATTCGTACACAATGTACAATTACACGATGCATTATACCTTCTATTGTAAAATATAATAATTTATAAATATGCAATAGTTTTTTAATGATATATTTAGATTAATTGTAATCGTAATTATAGGCAATTATGATTTCATGTAATCGTATATTTTGATTGCTTGTAATCATAATTACAAGTAATTGATTACAGTAATTGGTTATGTAATCACAATTACAGTTGAAATCAAAATTATGAATGTTTGAAATCATGATTACAAGTAGCTGATTACTGTAATCACGATTACAGTTGTAATCAAAATTTGTAATCATGATTACAAGTAATTCATAACTGTAATTGAAAATTGTAATCGATTACATTTTTGCTCTACTCTGATGTAATAAAAATTTATGTAATAGTGTTAACAAATAATTGATTATATGGCAGTAATTATCTGTAATTAATTAAGATTGTAATCGGCGTCCAATTCTGCTCATAGCGACTCCTGGGGCAAACATCTACATGTTTCATTTTAAATTAGCAATTTTAAAATCTTTATAGCACCTTGGCATTTATAGTTACCGTGACAGATCACGATACGGAAATATCCCCTTTATTTATACACAATTGTAACATATAAGTGAAAATCAATATGCATCTTTATTATTAAACACCTAACTTACGCTGAACATTGAATTTTGCTAAATGACTAGTTTTCATGTAGGTGAACAAGGCTCTCTTTTTCAGGTAAGTTAACATCATGATAAAGAATTATAAATTAAAAAAGAACTGTGATTGTATTTAACAAAGTTTAAGTATGTGTATAGTATTAAAATTAAAAACATTATAGGTCAAAACTCTTCGTGTGCTATAATTTTATGAAGTCGATTGCATTTCCGACTTTATGAAGTCGATAGGTAACTTTAAGGTCTACTAAATACGACTTTAAAGACAAATAACTTCTTTTCGCATAATTTCTAGATTGACGGATTTGTTTACAAAACAAAGAATAAGCATGGAATATTAATTCACGGTTGCAGTCGCGATTTAGAAATTTTCTTTTTGATTTAAGATCCATTCTCACCGTACGCTCTGCGCGTGAGAGCAACTTGATTGGTGAGTTTGTCATTAATCTCGATATTTCACCAATCAAGCTCTCTATCGCATTTTGTAACTGGCTTCTGTTTAATTTTAGTGTTTAGTGAGAACAGTCCCTTAGCTTATTCGTTTAGTTAATAGCTATGTAATAAATCTGAAACATTTTTATTGGGTAATAACTGCTCAATAGAACAAGAGATTAGCAAACATAGGCAGTTACAGGCGTTTCTGTTTACTAGGCTCTTGTAAATAAAATAAAATTTCACGTGTGTTCTAAGTTTACAAAATGGGTCGTAAAGCTGCTTTCAAAGAAAAACCTAAGCAAGGACCAGGTAGAAAATCAAGGAAACAAAAAGATCCTCAGTTACCCCCTCATTTGCAAGGTATCTGCTTTATTTGAATTTATAAGTTTCTTTTAGTTGCTACTAAGATCTTGTATATCATCTTCCATCTAAACAACTATCTTATTGAAGTAGTTAATAACTAACCGCAACTTCTGTGTCATTTCTAGTTATTAAAGTACTGTTCTTAAACTTTATTTATTAATATTATCGTGAGAAAGGAATTCATATTTCCTACAAGGAATATTCATCATTTTGACTCGTTGAAGCTGACAGTAATCGGGAGTGTGTGTCATCCTCTCTGTAGAGGATCAACAAAATTATGATGTGATTGCATTTCTTAAATTTACCCTCAGGGATGTCTCATAGACCGTCGCCAATAGTCCCGTTTTGCTGCTCTTGTTCGAAGAAAATAAACTATGACAAATTGACAGTGGTATAAGAACAATTCATCTTTGCATAGACTGTAAGTTTAAAGACTAAACATGAGTTACTCTACATACAATAATATCTACAATATTAATTGAATTAAATTAAGAATGTCTAATTTTTTATAAAATGAGAAACATTCTGTTAATGCAAAATCTTAATTATAGAACTTAATGCAAGTATTGATTATTTCTTGTGACCTGGTTTAGGCTTTTGTCGCCACCTCATTTTAGCCAAATCACAGATTTTTAATTTTTATCTAACTATATAAATTCATACCACAGAGAAAAGTATGGTAAAAAAAAATCAAAAAAGTTCGATAATAATTATAAATTTAAATAATTTTTTATAAACACCCGGTTTAATATCGATGCGTGATTTTTAAATCGCAGGATTATGCATCTTTGCTTGATTTTAAAATTGCGTGAGTACGAGCTCCTATGTTTGATTTTCGAATTGCCTGAATGAAAATACTAAACTATAATTTTTGTGTTACTTCATGAATTATAATAGTGGTTTTTAAATCAAATGAATACAAAGCGGGATATTTGATATAAAATTGGGAAAGTACGTAACATGATACACGATCATTATTCGCATAGATAGGAATCATAATGTCTTATTTGAAATCAAATCATTTGTAGGAAAAAGTGGTTGGTATTATTTCTCAGGAAATTGACAAAGAAACTTTCTCTGAAGGGGCAGATATTTTTTTAAGTATAGTAAAGAAATTTCCGCGATGGAAACAAATTTCCCGCAAATTGCGTTCCCGGGTTTCTTTATATTATTCATGTCTGATTGTTTCAAGTTTTTATTGTTGATTTGTAGCAATCAATGACAGGCCTTATTATGCTCTGTTATCATACCACTTGCAAAACCCATTGTTAGGTTTGCTGCTATTTTGGCTTCAGAGCATTTAACAAATCAGGGGTCATTTTAAGAGTAACTTGAGTCCATTTATGGACCTTTTAAGAAAAAATTTATTGTGCGAAAAAGAACGTTTCACAAAATAATTATGAGTTAAAACAGGCCCTTTGCAAAATTTTTGCTACAAAACAAAGCCTTATTTTTATTATTCACAAAGTTTCGTATATGTAGACATTTTAAGAAAAAGTTTTAACTAACCACTAGTTTTTGTAATTTTTGCAAATTCACAAAATAATGCCGAGAATTTTAACGACTTTATAATAAGCAGACTTTTCACAGAAGTTTGAAATAACCCCTGCAAATAGTTCCTTAAAAATTGCAACATCAGAAAGGCTTTTGATGTATTAATCTGAAATATGTCTTTTTGAACTGTGGAACTTTCATTCCTTAACTCATCTCTTAATTTGCATTGCTAATCCCTTTGTGAACATAGATATTTTATCTTTGAAAGTATTAGGAGGAGAAAAATGCAACAAGAGTTTTGTTACAAAACTAAAGCATTGTAAAGAATTGCCATGTTTCTCATAATTATTCGGAAACCTAATACTAAAGAAGTACCAAAATACTAACATCTTTATAGGAATATTCCTTTTTTTATAAAAGTTTGTAATTTTGCCATTGTTAAAGATTCAAAATTTTATTCTATTTGTTCATTTCATTTTTTAGATAAGGATCCAGACTTTGTTAGCAAAAGAGCAAAAAAGAAGTAGGTTAATTATTTTAAGCATTATCCTTCCTTTTCATTATCATACTTGCTTGTTTAATTTTAGATGTGCATATTTTAAATCTTGATCTTAACTTATTGCATTTTGCTAGTAATGCCTAATTTAGTTAATTATGTAAATTAAGTTCATATGAACTATAATATGTCATTAGCATAAGCTCATTTTTTTAGTTTCTTTTTTCTATTAACTTTTTTAAAGTATTATAAAACTATGAAATAAGAATGATTTCTATATTTATTGCATACACTAAATATAATTTATTTTATATTGTTATGTTAAATGATATTATTTTTACATTGAGTGTTGTTTTTTAACTATTTCAGGTTAAAAAAGCAAAATGAAATAAATCGATCTTTGGAAGAAAAGCCTAGACCGTTAAAGAAACAAAAGCTCTCAAATTCTGTGGAATCTATAGGTATGATAGATATTTTTTTAAGCTCTATACTATAAAATAATTTTTTTTTTTATGTATAAAAAAAGAGCAAAAGTTCCTAAAACAGAACTTTCACTTTTGTTCAAAATTATCATTGATTCGAGAGAGGGGGTGCTTCTTTTATAATCAACCCATGCTTGCAATTCAATTGTCTCATAAAATCTTTTTATAATTAAAAACTTTTTTAAGAATCATGAAGCAAGCTTAAAACTGGCCAGCATCCTCAAGAAACTAAAAGAAAGCTGCTAGTAAAATTTCTGTATGAATATTTGAGAACGGCTTTATCTTTCCAAATTAATATTCTGAAAACAGAGGACTCTTGCAGGGATTCTCTAACAGAAATATTTTTTTTTCTTTTTCTGCATGCTCTGTTAGGAATTTTGCTATCAGCTCCTATGAGGGTACTGGTCACAATAGACCAGCTTGATGTGAATTTTCCATTAAAACTGGAATTATCAACCTCAGTATTTAGTTGATCTGGATTTATCAACCAGAATAACTGATAAATACCATGTTGGTGTAAATCATAGATTTAGTTCTGTAATAGTAGAAATGCAAAGTATTGAGGTTCTATTAAACAGTAATATAAATGAGTGAATTTCGTTTCTAGTAATTAGGTAAGCATAATGTCTTTTTTAAAAATAAAACTTCTTTTTCAGAATCATCTGAGGAAGATGAGCAAAATGAACTGCCTCAGCCTGAATTTTTCACTGATGAAAATGCTGAATGGTTGAAGCCAAAGAAAAGTGATCTCTTAGAGGGCTCTGATGATGAGGTAGATGTTTAAAATGCGGAATTATAAACTGTAGAAGTATTAACTTCTAAAGTTCTTATTCATTTGAATTAAATTCAATGCTATTTACTTCAGTGTTACAAAATGCTGTATTTTTAATATTTTTCAGATAGTTTTATTGTGTGCATTCTAAAATGTTATAACAATTATAGGATGTTTTCTATTTCTAAACTAAATTATAACTAAACAGTCCAATAAAGTTTATCTAGTTAACTTATTAGGGCTCTCACGGATCAAAGAGAACAGGGAAAACATGGAACTTTTTACAAAAAACCTGAAAAATTCTAATATCATACGGGAAAAGTAACCAGTTTTAGAATGTCAATAACAGTAATCAGTTATTGAGATTTGGTTTAAATTATTCTAACATCTATTACAATTATTTCATAAAACTATACACCTTTTAGTGAAACTTTTCCATTCTCATTCTATTTTATGTTTTTGCTCACAAAATCTAATATTTGTTATTACAAATATATTATAAAAAGAAATAAAAACTGATGAAAAATAGCATAGTATAGATAAAATAAGGTGTGGATTTTCAATAAAATATACCTGAAAAAGTCAGTAGATTTTTTTTTCTACAATTGAGTAGGAACCTAGCTTATGCACCGTGTACCTTCTTAACTTATTATAATTAACGTATTGATTGAGTTGCTAGCAGAATTATTAGGTGGTAGTGTTCTTGCTTTGTTATTCGCCTCTATGTTGTTGGTTAGTGTTTTGTGTAATATTACCTCGCACAATTAAAAAAATAATACCTTGATATTTCTTCTGACATTCTTGCAATTAAAAACTTTTTGTCTTAAATTAAAGGTTTTCAGAACTATTATACCTTTTTTAGATTGAGCAACATTTTACAGGCTTCTGATTTTATAATGGTTAATTTGAAAAGCATAAATGAGTTCGGGTTTGGGAGATAAGCAAAAGAGAGAATTACTGTTAGGAACAGCAAACAAATTGAAATAACTACTAGTCATATTGCAGTACTAGTCAGTACTAGCTTTTTAAGAGTACAGTATGTAATTATTAATTTCTGTATATTCTTAGAGTAATTGTTTTGGGAAATGTTGTCAGTTCTTGGAACAATCACCCTTTTTAAACAGATTTTTTGTATAGCAGTGCATAATCACTAAAGTTCCAGTGAAAACATATTTTTTATTTCTAATTATTAATATGTTTAATTTTTCTCTAATAATCTAGGAACAAGATTTATTTGAAGGNTTTTTTTTTTTTTTTTTTTTTTTTTTTTTTTTTTTTTTTTTTTTTTTTTTTTTTTTTTTTTTTTTTAACATTCTCTTTTAATCATTAGCTTTAATAGTCTAAATGAGTATAAAATTTAAAGCTAAACTTTATTGAATATTTCTTACATCATCGATAGTTCTTGGATGTTCAAATGAGAAATGGGCAACTTTAAGATATTATAATTATTATTGTGTTCAAAATATGTACCCCATGTGCTGTCAGTATTTCTGTGTTTTTATTATCTAAATTTTAATCAGTTTGAAAGAAATAGCATTGTTAAGAATTTATTTTACAATTAATGATTAATTTTTATTTTATATAGCAAGAATGACATTTTTCTTTTTAAAACCTTATAGTCTTGAGATTCTTCATCGTCTGTTCAATGTTTCCATTTTTTAAAAAATTTCCTTCTGTTTTCTAAGATTTTAATCGTTTTTCAAGTTTTTGTTGTGTTTCTAAAGATGTTTAAAAAAAAAAACAGTTTCACAATCAAAAATTTTTATCTTAAGTTTTCTATCTTGGACTTATTAAAATATGAATAAACTAATCCAAGTCCATGCAGTAATCAGGTCATTCAGATGAGGTGCTACTTTCTAGGATCAGTTTAATATTTATATTTAAATTCTGTTACATGGAACAAGGCATGAGAACATAACTTTTAAAGTAACGATTTCGAAGTATATTTTGAGGAAATCAATTTGAATTTATTAAACTTTAAAATTCAGGAAAGTAAATGTTAAAAATATCCAAAAACAAAATCAGAAATTATAATTCAATGTTTGATCATAAAAACGTGTTTCAAATTATGTTAATTTTAAAACTACCAAATCTTTGGATGTTTTGTTTTTTCTTTTGACTTTGTAGTGACTTTGCTGTCCCCCCTCTCCTTTTCAGGAAATTGCAATCCTTAAAGGTGTTTGGGAAAAGAAGTAAGGTAGATTATGAAATTTATAAATTTCATAAAAATGTAAATGAAATTTTTTTTTAAAAAATAAAAAAATATCAGAAGAAAGTAAAAATTTCTTTTGACATTTTTGTTTTGAATATTTGTACTTTTTCCCGAGAAAAGTCACGGAAAACAGTTAAAAATGGTAAATTTAAAAAGTAACGAAAGTAAAAGTATTGTCAATTATGGTTACTGGCATTAAAAAATAATTTAGATTTTTTTATCAGATACTATATTTTTAGTTTTTGATCTGGTAGTAATATAGTATATTTAATTCTTTTGTTTAATATTTGAAGAACCTGCTATATATTATTATATAGTATTAAATTTGATAGTTTTTATCCCATTCAGCAGCAGTGTCACAAAAATATTTTTATTAATTAAAACAGGCAATATAATAATCCTTGACTTTTTCAAACAAGTTATTTTTATTTTTATTTGCTTTTCCACTTTTTCTTTTCATCTTATACCTATAGCCTGAAGGCTTTCTGCAAAAAGTCCATTGGTTTCTCAGCCCTTGTTTTATTTCCTTCCTATTTATTATTATTAGGCAATAGTTCTCCTCATTTGAAAATTCAAGGTGTAATTTTGCATTTATTTAGATTATTTTTTAATGTGCTTTATAATTTAAATAACAAAAATGTTGAGCATTGTCAAAACTACAATATTTTAGGACTTTTTTTAGCTAAAACATATAGTTAAAAGAATAGCCTAAACCATACTCACATTAACTACATAAATGAGAGTATTTTAAGTTTATTTCTTTAAAAAAAAGTTTTTTCTGTAAGACCAAACTATTTGGCTTAGACCTTTCACAAATATATCTATAAAAACTTACATTTCTAAAAATATTGAACACCGCATACAGCTGTCGGTACCTTTTTGTAAATATAGTTTTTGGTACTTCTAATATTTTAATCTTCATTTAGGAAGGAAGTGATTCTGATGAGGAAGAAAAGGATGAGGAGGTAAATAGTTTTGAATTAATAAATAGTTTACTTATTATTATTTTATTATTATTGTTATTATTATTTCTCTAGAATAATTGATCAATTAATTTAAATTTACATGCTAGAAAAAAACTTTTTGAAATTTTGTAGTCCTTTAGAACTATTTCAGTTTACTCTCAAGTCCATGAAGACTGCTTAATTTTTTGTTTAAACAGGTTCTTAACTATCCATACAGAAAATAAAAAGGGGGCCTAATATAAATTGCAGAGAGTTCTACGGTCGAGTTCAACGCCTTCAGTAATCGCATCTATAATGGCATAGTTTGTTAGTTGTAGGGGTTCGAATTTTACTCCTTTTCTTTCAGAATTTTCTGGGGAAATTTTATTTTTTCATTTTATTGAGATCGTGTAGCATGGACTTTCTGGATAATATGAAAAATATAAAATTAAAAGAGCAGATTTAGAGAAGTAAAAGAAGTATTGATTTTTATTTTAAATTGTTGATTTTATCTTGATCCAAAATGCCAGGTAAATGTGTTTCACATATTGGGATTTGTATACAGGCATAACAAACATCACAATTTGTATTCATGCAAGTTTAATACCACATGTTGTGAATCATATTCATGCATTTTAAAGGTCACATATTGTTATTCATGATCCCAGGATTTAAAAATTACACATAAAGATTCACATTAATGCATACTAAAAATGCGCATCAAAATTCATAGTTGCACAATTTAAAAATGAAACATCAGGATCTGTATTCATCAATTTTAAAAATGAAGCACAGTCTGTTCATATTTACACTATTTAAAAATTAAATCTCATAATTTGTATTCATGACAAGCGCTAGGTAAAATACAGAATTAGTATTATAATTAAATTTTTTCATAGCTGTATTATTTGTCTATATACATTTTCTTTTGTATATTGAAAGATTAAGTGAACGTGAAAATCTAGATTTAAATTTTTCTTCCCATTTTATAGCTGTTGCCAATTGAGAAAGCTGCTAAAAAACTGAGCAAAAAGCAAGCTGAGGAAAAGTAAGTAATATTTCAATGTTTAATTTATGTTGCTTAGATTTATTTTAACTTTTATTTTTATAATTATATCCTAAATTTGGTTTTACGAAATTCAAAATAATAAAATACCTGTTGTAAGAAATTAAGTAATTAGTCCTAGAAATTGGTTTGTGTTCATTTTCAGGAACTTAAGAATGTTTTTAAGCTTACAATATTTATCCAAAAAAAAAAAAAAAAAAANAAAAAAAAAAAAAAAAAAACTTTTTACTTATTCTGCAATTTTTGATTCTTTATCTATGGAACATGAATTTTTAACTGACCTGAAAATTAATGGAGTTATATAATTTGATGGCGTGTATTAAATTTTTTGGGAAAAGGGTCTTAGTTTTGATTTCTAACTGATTATGTGCAGATAAATAAATGAAAAAATTATTTGTACATAGACAGAAGCTTTCAAAATTTGAGTTCACTTACAAGAATTTTAAAATGTTTTTTTAGCTTGAAAATTTATTCAAACTTTTTTTACCTGTAGTGTAATATTAGATTCTCCTCTCAAACCAGTAAGTTTGAGCCTTAAAACATGGAGATCCGATCATTAGGTCAAAGGTTGTTGCGGGTGGTCCTGTGTTCTGTTGCAACCACTTTCGTAAGAAACTAAAAATTGTTGTAGCTCGATTTGGTGATATAAGGTAGATATTTCAATAATTAGGAAGGATTTAAACAAAAAATATATTAAGACACTTAAAATTTTTTTTTATTCATTTGTGTATAATTTTTGAATTATTGATAAGATATTTTGTTGTGTCATAATATTTATTACATTTTATTTATTACTTTTTTTACAGCCTTATTTGAACATGCACTTATATTTTTCTTGTGTTTTAAAATTTTTTTTTTTTATATAGGAAATTAGCTAATGAGGAACTGCTATCAAATATTGCTCATACGGAGACTTACGTCCTTCCGAGTGGTCAGGAACTGGAGAAAGAAAATATCCTTTTAAAAAATATATATATTATTTTCTAGAAACATCTTAGTGTGTTACTTTTTCATCAAGTAATCCTACATGTTCTACCCCTAAAATTTGGGTCTCATAAAAACTCAAAACTTTTGATTCATATTTCAAAAGTAGCTTCTCTATCTTGTACGAAAACTGATCTATGAAAGTCTAATGAAGATTTTGATAATAATCTCATAAAAAAAAAATCTTTTTGTTTAGCCTTTTAAAGTTTTATTCTTATGATCTTTCAGTTTTGTTTCTGTGTGATGTATGTTTAAATGTCTATTAAAATGTATTGCAAAAATTATGTAAATAACCAAGATTAACACAGGAATAATGTGTTTACGTGTTCTTTATTTGATAGTTTTTCATTATATAAATTTTAAAACTATACAATTAACTGATACCCTATTGTTTACAATGCTTAGTTTTTTTTAAATTTTGAATTTGATTATATTTATCTTAACAATTATAAGTGTGACTCCTCCAGATCTTGTTGTAGTGAGTCAAAGAATCAAAGATATTGTTTATGCTTTAAGTGATTTCAAAAATAGACGAGAAGAAGGAAGGTAAGTTATTCAGAACATCTTTTTTCTTTCTTTTATTTTAGTTTTCATTTTTAGCAATTTCTAACTTTATTGTTATTTATTCTAACTATTTTTTTATTTGCATTAAAAACTTATTAGTTTATAATTGAAACTTTTACTGTTCTTGAAGGTTAATTTCTTAAAAATTCTGGAAGATTTTAATACACAATTATATGTCAGTTTTGATCCAGAATGTTATGCAAGACTTCGGTTCTGTCTTATGGAAGATAATATCAACAAATAAAGCTCTCATTGATTAAACTGTAAGGGTCATCAATAAGTTCAATTGGAAATTAATAATGCAACTCACATTAATTTCTTTGATCTGTTTTATTCTGTATATTCCTTTGTGGTACTTATATGTGTCATGTTTTTTTTTCTCCATACAATATTCATGTTCTATATTTTTTTTAAAAATATTTTTATTATATATTTTTGAAAGCCTTGCTTAGATTAAATTAGAGCTGTAGTTGATGTTAAATTTGAACTGTAGCTATTTTTTCAAGGTTCCCATGGTCCTTATAAGTTCTTAAAAACTGCTTAAATTTTTATTTTGGAAAGTAAGGGCCCTTAAGAGTACTTAATTTTGCTACAAGGTTAATTTCTGGGCAAATGATGCGCTTTTCAAAGAACTCTTGGTGTGAGCTCTGCTTCTAAACTAGTAGTGGTGATCAAATTGAAGTAGAGAGACTTAAAGTTGATATTGATAGAACAGTTAGAAGCTTGAAACTCCTTTTTAATTCAATCTGGGAAAAAGAAAAAGTCCCAGACAAGTGAAGATAATCAACTAAAGTTTAAATCCCCAGAAAGGAGATTATCCGTTTGCGACAACTACAGAGGAGTCTGCCTTACATCAGTTCCTGCCAAGACTTTAATCTTCAAGCTAATGAAGATTAAACCAGTTTCATAAATGGTGCGGGAGCAAATATTTACATTAAGAAACACTATTGAACAAAGTCGCGAATTTAACGTATCATTGTTCGTTGTTGAAAAATGTTGATGTTCAAAAATTTACTTACCTGGGTGCAATTATTGATAGGAAGGGAACTACAGATGCAGAAATAGACTAAAATCAATATTTTTAATTCAACAGTAAAGAAAGAGTGTACATGGAAACTGGCACAACAAAGGCAAAACAGATGTTTGAGAATTATTCTAAAAGTATTCTAGACTCAAACCATATTAAATGCAGAACTCTTCAGTAATACCAGGCAGGAACCAATCACCATACTATGGTGATACTTATGATAAGTATTCGAAGAAAAAGTTGGAAATGGGTAGGTCGCATATTGAGAATGCCTCCTATAAGAGAACCTTCTAATACCTTAGGTAAGCATCAGGTACCTTAGGTAGGCATCAGAAGGCAAACGAATTTTGAAATGGCTTTTATAAACTCATATTTTTTAATTATGAATCCACAGGAGTAGCAAAATTCTCACTTAGGTTGAACAAAAAGATTTTTAGTGACAGTAATCATCTTACCTTTAAGTTAATGAAAATAATTTAATGTGGGTTCATTAAAAATTAACCTTATAAAATGTCATTGTGAAGTTATTAAAAAGATTCAGTTTTGCAGCTTCTTAATCTTTGTCAAGTGTTGTATAGGAGGAAACTTTTCATGGAAACTGGTCCATATATTCTGCTCCGAGAGTAAGCTGTGAAGCTGTTCTTAGTATTCAATGTTTTTAATGAAAAATTTTTTTTAACTGGGTGATGTTACATTGTAGGGAGGAAATTTTGGTTTCTAAAAATAACATTGCTGTGTTTATATCATTTTTTTTCTATTTTTTTAATTTAGAAAGATTAAATTGAATAGAACATTTTATAAAATGTTGTTTTGCTATGCTGTAAAGTGGTGTTTTTAGGTTTTGAGAATAATTTATTTTTGAAGGAAAGTAATATTTATATTTCAGGTCGAGAATTGAATATCTTAACCAGTTAAGGACAGACTTGTGTTCCTATTACAGTTATAATGAATTTTTAATGGATAAACTGATGGAGCTTTTTCCCCCATCTGAGGTTTTGATAAATTTCTTGTTTTGTTTGTCCTTATTTTACAGTAAATTTTGTATTTGTACTTAATGTCTCTATTTACATTTTAGTTAATTGAGGTGTTAGAAGCAAATGAAGTTCAAAGACCTATTACTATCAGAACTAATACTCTTAAGACAAGAAGAGGTGATTTAGCGCAGGTAAATTTATTTTTGGTAGTTCAGTTGCTTTTTAGTATTTGTTTTAGTTCTTTAAGTTACCCTAGTTGTTAAAAGTTACTTGTTATGTGAATTACATAGAAATTATTCAAAAGACAGTAAATTTAAATTTTCTGTGGCTTCATTCTGTGAGGTGACTCAAGTCATTCAGAAACTGGTAAATTTTTTATAAATGTTCCAGGTATGCTTAATTTTTTAACTAAAAGAATAAGTAAAGCATTTTAACTGGATATATCTGATATGAAAACAAAAATGTAATTGAGACTTTATAAAAGCAATAATCCTCAGAAGTTGGGGAAATCTTAAAAGATTTAATCAGATCTCTTAATTCATCAAGCCAATATATATACTTTGCATGTTAATATTTACTTTTATATTCATATTCTTTGTGATTCATTAATTAAACATTATACTGCTATATTTTAAAAGCTTTTCTTTCTCTTGAAATAGCTCTTCAAACTAGATTTTGATTTCTAGAATGTCAACAATTTTAAAACCCTAGGACAATTTATAGTAATTTTCTTATTTTATAATAACTATGTTACTTCGTCTGTAAGATGACCTATTATTGTTTTCTAGGCTCTTATCAATAGAGGGGTCAATCTAGATCCTGTTGGCAAGTGGTCCAAAGTTGGATTAATTATATTTGAATCACAAGTGCCTATCGGTAAGTTGTTAACTGTCTCTAATTGACATACCAGTTCATTTATATTAATGTGCTAAACAATTTCTAAATTTTGGAGTTTTTTACTGTTTTCTTACAATTTTCCTTTGCCTTCTTTTTTTCTGCAATTTTCATCGGTATTATTACTTGAAGTACTTGGTTTTTTACTACTCTAAATTCTATTCGCAATTTTTCGTTAAATTAATCTATGGTACATAAACAGTTAGCTTGCACTTATGATAATTTAAGTGGTATATCTTTCCTTCATAATGTGGTAAATATCTTTTATAATAAATGAGATTGCTCAATAAGTAATTTTCTATTTACTGTTTTTCTATCACAAACACTCTCCAGACTTGATAAATTGACATGCATGAGTTTTTCATTTAGTAAATTTACTCATTATTCGAAAGAGGTATAGGAGCAAATTTACAAACTGGACTCAATTTACAAACTGGAAATTTTATGATTTATAATAATTGGATTGTCCGTTTTGGTTTTTCTGCCAATGACACCAAAACAAAACAGCTACCTGCTCAAAACTAGAACATGGCATGAAAATAGATATAGCATGGGCACCTGGAGCTCCTAATTTTTAAGAGGTACTGAATTAAAAATACAATATTACAAAAATTCTCAAAAAATGATGCTTTTAAAAAAAAAAAATTCATCGGCTGACTATTGACAAAATAGTTTATATTATTTTAACTTATCTACATTAAAACCGACTATAGTTCATGATAATTATTTTATTTGTTTGGTGATCTTAAGAATGAAAATTATGTCTAAAAAGTTAGTTAATATATCTGTTTGTAAAACTGGTGGTAATGGATACCGTGTTTCGAATTTGTGTTATTGCAAATGAATTTGTTAGAGATGGTTAAATTAATTCTAAAATTGGCTTTGAAGTGCCTAGTTAGAAAAGCTAAGTTAGATTTCCACATAATCAAGGAAACCTGTAAAATTGTTGTAACAAACCTCAAAAAAAAAAAGCAATCTTAGTATTTACAATAACAATAAGCAGGCTATGAATTTCAAAATAAATAATCTTAACAGTTATTATTACTATTGTTGCTTGTAAAAATTGTCTGCAGTATGGTTAAGTTTCTTTTATATATTACTAGGAAAATAAAAAGAATTTATGCAGAAGTATTCATACAAAATACTTTTTTGTACATGATAATTATCATTATACTGATTGTTTAATTCTGTGTACCATTCCATCTTTCTTGTTCCATTTTTTTTAAAATATGACTTTTTTTTAAGTTGTTTAATAAAATCAATCACTAGATAGGTAAAAATTCTTTATAAAAATTAAACTTTCTACATAAAAAAATTTTTTGATTCTTAATCACAGATTAAGTTTTTATTAAGCATTGGCTATAATTTCTTTATGATTGATGTAGCTGCTGTTACAGAATATCATATTTGATATATTTAACTATCAAAAAGTACATTTCATTCCTTATTGAATAAAAATGATTGTATTTCGGATAAAATATTGCTGTATGTAACAAAAATGTGGTCTTACATTTTGTTGACATTTTCCTGGAGGAGTTTGGGAATTTCATTTCTGAAATTGAATTCTACAAATGTGTGTACTTAAGAGATAGAATTAATGTAAGGAATTTGTTAATGTTTCACTTTTTTTACGTATTTGGCATAATTCTTTTTCTTTTAGGTGCCACTCCTGAATATTTAGCGGGCCATTACATTCTTCAAGGAGCTGCATCATTGTTACCTGTCATGGCTTTAGCTCCAAAGGAAAATGAAAAAATACTTGACATGTGTTCTGCTCCTGGTGGCAAAACGACACACATCGGTAAGGAAAGATAAAAAAATTATTTCAACTTTATTTGTTTCATTGTTGTTTCTGATTCATTTTCTTTCACCCATACATTTCAAAAATGAATTATTTTCATCAGTGAAACCTGATAAGTTTTCACATGATATAAGTTTATAATTTGTCTGTATAACCATTACCATTATATAATTTGTCTGTATGACCATTAGTCTCTGTAACCATTACTTAGCAAAAAATATGTATATTTTATTTTGCTCAGCAAGAGGTCAACTAACATAGGTTTCATTTTATTTCCATAATGATTCTGTTACTTTTGAAACTGCTAACTTTCTTACAGCCCTTTCTTAAATTAAATTTTCCTTAAATGGCATAAATCTTTTTTATAGCCAGCTCTCACGTTTTAAGACATGTTTTAATGTCTTATTCTTTAAGGTTTTTTCAAGAAATTATTTATTTTTATGAAATCTATTTTATTTTAGGAGAAAATTAACAGTTAATTAAAAAAATCTAGTTACTACATGTTAATTTGAAGGTGCTGCTCTAATTTATGGGAACAGGGCTATGACATTTATGATTGTTCTATATGCTACTGTACTCATTACTTTAAAATAACCTATTTTATGATTCCCTACAAGCTATGTTATAATCTTTCAATGCACTGTCGTAAAAAGAATGCAGTTTTATTGAATAAATAAATATACAACAATACAGAATAATAATAATTGAGGTATATTAAAAAATATGTGAAAACTACTGTGTTAATACATATACTACAGATATTCAGATACTTCCATGAATGGTTATAATGTTACACTGCAGCAAAATTCTATAACAAAATGTTTTAATTGTGTCTCTTTAAGTTAAAATGATTTTTTCCTTTGTGATTTGTATGTTATTTAATGCCTAACTTTTTGTTTCATAAATTTTTATCCTTGATTTCTAGCTGCATTAATGAAGAATACTGGTGTGTTATTTGCTAATGATGCTGTTAGAGATAGATCTAAGGCTATTGTTAGCAATTTGCATAGACTAGGGATTACAAATACAATAGTTTCTGTGAGAGATGGTCGTGAATATGCAAAAGTTAGTGAACTGACTTGTTTTCTTTTTTATATGTTTTGATTTTTCTACTTGCAATAATAATTTTTTTTTGTTGTCTTTTTAGACAATGTCAGGATTTGATAGAGTTCTGTGTGATGCTCCATGCAGTGGCACAGGAGTTGTATCAAAAGATCCTAGTGTAAAAACTAACAAAGTGAGAGCCTTTCTTTTAATTTTCCCTCTTTACATTATCTTAACAAACTGCATGGTGTCTAGTGTTTTTAAAACCCCTTAAAGGATCTTTTTTCATTGGGTGTTTGTAAAATATGCATAATTTCCTCTTTCCAAAAATGATTTGTTTTCTTTACCTTGTTGGATTGTCTTCATGAGTTAAGAATATCAGATTTTTAATATACTGATTTTGTGTTTGAGAGACCGTTCACTAATTGTATAAAATAGTTTTGACTTTTATTGTAGATTCTATTGTATTGGGTTTATTAAAATTTTCAGCATTCTGGAATAAATAAAATAAAAAATGCTTTTGGAGACAAGGTTTTAAGAAGGATAAATTAAGAAGATTTTTACTATTTTGACGTATAGCTTATACTGTTTAAAATCTTTTGTGGCTCCAATTTGGTAATCCAAAATATTATAGTTTTTCTATATATATACAGTACAGAACCCGTTATCCGGAAATCAGAAAACCGGAAAACCAAAAAACCGGAACGAAATTCGATAAATTTTCCCGCAATTTTTAAAAAATATTTTTTTTTTCCTTATGGAATTTTAGGATTTTTCTTTCTTTTTTGAAAGATGTTTACCTTACCATCATTTCAGAAATAATCATTAGTGTATTACCTCATCGTTTTTTCTTATTTTTAAGATTATTTCCAAATATTTTTTTTTTTTTTAGTTGGGTTTAACACTAAAAAAACGGCTTTTTGTAGCAATTCAGAAAACCGGAAAAATCAGTTATCCGGAATAGCGATAGTCCCGATCGTTCCGGATAATAGGTTCTCTACTGTATATATATATTATTTTTTTTGAGATATCTATTAATTATTGATATAGCTTGCTAAATATAGTAATGGATATGTGAACCATATAATAATTTGCTTCTAACAAAAAAAAATTATCTTTAATACTTTTTGTAATTTCATTTCACAATTATTGAATAACTTTTTTATCATTGCATTAAAGAAATACCGAATCTAATTACAAATTTTAATAAAACTTTTAATCGAGGCCAGCTTCATTCTCTGCACATCTTTATCAATTCAGTGTTATCCATAATATTATTTTTGTAAATGTTTTTTGTTGATAATGCATAATAATTTTTACTTAATTTTAAATTTTTTATTTAATTCTAAAAAAATTAATTCAAGTTTAACTAATTTAATTTTAATTAAACTGAACTTTTTATGCAATTGAGTAATTATTGACAAAAATGGAATAAGCAATGTATTTATGATAAACTTTCAATGATAGAATGAAAAAAAAAATTTCATGCTGATATCCTAGTTATGGTTTTTTTTATTTTATCAAAAGACTTGCTTGGGATAGTGTTCATTTTGTTTTGCAATTCAATCTGACTCATTAAAAATATTAATTGAAGGGTCTTATGTTCATGGATGTAATTCCACATTGAATATTAAATTAATTTTAAGGGATAATTATTTTTACTCATTCATTCCTTCTTACGTGCAAGTCAAAGTTTTTTTTTTTTTGCTAAATTTATAATCTTTATCCACATACTTGAAGAAAAAAAAAAGGTTATTTTTTGTACTATAGCTAGTACTTAAATCATTTTTCATATCTGTAACTGCCATATGTTGTTCAAAAAGAGAAGGGAAAAGAGTATAATTGTCTTATGGCAGAGAATAAATTTGTTTTATTTTAATAATTACATTTTTTGACAGGATGAAAAAGATATTCAAAGGTGTGCTACTCTGCAGAGACAACTGTTATTGGCTGCCATTGATAGTACTAATGCTAATTCCAAAACTGGAGGCTATATTGTCTATTCAACTTGTTCAATTCTTGTAAGGTTTATTTTTTAATAAATATGCATGTATGTATGTCAATAACTTTGAGTGTTCATCTTTTAACATTTTTCTTTTTAGCCTGATGAAAATGAATGCGTAATTGATTATGTCCTCAAAAAAAGAAGCGTGAAAATAGTGCCCACTGGCTTAGACTTTGGTAAAGATGGATTAGCCAAGTAAGTGTTTTAATAATGCAAAATTACATATATATATATATATTCATTTTTTATTTTAAAAAATGGTAATTAAAAGTTTATAACTTTGTTTCATTTCAGGTATAGGACTTACAGGTTCCATCCTACTTTAAAATTAGCTAAACGATTTTACCCTCACACACATAACATGGATGGATTTTTTGTTTGCAAACTGAAAAAATTCTCTAACATAATCCCTGGCACAGGTAAGTTTATATTGATATCATTAAATCAGTATTTGTTTGTCTTATAAAGAACGCTTGTTTTAACCAAGAAAAATCATGGAAGTACAAAGTTTCGTACACAGAAATTTTTTGAATCGCAAAAGTATTACCCGATAAAGCCAGAGTACGCTTTTTAAAAATGAGTTATACTTCAATGTGCATAACATTATACCAACCAAATATTTCCGATTTTTTTCGTTAAATCAGGAATCGTTATTTACACTAGTTCATTTTTTTAAAAGTATACATACAATTGTTGTATCTAAATTAAATACAGTCAAGTTCTTTGTCAAATTAATTGAGTTATCCTTGTAGCAACATCTAACAGTTTTAGTTAAGGAGGACAAATATGAATTAAAATTTTGTGTTTATTTATAGTTTCAAAATTTAAAATAAATTTTTGCGTATTTTTAAGTGAAGTTACCTCACTGAAAATTGCTCAAATTTTTTATATTTATTAATAAAAAAATATTTCTCATTTATGACTTTATTATTAACCATTTGAAAAATAATTATATTTTGACCTTTCACTGACACAGAAACACATACATATCCATGAGACTTCTCTTCTACTTCTTAAAATTTAAAAATAAATATATGTGTACAGGGTGATTATAATTTAAGTTATGATTCTTAAAATCAATAATTTGAAACTACTCATCAGAAATCGTGAGTCAATGGAATTTTGTTCAGCAAAGGAGAAAATAGTTCCAAAGGCTGCCGATAGATGGCGCTGTCGGCAGAAAGACCTCAAATGGATTCATTCAACGCAGGAATGTTGTTAGTGAAAAGACAAGAATTCTTGTTTGCAGCAACAACAGTAATAGTGCCAGCAAAAAGAGCTTCATGGAATAAACATCTTACTGACGATTAAGGCATAAGTTGTTTGGTGTGCTCTTCGCCTTTTTCCGCTACTTATTGGTGCGAAGCGACATGCTCTACAACAGATTGGAGGGTTTCTGTACCGAGGCAATGTATGTTGTGTGTGATGCTTGCCTTCAAGTTGGCTAGATTCTCAATCTGCCCTCTGTAAAACACTTTCTTCAGGTACTCGCAAAGCCATAAATTTCACAGGTTTAATTCAGGAGAACGTAACTGCCACAAAATAGCGGATTATGATCCACACACTGACTTTGAAGTGCTGGAACGGCATAGTTAAGCAAAAGTACTTCATACCACTTGCCAGTAACGGTGCAGGTAACAAGACCCGCAGATGTGATCTCCTCAAAGAAAATAGACTATCAATAAACGCTGCCGTTATTCCACACCACTCAGTGACCTTTTCAGAGTGAAGAGGTAATGGCTGTAGTTGGAATGGATCTGGGACACCCATATCCAGCAATTTTGCATATATTTACAGATTCTTGCAAGTGGAAGTGGGCTTCGTCAGACCACAGAATGTTCCACTCGGCAAGCAATTGTAGTACAAAAGATTCATGTGGTTCCAGGTCATCAGGTAACAACTGCTGCACATGAGTTATCTTGTGCAGGTAACATCTCATTGTGTTCCGTACGACTTCATGCACCATGCTGATCGGCATGTCATTGTTATGCTGTAGCCATATCTTCCACTTCCTCGGCCGAAACTGATTTGCTTCCTCTACCCTGTTTCACGTCAAATGAATTGGTCTCTTTCTGGTTAGCTATCATTTTTCACAAACCATTTGTGGTTATTGTGTCCGATTTTACGGATTTTTAAATCCGAAACTTGCTATTAGCTGTAAGTGCACACTTATCGTTCTTGAAAAAAGCTTCAAGAGTTGTTGCTCTGCATTATTAAGGCAGAGTAATTTGCATATCTCCAAATAATGTTAACCCTAACACCATCATCTATCGACAGAGTTGGGAACTAAAACACATAACCACATACATAAAACACTTAAACGTTTAAATGTTCACACAGAGATTTAGAAATACTGTTCATTTCTGACCCCAGGTGCGTTTGAGTTTCTTCATTTCGTGAAAGTGAAACTTTATTAAATAGTTACACTAAATCTTTTTTTATTATTTTTGTCAATTTTTTAGTAAAGTATATCCTCCATTTACTGTGGAATTTCCATAGTTACAGAAAATATTTTTCCCAATGGTAGCAAATGTAATGTATAAACAGGATGGCCAGAAAACAAAGAGAATGGTGCCAAGTTGGAGATTTGTATCTGGAAAAGATTGGAGATTTAACTGAAATGTCCCAAAAAATCAGAGAAAATGAATAAATTTATTTTTGAGAAGCCTAAAAGTCTGATTTTTTTTTTTTTTTTTTTTTTTTTTTTTTTTTTTTTTTTTTTTTTTTTNTTTTTTTTTTTTTTTTCAATAAGTAACTCGAATGGTCCATATATGTGTTTTGAAGAATGCTTTATGTTTTAGACTAAGGTTTGAAAGAAAAAATTTATAATAAAATCTATGCAACTTGTTACACAAATCATGAATTTTTCTTCTTCTGACTAATTGCGACCTTCCTGATTGATATCTAAATGAACAGGAGATGAAAGAGCTTTGTCCACCAATACATTAAAATAATTTAAATAGTTACATAGAAAAATGGTCATATTCTGATAAAAGTTTTATAAAAATTCTTCTTTTAGTCTTATAAAATTATGCTTTAGTACTTACCATTGTAAAATATCTTTCTTAAACACCTCAAATGTTGAAGGGTATGGTAATGTACAGGGGCTGTTTTGTTGTGTACTCTTAACAGGTTACAAGTGTTTGTGTCTTGCCCTGGCATTCCTCAGAAACTATTGTGCTCAGTTACAACTGCGTAGGTAGCTTGTATGGCCAGTTATGTGTCTTTAAAATGATGAAGGATTTGACTGAATAACAAATTGCCTGCCGCGTATGAGGTAGAGTCAGTGGAGCATTTTTAGTCGGCAAAAAACCTGTCTGCTGCATGCATTCACAGCGGATTTTTGAAGCTTACGACACTTCCTACTGACACTTCCTATGTTGACAGGAAATTTTGCTACTCCATGACCATGATTCTCTTCACAGCTCAGTCCCAAGCTTTATTGGACTCTTGACTGGGAAGTTTTGGACCTTCCCTCAATACAGCTCAGACCTTGCGCTAAGTGATTTTCATCTTCTCCGATGTTTCAAACATTACTTTGGCGGCAACCAAAATGGTCGTGACCTCTTTGTTATCAGAGCAGGCCGCAAGTTACTGTGAAGAGGGTATTCTAAATATAGTTGAAAGGTATAAGTGTTTAAGCGAATTTGGCAACTATTTTGAAAAAGATTAAACGTATGTAGAATAAAAAAATAAATTTTCTTTCCTTTGGTTTTTATCTTTAAATGGCCTTTACTTAAAAAACAGTCCTTATATATGTGAACTGAACAAGTTCATATGAAAGTCACCTACTTGTGAATTTGTGCAGTTGGCTTAAAAAAAATCAGCTTAATAACAGTTTATTTTCTTTTATGTAGAAAAGAAAAATTCTAAAAGTGATGCTCAAGTTGCTTCTAACAATGATGAGAAAGGAATTAAAGCTGAGAATGCCTCAAAACAAAAAAAGTTAGTCCAGAAGAAGAATAAACAGAAAAAAGAGCAGCAAGAAGAAAGTGAAGAAGAAACTGTGCCTGATGATGAAAATGATATTAATCAAGAAGAATCAGAAGTTGAAACTGTAAATGACAAGAGCAGTCCTCAGGCAATTGACCATCAAGATAAGAAAAGCAGTCGCAGACTTAATAAAAAAAAGAAACTTCTTCAAAATAACTCTAAATCGAAACATAATAAACACCACCAGCAGAATTTCAAAGCCAAACCATTTTTTAAAAAAAGAAAAGATAAATAAATCATTGGCATGTAAAAATGTTATGTATGAACTACCATTATTGTTTCTTTACCATTGTTGTAAAATATTTTATTTATTAAAAATATTTTAGAATAAAACCTGTTTTTAAATGATCATATACCTTGAATTTCTAATCTCCTTTCACCATTATTTAAAAACAAAGCAATTGCAGTCACTGGCATAAGCTTCAAACCTTGTTAATAATTTTGATTTTATGCAACGTTTTTAAAAGTTAGCATCAACAAGTGTAGCACATATATACCTTTTTCCTTGTGATAGCCTAAAATAGAATTCTAAAGATAAGTAATTAAAAACACAATGTTCAATTAAGAATTTTTTTAATTAAATACAGCTGTAAACTGTGAAACTACTGATATTAGAAAGTATTTGCGTAATTGCATAAAAAAAGCTTTCTTTGGACAATATAATAAGAGGCAGGCTGTTTTGCAATCAGTATTGATCACAGTACTTTTGAGTGTAGATACATGCACGCCTAAGTTGGTTTGGATTTGTATATGGAATCTGTGTACACGCATTTTGTTCCAAATATATATAGGCGCATTCATGCATTTTTTGCTTTGTAAGAAATTATAGCTAATTATATCCAATATTAAGAACAAAAGTACAATAGTTTTTTTATACTATAACATGAATACAGTTCTCTCTCTCTCTCTAATACTTAATTGATCCATACTACACAAAATATCCATTTTGGTCATTTTTTTCAAAATATAAAAATTAAGATCTCATCAAATTAAAATTATTTAACTAACTTGTTGGACTTTGGGAGAGGAGAAAGGATAAATATTATTATCTTATAACAAAATTAAATGTTTGATTTAGGAGAAGTCCTTAATCGTTTCTAATTTCCATTAGCAACAGATTTTTCTGTTGAACAATAATTCTAAGTTTCTTTTAATTAAAACTGAAACCCAAATAAAATATTATAAAAGTGATATCCAGTATTGGGTTTGCTTTCTACCCTGCTAACGTCCCCATCTTTTATCTATAACCATTGTGATCTCATTATAGGCATTTCTTAGCTTTTAAAATTAATTTTATTTTCATTCATTAATTTTATTTTTTAATCTTTCTTAATCTATTTAAAATAAATGAAACCAATTATTTAAAATTTATCACATTTTATAAAAATGGAACATAAATTATTTTATTATCTTCTTAACAGTCAATGTAATGGCTAATTTTTTAATTCAATACAAATGTATAACTCATTGTTTCCCTGTCTAAATTGAATATCAAAATCTATTTTCTTTTTAACTCTTTATTCCTTAAGCTACTTTATTTTTCTAACCACAAAAATGTTTCAGTTACAGAATCAATAATTCTCACATTCTTTTTGGTGATTAAGCTGTAGCCAGATTATTTAATATTAATAATTGGGGTTGGCTTTGTTTTTGGCTATTTTATCTACTGAGAAATCGCCAGCAGTGGATCTCTGTTTTTTTTTTTTTTTTTATCTTATATTACCAATATTTCTTAAATAAGTGCAATTATCGTTTGATATATCTGTGAACTATACATTTTTCGCTAAAGCAATGTACAGTGCACAAAAAAAAACGGACCATTCTGAATAACTTTTGATCTAATGAGTCGGATCTTCACGGTCTGATTCATTCTTAATAGTTCGAGGGGTGACTTCAAATATGCTAATTAATTAATGCAGACGATTTGCACTCAGAATTTTAACAAATATTTACACTGGTAAAAACGAGGTACTGTGAGCCAAAAGAAACTGATCACCCTGCATAGTTTTTGATCTAAGGACAGGATCCTCACGCTAACACTCAAACTTAATGGTTCGAGGGGTTGTGCCCTCAAATATGTTAATTAATTAGTGCAGACTATATTTTAAGTTATGAAATCAGACACAAAAACGTACTTTCTCTAAATAAACATACCTTTTTCGACAGATTCGGATTTCTGACCCCAAAAATGTGGTCCTAATATTTTTTTCAGGAGAACGGTCGGAAGTTGCCTCTTAATTTTACTTTTTTGTGTATTTCGTTATATCTCGAAAACTTTTTAAGTGAAGTGAAAATTTTTTGCACACAGTTATGAAATTTGTACAATAGAAAAATTATTTCTTGCAAAAAATAACTTTTAGTAAATTTGTATTATTTTTTTTAATAATGGTCGAAAAATTTTTGAATTGTAAGGTATATAATATTTTGCATCAGTTTGAAGAATGTAAATTTACATGGCGAAATTGGTCGAATAGTTCCTGAAGAATCGAATTTTAAGTATCAAACCTTTTCGAAATTCAATTTCTCAGGAATTTTTAAACTAGTTTTGTTTGAAATTTGTTTTTTGCCAAGTGAAATTTTTCTTTAAAATGATGCAAAAATTTTAAATCTTACAATTCAAAATTTTTTCGACCAATATTAAATGCAAATTTTTTTTTAATTAGTTTAAAAAGTACTCGAGATGTAGCAAAATACCACTGACAGTAAAATTAACATTAAGCAGTCCAAACCTTGCACTGTTTTCTTGACCAAACTATTGGGACCATATTTCCCCGATTGTGGCTACCCCCCTAATTTTGGAGGTCAGAANACCCCCCCCCCCCTATAACTTGGTGGTCTGAAATCCGAATCCGTCGAAAAAAAGATATGTTTATTCAGAAAAAGTACGTTTTTGTGTCTGGTTTTTTAACTTAATATCTCGTCGGCACTTATTAATTAACATATTTCAGGTCCCCTCGAGCCATTAAGATTGAGTCCTAGAATGTGAAGATCCGATCATTAGATGAAAAGTTAATCAGGGTGGTCCGTTTTTTTTTTTTTTTNTTTTTTTTTTTTTTTTTTTTTTTTTTTTTTTTTTTTTTTTTTTTTTTTTGACGCACTATACAACTATTGACTAAAATCACACATTCATAAAACTATGGGAAATCATTCTTCTTCATCACAAAACTGGAAGAATTGCTATCATATTATATTGTTACTCTGTTCACTTTTACTGCTCTCTTTAACAACAATTTCATATAGTTGAATTAAAATCAAATGAAAACAGACATTTCTTGTATTTAATTTTTATCTTCTATTATTTGCAAATTCAAATTTTGTTCGAATCGGGGTACACCTATAGTCTCTACTTAATTGCATTTGGGTCACAGATAAATTTTAGATTTAAGAAGATGGAGCGGCAAATTGGCTTGGAAAATTCTGATACTTTAACTAATAGTAATTTAAATTGTAACTTTTCTCTCCCCTATTAGGTCGATTCCAGCTTATACTATTTAAATGTATGCTATTTACTATAAGGTTTGTTTGAACTTAAAAATTTTCTGGTTTAGATAGAATTCCACTCATGTCTATCCTAGGCAGCTAACTGTATTGGTTTGCAGACTATCAATCAATCTAACTTTAGTTCTCAAAATAAATTTAATCATTTTGTTTTTAAAAAAATAAGCTGAAAATGCCAAAAATCATCGTTAAATTCAAGCTTTATATCTTTTGATTAAATAAATAAGTTAATCCAAGACACAAATGTTCCAACTTTTGCGAATCCTGAATAGCTCTGAGGTTTAGCGCATCCGGACTCACTTCCCCAACTGACTATTCCCTCTAAATACCACCTGTTTTCATTGGAAAACATATATGGCCCACCACTGTCTCCATAGCATGTATCAGATGCACCATTGTCATACCCGGCACAGAACATGTTCTTTGTAATTGTAACTGTTCTTAGACCTTGCCTGTATGCTTCTTCACATTTATCATAGCTCACAACTGGCAGAACCGTTTCTTTCAAAGCATTGGAGTATTTACTTTCTTCTGTTATTCCCCAACCAATCACCTGAAACAAAACATTGAACTTAAGAGAAATGTCTGAAGTATTTGAACTTGTGTTCCAAAATAAGTAAACCATTTGTCATTTTTGTTCTCTTTAAATAATTAATGAACACAAGACGATATTTCGCGAAATAACATTTTAGAAGTATTCTCATAATTTATTGTGGTAAAAACCATAAAAATACTTAAATGTCTATGAATTCTATCTTGGACATTGATAAAAATACATGCCTAAAAAAATGGACCCTCGAAAAACATATTTGGGAAAAAGGATATATCTCAAAATGCGCATTTAAGATTTTGGACACAACTCAAAAGTCTTTCGATGCTACCCAAAATTTTAACGGCTGAAACAAGGATTTCACTTACTTTTTTAAGCACTATATAAGTACACTCTATAACAAAAAAATATACGCACCATGAAGAAGTTGTCCAATTGAAACGAAAATTGGTGGATAGGAAGACAATGTACAGAATAGTAAATGATTAAAATTTCAGAACAATTGAATAATTTATTGCAGAGTTACAGTAACAAGTTCAATAAGGTGTTGACCCGCCTCTAGCCTGGATACAAGCTGCCACATGGCGCGGCATAGACCGATGAAGCTCCCGGATGGTCTCTTGCGGTATTTCCTGCCAAATTCGATCCAATAGTCGAAAAAGGTCATCAACATTCCGTGCCAGATGCAATCGCCTTACCATCATATCCCAGACATGCTCGATGGGAGAGAGATCTGGTGATCTGGCAGGCCAAGGAAGAGTTTGACAAGCTTGCAGACAGTTCGTAGCAACACGTGCCGTATGTGGTCAGGCATTTTCCTGCTGAAAAACCAGCCCAGGGTGCTGCAAAAGGAACGGTAGCAAAACAGGTCTTAGGATGTCGTCGACGTACCGCTGTGCAGTAAGTGTACCTCCAATGACGACGAAAGGGCGCATTTTTAAAATAACACACTGAGATTTATATTCTCACAATTAAAAAAAAATCTCGCTTCGATATTTTATTAAAACGTTAATAATAGTCTGTGGATATATACTTGATAATATCCTTCCTACATAACACTTTTCTCTTGCACAAATTTCAGATATTTTTACCCAATTTTTCAAAATTGTGTTCTCCACATAACATTTCATGTTTCTATTTACAGATTTTTAGGGTTTTTTTTATCAAACAAATCCCTGTACGGACCAAAAGCCTGAATTCCGTGCTCAAGGTGGCTAAGTATATAAAAAAAGGCTCACCGACGAATTGCTTCTAATGCACTTTGAATTGTGTTTTTAAATGTTGTAATTGCCCGTTGAGTTTTTAATTGAAATTATTCTTACAAGTTAAAAATTTATGATAAATTACTTAAAATAATTTTTTTTAAAAGGAAAAGTACTTACAATCCCCTTCTTACCGTCCCTGATATTTTCACGACTTGTGATTTCTGTTGGCAAGCAAATGGGTCGTACTCGTGCAGTAAGCTCCGCTGGTTCACTTAACCTCAATAGGGCAATATCCATATCAAAATGTATAAAATCATATTCTTCGTGGACTACAATGTGAGCCACCTAATAAAGGAGCAAAAAAAAACGTAACATTTATCGATTAATAACTCGTAAATTTTTGTCTTAACTGGGTTACCACTCCATGGGAAAATACAATGAATTTAAAAATCACCTAAAATAACATGGAATTTTATTTCTTATTTTCGTCTTTTAAAAAATAGTGACCACTCACTATGTAATCTACGGGATATTGAAGGATGATATTCCAACTGTACTTAACTCTTTCATTTACTATAGCATTATTTTAGTATGTTCAGCTGTTCCTTTTTCTCTCTAAGTTTCTCCAGCAAATAAAACTAGTATAGTTAGCTCAATATAGCTCACACAAGTGTTCAGTAATTGTGTTTCCTCTCAATATATTGTGTATAATATCGCTCATGGGCTGCAATAGCGGCACAACTCAAAAAATCATGTTTTGAGATAAGTGAGTTTAAAGTTTTCATTGCTAAGGAAAAGACATAAGAAATGCTTTAATTTGCTTAAACGAAGATTACCTTCAAGTGGAATTATAACTTATGCTGGTATTGCTGTTGAAAAGAATGTGTATTTTTATATTTACACCTGTTCTTAGTCCAAAACGCGTGCTTTTTGAGTTGCAACTATGGATGGGTGGTCTAACGTAAACAATAACAAGCGTCCTTAAACCGGAAGAAATTTAGAAAATATCCGGTGTATCCCTCCGCTTATGTTATGACTACGAGGCGATGTGTGAACAAGCCTAATATTCTATACAGTTTTGTTATTGTANTTTTGAGATAAGTGAGTTTAAAGTTTTCATTGCTAAGGAAAAGACATAAGAAATGCTTTAGTTTGCTTAAACGAAGATTACCTTCAAGTGGAATTATGACTTATGCTGGTATTGCTGCTGAAAAGAATGTGTATTTTTATATTTACACCTGTTCTTAGTCCAAAACGCGTGCTTTTTGAGTTGCAACTATTGCAGCCCATGAGCGATATGTACAGGGAAAACACAAGGAATTTTTTTTCTTCCATATTTGAGTGGCAACCCTGTAGTATAACTTAACCTCTTTTAAAAATATTAGGATTTAAGTTGGTATTTGAAACGTTAAAATAATAGATGCTACAATTATTTAGATAATTACAGCATTTTGGTAACAGTTGATGAAAAAAAATTATTCAAAAGAAACAAAACGGGGAGAAATTTTCACAGTTTTGGTCAAATCACAAAATTATAAAGATTATTCTTTTTTCTTGCTTAAAAATTAATGCTAACTAAAGTATCAATCCTATGCAAAATAACCATATCTTTTGTGAGAGAACTAGCTTTAAAAGTCGTGATATTCTTTAAAAACCTTTAGGAAGTTATTAAAACAAAACTGGTAAAAAACGAAACGTATCTCGATACAGTTAATATTTTGAGCAAAGTTAGTGTAGAAACTTTACTGTTCGCAAATATCGTAAATTTACTGATTTTACGTAATACGGCATGTTTCAGCAAAATTTAAAAATTTTTACTTAACTTTAGCAGTATGAAGGAAATTGTATTTTATTATATCAGAACACAGATATAGGTTAAAATAGTATGAAAGAAATTGTATTTTATGATATCAGAACACATATATATTGGTTAAAATAGTATATTTTATTATATCAGAACATTGATCAAGGTTAAAATAGTCTGAAAGAAATTGTATTTTATGATATCAGAACAGATATATAGGTTAAAATAGTATATCTTATTATATCAGAACACTGATCAAGGTTAAAATAGTCTGAAGGAAATTGTATTTTATTATATCAGAACACAGATAAAGGTTAAAATAGCATGAGGGAAATTTTATTTTATTGTATAGAAGAGGATGTGCAGCGTGAACCTTAAATTTCTCACTTTTTACCCAATTTTTTAAAACTTTTGTCAATAATATGCTATACTGATATACTTTTACTCGTTTATTACCATTTTATATCCCATTTAATCTAGCTATACAAACCATTTGTCAAAATTTTATTTAAAAAAAGAAAAAAAATTATCGAACGTATAGACAGTCACCTTAAAGCTGCTTATAACTCTCTTACCCGCATTAGATACATGAACAAGAACTTTATCAAACGCCGACATAACTTTTAAGACACAAATAAAAATTTTGGAAGACAATTTTTTTTTTTTTTCAAATACCATTAAAGCACTTAGAAAGAAGAATTTGATAATGAACTGTTTCACAAATTGCATACCTTTCTCATCTGTACGAATTCATCATCAAGCGAAAAATTTCTATAATATTTCCCAAGGAATATTATTAAATTTTTAGCATCGATTGGTATGTTTGAATTCATTCGTGTCACACAATGGGCAGCAGTTAGAATCCACAACTCATTAATCATGGCCCCACCACACATTATCTTCAAGCTGTTCATTTTCTTCAGGGCTATTCCTGCCATCCATGGCCATTGTCCCATTTGGGTCATATTACCATTAACAATGAAAGGTTGTTTTGGAGAGTCAGACTTTCCACATTCTAAAAACATAGAACAAAATTTGGTAAAATAACAATTAAAATTTCATAGTATTAAGTTATATAAGCAATAATGGAACGGAAAGTGTACTTACAATCTCCAAAATGTTGTCCCTATAATTTAGTCAACGACTATAATTAATTCAATTTAGTCATTAGACGAAAAATTAGGTGAGGGAGGGGGGTGCACGAGAATTTATTTTTAAATTCTTCTATGTTTTTTTTTATTTTTTAAAGCTGTTATTGATGATCTTCTCTCGATTACCATGATGTTTTTATTTTAAAATGATAAATTTATAAAAAAAAACTACTTCAAAAGCAAAATAAAGTATGTAAAAAAAGAAATAAAGGAAGTTATTTCAGTTCATATTCGAAAAAAATTTTGAGATTTTAAAGTAAATATAAAGCCAATTTTGTTACTATTAACGCTTAACATACATTTATAATATCTACTGGAGAGAAATGAAAGCATTTAAAAAACATATTTACGAAATCAAATGAAAAATATTTAATCTAAATGTATACTTATTGAACTTTTAGAACAAAACTATTTCTTTCTGCAAAGTTCATTAGAGAAAAAAAAAAACTACTAAAAATGTCACATAACCTTAAAGAAAGTAACTCTGATGAAAGTTTGATACTCTGAACCATATAATTTATAAAATCGTGATTTACATTTGTGTCGAATTCTCGTCCCAACTGGAAACCAAGACTCCTTTTTCAATGACATCATCGTTTTCCGTGTCGTTCATAATCCCTAAAAATTTGAGTCTAAAATTGAATTTCCTTTTCAACTTTTCTTTAAAAAATAATTCTTTTGTGTCCCATATTAGCTATGCTCTGATTGACCAATTTTTGTATTTGCATCGTATGATTATTGTTCTGAAAATGAAATGCTTACCAGGAATACAAGTTGGTTGGTAACCACTCCAAGTGAGAGAAGGCTGGCAAGTTTGATACTCTGAACCATATAATTTATAAAATCGGGATCTACATTTGTATCGAATTCTCGTCCCAACTGGAAACAAAGACTCTTTTTCAATGACGTCATCGTTTTCCGTGTCGTTCATATTCCAAAACCATCTTTGGAGTATAGGTCTAAAATTAAATCTTCTTTTAAAATAAATTTTTTTGGGAAACTTTTTTTTCTCCACTCAAATTTTTTTTATAACACATTGGTACTTACAAATCAGAAGAAAAAAATCTTTGTAGAGCCCCTAGATTCGGGAGAGTAACCTTAGCAACGGAATTTTTTGATGTTGTAGGCTTAAAGCAATGACCTGAAATGTAAAAATTTTATTTTAATTGATTTTCAAGTAATTAGGACTTTCACAGCCTTCCCGCTATCATACCTCCTCTCTCTCCATTTCCCCCCTTATAATACGACTTGAAAAAGCATTTATTTATTCAAAACTAGAGTTCCTGAATCTAACGTAATTAGATATTTGCGACACATGGGCCGCAATCTTCGATTACTTGAGAGCCATAATGTATCAAGTTGAAAAGGAATAATGCCAAAATTTCCTAGTAGACTTAACATAAAACGATCGAATAGCTAAAGTATGAATTTTTTTAAGAAAAAATTCATCTAACTTCTTAAAGTATCTATTACAAAAAAAAAAAAAAAAAAAAAAAAAAAAAAAAAAAAACGTTAAACAACCATATATTTTGTGAAATAATTAGCTTTTAAGAACTATTATGGCTATATTTAACCCTTTTGTCACATTGTTTATGCTATTGCATGCTAATTTCCTAATTAAATAGTTAATCTTTTGATAAAACGTTTCCTTGCAAGGAAGTTATCTTTATAAGAAAACTAAAAATAAACTAAATTAAAAAAAATATAAGCAAGCTAAAAATAAAGTTCTATTTTTTTATTTAACGGGAGTGAGTTTTTTCAACTTTTTGTCAGAATACCATTATTTTTAATTTTAATATAAGGCAAAATTTTGCCTTTTTAAAGACAGTTCTTTTTCGAATACCTTAAAAAAGGTTAATTTTTCACGCATTTTCCTATCTGTATAAACGCGATTTAAAACTATATTCACACGTTTTAAAAACTCGATTCGTGTTCATGCGATTTAAAATTACACATCATGATCTGTATTTCCGATATTTGAAATTATACATCACGATTCATATTCACCCTATCGAAAACCTTACATCGAAATTCGTATTCGGGCGATTTAAAAAATCACATATCGTATTCATATTCATACAATTAAAAAAAAAATCGCGTATCTGCTTTTTTTTAAAAAAAAATTTTATTGAATCAAATTACAGGTATTTTTTCAATAATTTAAAAAGTGTTTTGCAGATAACTTTTTATGAATTTCTGTTTTTTTTTCCCCCAACTCATCCCTTATTTAAAGAGCTAAATTAGTTAATAAAAAATAATATATACAACTTGAATATAATTTGATGTGTCCTTTGTCAGGTAATTATGTTGACGCGACGCGATGAAAATTTAAGAAAAACTTCGCTCCTTTATCTGGACAATTTTGAAGATGTTGTTAACAATCTTTAACTACTTTAGTCACAGAGACTCTAGATAAAACCATTTGATAGTTAAAACTATTGTTAAATATCATCCGCTATAAGAATCTACATATTTTCTTTCATTGAGTGAAGTTAATATTATTTCCATTTTAGATCATATCATCAGATAATTTATTTTCTCCTTACCGGTTACATTAGTTGGTGAAGGCGGCAAAGAAGGCAGCACCTGTACCATACATATGGGTTTTTCTGGCATCCATCGGCCATGTTTCTGACATTCTATGGTGTCACTTCCTGAGATAGTGTAACCGGCCTCACATTTATATATAATTTTTGCACCGAGTTTGAATTCCGAGCCCATAGGAATATATTCTCCAAATGAAATGCCTCCTGGATTACTGCAAAGATTTGAACCTAAAAATAAATAAATAAACAGTATAGATCACTTTGAAACTAAAACTTTTTGTTTGAAGACTGTATTAAGTTTAAAGTTTTGATTAAAAATATGTATAGGGGAGAGTGGGGTCATATGTAACATTTTTTACTTAACTATTTTTAACTAACAAAAAAATCCAATATATTAGTATTAATTGACAAACGAGTAAAGTGGACTATCCTCTACTAGAAAAGAATAAGTACCATATTTTAAATGTTATTATATTAGTTATTAACAATTTTTGACAGTCGTGCACTTGTTACAATTGTCCCCACTTACGGGGTCAATTGTAACAGTTCATAAATTCAACTAAAACATAGTTAATTATACATATTATCATAGTTGTGATATATTTTTTTATTGATCAAAATAGTAGTGATATTTTAGGAGTAAAAATAATAATGAGCAGAGACCTAAAGGGTTAAACTTTTAACTTTAAGGGGTTAAAAATTTTAATTTATGCTGTGAAAGGTGACAAATAAAATAATGCACATGCAACATAATATAAATGATATAGGAAACTATTGGTGGTTCTTAAAGAGTTAAGTAATGGTTTGTAAACATAAGATTATTTATTTTCAGCTGTTACAATCGTCCCTTTACTTATTGTTACAATTGTCCCCAAGACGCCATTTCAGCTTCATTTGTTAAAAACAATGCTAGTTAATTAGCAAAACTAATTTTTTTTTTATTGAAATGTTAATTAAGGTGTCCACTTACATATTCGGTTAATAATTTTTATTTGTTTAAACAAAATTACTTTGTTACAATATAATATTCTAATACCAAAAAAAGTACTTACGTAGCGTGAAAATATCTTTTGTGATGTAACTCTTTCAAAAGTACATAAAAATGGTTGCCAGCAGGGGTGTACATGTAGATTTATTAAATACAACTTGTGCGCCACCTAGGAACCAAATCTAGAACCCGACACTCGAAATTTTTGCTCTGTTACAATCGTACCCTGTTACAATTGACCCCACTCTCCCCAATGCATATAAATACACCATAAGATATTCTGTAATCAGCTTTCTTAGTATAAATTTTTAGAATCCTTGTCAAAAACGTCCAAGAAGTATTCACTTTAGGGGTCATAAATCAAAGTGAGGTAGAAAACACGATATCGAAAGCAGTTGAATCACTAGGAAGGAAGGCAGGATGGGTAAAAATAAAACAATTTTCATTATTTCATAAAACTTTCTGAGGTATTCCTAATAATTGCCATCTCTGTTTCGTCCTACAATCAGGCACAGATTGATTTTTTAACCCCTTTACTAGTAATTCTTTAGACTTCGATAGTTTTTTGTCTTTCCTCCCTTATACATTAATTTGCAATTGAAACCCCTGTTGTGCAACTCCTATTTCATTTTCGACAAGAATTCTAAAAATACATATTAAAGATGGAGATTACTTCAATTGACATAAATGCAGTATGATATGAAATTTAGAGATAAGAAATATTTGTCTATTTATTTATTTACTGCATATTTACTCTAAAAGTTATAGGTAATAAATCATATTAATATTTTATACATTCCCAAATATCAAAAATAAAGCTTTCATTTTTATTTTAACTAAATGTTTAGAAAGTTTAACGACGATTTAAAAAAAAAATAACAAAATTATTTCTCCTTCCTCAGAATAATATAAAAAATTTACAATGTTCTTTTGAAAGGAAAAAAAAAATTGCCCGAGTTTTATACAGAATTTTCATAGTTTTGTGGTTGAATATGGCAACTAGTTGTTCGCACTATTCCTATTGGACGATTGGTTAATCCCATTCCAGTAGAAACGTATTCCTATTGGCCCATTCATAACTGATTGATCATTGATAGATTGCTAGTGGACAGGTAAGTGAAATGAATTAGCTTAGACATCTCTAGCTTTAAGTACATTTTGGTCTGAAAAAGAAATGGTGCACACTAACAATTTCCAACTTTATATAAAACAACCGCGATCTGTTTGAAAATCATTTTCTCGGATATTTGGTGCAACGGAAATGTAAGATTCCTACTAAAAGATTAACCACTTGCACCACACTGATATTCGGAACAAGCCGTGCCTAACTTATGCACCCGAATGTTCGCGAAAAGAGCCTAAGACAAGAAAGACAGAGGATAAGAAACAAGACGTAAAATAATAGACGTAAACAAGACCTATTCATATAAAGAAGAGATAAGAGCCCATTCAGACGTTCTTTTTTATCCCGAGATTAAGACGACGAGTATATTCATGTTTGGCCCGAAATGTCGATTACGAGCCAGACTCATGATATTCACGTTTGACATGAAATTAAGCAACCAGACTGACTCGTGATATTCAAGTTTGACCAAAAATTTTCATCACGAGTCAGATTCATGAAAATAGTGCAAGTGGGTTAAATAAATTAAAAGATATCAAATATATTATTACCATCAACGCATGGCGGTAATATTGGTGACCACACTCCATTGGTACTACAAGTGTATGTTTCAGCCTCTGATACAGATCTTCGTGAACTTGGAGGATAACAACTAATATTGCAGACGGTTTCTATTCTTCCATAGTAACACTGCCAACTACTTGCTCTAAAATTTTTGGATATAGCACACAGTCTAAGAGCTGAAGGAATTGGAGAACAAAAAGTTAAACAAAGCATAGGATACATTTGTTTATACAGGGTGTTCTGTAACCACCACCTTTAATATAATATATTTTCAGAGTCTTCGCTAAAAATTTAGCCACTAAGAACTTTACAACAGGAAAAAGAAAGCTAAGTTAAAATATATGTATTTTTCATTATCTGTATATTTTAAAATTAAAAAGTAAAAAAAAAAGAAAAATTATATAAAAATTTAAAGAATTATGGTTGAATTTCAATCATTGTAAATCCGGGGGTTAAAATAATTTATGTGTGTGTGCGTGCGTGTTAAATTTATCTGACAAATAAATATTATAAAATATAAATTAGCAACTCTGCAAATTATTAACTTAACTAGACCTAGTATGGCTAGACCTTTGGTAAATGTCCGAAATATATACTAGGTCTAGTTAAGTGCACTGCCCGGTATACCCTATACTGATGTTTTTTTAAGGTCAAGTGCCATTGCCCGATATATCCTACACTAATGTTTTTTTAAGGTTCATAAGGTATACATTTGCCCGGTATACCCTACACTGATATTTTTTTATTGTAAAGTATCATTGCCCGGTATATTTGCCCGAAACTCCAAACACTGATGTTTCTTCTGATCTATCGTCAGTAAGTATTAAAATATTGAATAAATGTAATTATATCCACGAACAAATTAATATCAAATCGGATGTAATAACTATTTCGGAAATTCACCAAAGCGACTATGTGATTGGCATTCACCGGTGAAAGTCAACAACCACCGATTTCGGTCATTCACAGAAACATGCACATCATTTACATAATAACCTCATCAGGACGTTTATTTCATACTTTGCCTAAATAGCATCCGGTATTATATAGAATATGTGAAATATAAGTCATTTCATACTTTGCCGGCTAGTTTTAGGCATTATATATAATGCCGGATTTCATACTTTGCCGGTAACATTATACACTTTTACGCACTGATATTTAACTTCAACTTCTGCATTATTTATTTTTTGAAACTTTAGGTTTTAACTATTAAATATTCATTTGCGACCAGCAGAATGTAAATAATATAACATTTAATTCATTCGTAGCTAGTTAAATAAAGTTAAAAACACGCGTCAAAGGTGCTGTTTAGAAAAGATACTGTATAATTTTAATGCAAATTTATTTTTAAGTTTGTATTAATTAACTAAATTTAGTTCCCTCTCAGGTAGAAGTGTTAATCAACTATTCACCCTACGAAAATGATATATGGATTGCTCTGCGAAGACCGTTCTTATTATATGTTTTTATAATCCGTAACAAAAATGAAGTAAAAATGTATGCACATTAGGGGCCTTAAATTATTATTTAAACCAGAAAAACAAAGCTATTTAAACCAGAAAATTTAACGAATTACTACTAAAATAATAAAAATGGAAACATTGAAACCTATTTTTTTTTTCGGCAGGAAGACAGAGAAAAGCTTAAAAATAATTGTTAGGTATGCTTCCAAGTTTCAAAAGTCAATAAAACTGGTTTCGGTGTTTTTATCCCGACTTCCCCACTAATTATTCGTTTTCTTTATTAATTTGGGATCCCTAATGTGCATCCCTTTTTTATCTCACTTTTGACAAGGATCCTAAAAACGTGCATAGAGGGTGGTCATTAAAGAACACCACATTGTAATTGCCGTTTTCCAATCGAATTTTATCATGATTATTCGGAGTATAAAGAAGGAAAAAAAAATACTTACAGTATTGGCATCTTTCACCTCTAAATTGATTTAAACATAAACATACGTTAGGTCTGACGCAAATTCCTCCATTCTGGCAGGGTGGATTACATATTGCTTTTAACGAAAATAAATATTTTTAATGTTTTAACAGAAATAAATGTTTAAACATTTTAATGAAAAAGAAGATTTCAATGTTTAATGAAGGGTATATTTTAAAGTTGAATGAAAATGAAAAAATTCAACGAGCCTGACGTAAAGAAAATTCTATGAATTTTAATGTTAAAACAAATTAAAAGTAAATCAAATTCTCTTATTATTACCACAGAATTTTGAAACTTTTGCAAATAGCTAAGTTAAAAAAATATGTGAATGAAAATTTAGCACATCATTTATAATATTGGGTTGTTTGGAAATAATTTCGTTATTTTTTTTCAATGAAAGACAAGTTTTATTTCATAATTTTTTGTTTTATATATATTTTTAGATTTTGATCCAGCAACTTTTTATTATTATTTTATTACCGTCGTTGAACAGTCAACCCAATTTTTGGGCTTACAACTACTAATGTTCAGCTCCGTAGTCTTGTAATTTTGAACCCAATCCAGAAGACAAGAGAACTCCTGGATCAAGTATTGGGGTAAATTTTACTTCGTGGAGGTCTCTTTGATGGAACTAACCCCTATTTGCGCTACATGGAGAGGAAAACCTCCCACGGTTAGCCAGACGGCAAAATGACTCTAACCCCAACTTTAATTTTATTTTATAACCGTCATTAAACAGCCGACCCAATTTTGGGTTTACGACTACTAATGTTCAACTCCGTAGTCTTGTAATTTTGAACCAATCCAGAAGAGAAAGAAACTCCTGGATCAGTACCCTTCAAATGTATGATTTGTTGTGGGAACATGGAGGACTTCGTGACTCGACAGATTTAACTTGAAACAGTCACCATTAACTACACGGGGAGTCTTCGGCCGGTAGGGATCGAACCCACGACCTCTTGGACATTGGCCCAGTGCCCTACTAACTTTTGTCATCTCACTGGCAGTAGTATGATTCTACGCTCATAAAATGTTTCTTCTTTGCCGGCGAAATACTGATCCATATGATCTTGATCGCCTTATTTGAAGCAAAGGTTTTACCATCCAAAAACTTTCTTACAGACCGGAACATTGTTTTAGACAACCCATTTCTCGTTCCCATTGACGATGCTCTTCAAAAATGGATCGTTTTCTTGACGTTTGAGAAGCAAATTATAGATGTCAATGCGACGGAATAAGTTTCCTTCCGTAAGAACACGAGGAACTCACAAGTCTTGAGATTAAACTTAGACGCTTTAAATGTTCATGAACGAGGTAAAATTCGATAAATTTAATCTCTCAACATACATCTTTGTCGGTTTGCATCAAATACCTCGTCATCAGCTTTAAATAGCCTTCAAGAATGTCGTGCATTTTTGCCATCAAAATTTTTCAAATCAGATTCGGCACTTTCATTCTGTCAGCACATCTTCTCCATACATTTTCTTATCTGAACGGCATTTTTAACCTTTTCTACAGCTTCTTCTTACCGGCCAAGGCCGTCTCAGTTAGTTTACCCCATCTAGATTTCTATTCGATACTATATTTCTCCATCTATTAACTCCCAAGTCCTTTAACCGCTTCTCTACTCTATCGAATCATCTTGTTCAAGGTCTTCCTCTTTTCCTCTCTGGTGTTTGGAATATTATTTTTTAACAGGATTTTCATGTCTATATCGAAATACATGTCCTAGTCACCTTATTTAAGAGACCTTGATCATTTTTACTATGTAAGGTTCTTTGTATTTTGGATTGCAATTTTCATGGTTGTAATGAATTCTCCAGATTCCGTTTTATCTTACAGCACCAAACATTTTTCTCTCAAAAGTCATCAGTTTTCTCTTTGTGCGCTTTGTTAATTTCTCAGCAATCGCTTCACACAAAACTATTGGTCTCACTAGTGTCTTATAAAACTGTATATTTGTTTCACAACTTATGTATTTAGATTTGAACTGGTTTCTCAATCATCTGTTAGCCATATTAATCCTGTTTTTGATTTCTATTTTAATGTCATTACTATTGTACCTAAATATTTAAATGGAGCCACTCGTTCAAATTCGTACTCGATAGCAAAAATGTAAAATAATATGCCAAAAAATGCAGCTTTTTACTTTCCATATTTGAAAGGGCACCAACTAAAAACTAATGGGTAGAATCGATCGAATTTTTTCACGAGCAAATCTTGCGGTATTAGCTGTAAAAATATATAATGATTATGTTGCTTAAGTGTGATGTTGGCTGTGAAAAAACGAAAAATAAATTAGATAAAAAAACGAAATTACTTTCCGAACAACCCAATAGTTTCCAAGTTCATAACGATTGACTAAAGGTGTTTTGTATATGTTAGTGTAAGATATTGATATGCAATACTTTTCTCAAGATGGTTTAGCACAATTTCAATAATTTATACAAGTACAATATTTCTTCTATTTTATGATTCAAAATTTATTTCTTCAACTGTAATGTTATAATACAAAATATAATTTTAAATAAAGTGACTTTTATTACAAACTTACATGAAAAAAAAAAATATGTACTTTGAAATTAGCTCAGTAATTATATTAATAATGTAATGATATTTTCAGTGATGATATTTCCTGGTATTTATTATAAATTTTAATTGAGTGTATAAGCCGCAGTTGGATTATCCACTTCGCATCTCTGCTTACCAATCCCACCAGGGTTTTAAACATCATAAATATTTTTAAGAAAGGTTATAGTTTCTTTCCTTACATTCAAAACGTTATATATAAGTAGGACAAACAACATTCTAGAGTCAATAAGTTTTAGAAAATAAATGAAAAATAATAACGTTTTATAGTTTTGCCTTTCAGACATTTTATCCGAAGAAAAGAAATTGACGCTATAGAAAATTTAAATACTATATAATTTAAAATTAATATTAGCATTTCTAATGTGTGCGCTCTTATGAAAGAGTGTGTTCTCTGAATTATGAAAACCTTTCGCCAAGATGAAAACTATTTCGACATGAAAATTCAATCATCAAATGAAGAGTAGTTCTTTTTCCGAGTATTTTTTTTCCTCTCTTGGCTAACTGTATTTACGTTATTTACATTTAGTACATTTATTTACATTTACCTTATTTTACATGTAAATGTGATAAGTGATAATATATAAATATAATTACTTGTGATATAATTACCTCAAAAATTGGTAAATGTAATAAATTATTGAATATTTATCATATTTACAAATTTTATACAATCCCCGACTCATAGTGGGGAATGCAATAAATACGAATTATTTCGTTGAGTTACGAGGTCTTCATTCCAATAATTTTCTTCTAATTCTTAATAATGAATTTCTAAATAACATTAAAAAAATTGTTAAGAATTGGAATAACTTTCTAGTAGCTATTAAAACTTACAATAATTTCACACTTTAAGGAATACTGGGCAAAAGCCATTAACCTTTAAAAAAAATATCAGTGTAAGAAATATAGAGCAAATATTTACCAGATAATGACTTTTAACAATAAAATACTTCAGTGTAAGGAACACCGGGCAATAACAATTTATTTTTAAAATAAGTGTGAAGAATATCAGTCAACTGTACACGGGAAACAGCTCTCATATTCCTACCGGATTAATAAATGGGTTAATTTCGTTATTTAAATAATTACCCCATCTTTTGGGAAGGGTAAAAATGCATATTAATCACTCAGCCTGGTATATATGTTCCCCTACACTGATATTTTTTAGTGTGAAGAGCTGCCCCAGGTAAACATTTGCCCGATATTCACTTCACCAATTTTTTCTTAAAGACCATTACCTGGTTATATTCCCTCCACTGAAGTTTTTTTAAAGACCGCTGCCAGGGGAAGTTTTTTCATATAAAATAAAGTGTCTACGAACTGATGGTCTCTAATCTAGATGGTTTTACTTACGTTCACAGTCAGGAAAATATGCATTTGGATACCAAATTCCTTCTCTATAACTGCATTTAAGCGAATGTTCCTCGAGCCCGTCTAAAAATCTGTAACCGTTCGAGCATGTTCCTTTGCAAATTCTTAAAAATAACAATAAAATTATTTTTAAATAATAGGAATTTTTTTAAAAAAGAAATACATCTTTTGAGAAGATTTAAAAATAAATTCATTTTTATCAGACTTAAAACGAAAAATATAGGTGGGATCGCTATTCAAAGATGTAAAGGGAGAACTTTGGGAGGTGATCAAAGTTAATCACGAAAGTGAAGAACCCTATTTTTCCGTTTTAGGTCAGACAAAACTAAAATTATTTTATTCAGTTTAGTCAACTCAACAGGAAGTATGCAGTTTTTAAAAATTTTAATTTCGTGTTTCTTAATTTTAATCAATAATTGTTTTCAAGCATTATCCCTATAAATCAATTATTGGATGCAAGATCGATTTTCCCGTGTAGCGCAGTGTTTTGGAAAAAGGCATCTTTTCTTGACTCGCAATCGCGTGCCATATTTTATGTAGTATTATTTATTATTTAAAAAATAGTGAGGAAAATAATTTGTTTGAGAGCCCGTGGTGGCTAAGGGAATAGAGTGTTCGCCTTCCAATGAGGTGAACCGGGTTCGAATCCCACCGATGGTTGGTCGATATGAATTCCGCACCCGGCTCGCACAAACCACAGTGCTGACTTAAAATATCCTCAGTGGTAGACGGACCATAGGTTAGAGTCCCCTTGTTGCCTAGATAACCGTGGGAAGTTTTCTTTCAATTTCTCTAATGCGGGTTAGCCCCATCAAAATGTCCTCCAGGAAGGCAAATTTCTCCCAATACTTGATCTAGGAGTTCCCTTGTCTTCTGGATTGGGTTCAAAATTACAAGGCTACGGAGTTGAACATTAGTAGTCGCAATCAGGTTCATTTTTATCGACTCAGGTTAATTTTTATTGACTGTATATATAGTCAATCTCTGCCCCTATGTGATTCCCAATTTTCAAAATTTTAATCACTTGTGTTCCTAGAGTTTATACATATATCTATGTCTTTTTCGTTTTAAAAAAAAATTCCTGGAATTTGATACCTTTAGTACTGTTGCGCCAGCCGTAATTATATTCTGAGTTACAAACATCCTATATTTTACATGTGAAATTGTTTCCTTTTATTAACTTTGCACCCCTACTGAAGATGCGACATCAATATCCCTTCTGATTGTTACTGTTTATTTTCTTTGTAATGTTTATTTGCATTTAGTTTATTTCTAAGTAGCACTCTTTTCTGGATTTTATATTTAATACTCTACCTATTTGTAAAAACTCTAATTTGAAATTTTGAATATGTTTGCTCATGTAATTGAACTGTTACGCTCACTTCGAACTTTCGGAGTGCCCCCCCCCTTAGGGGGGGGGGCTTAAGCTTGTTATTAGTAGTCGTAAACCCGAAACCGGGTCGACTGTTTTACGACAGTAACATATTAACACGTTTGAATGCCACTCTAATTTTACATGGCTTGCCCGTCTGGCCAAACGGTAAATAACTACAAACTAAATTGCAAATATTCGACAGATTTTGCTAGTTTTTGAAAGGTGTAGCATGACATATCTGAAAAAAGTGGTGAATTATATAAGCCTAGGAATTGTTTAGAAATAGTGGTGGATAAAAATCTACTAAATTGAATTTATTAAACCAAGAATCACAATTAATAAACTACCACTTGAAAATATTTATTCGCTGTCCGGAGCAAGTTTGCATCTCTGTGTATATAAATGAAACTATTTTTGTGTGTTCTATATTGCATTAATTTCTTCAAACCATTTTAGTAACGATAACAACATTAAAAAAATTAAAAATTTACTCAAATTATGTGTTTCTAATAATCTTGGCTACGCCGGTCACCGGTGACCCCCGTGGCCGGTACGAACAAACTCAGAGCCGGTCGCCAGTGATCCTCATGGCATTCAACGTGTTAATATATATATGAAGTTGTTAAAGAAATTTCTAAATAATACTTCACTTAATAACGTATTTCTATTTGAGAAAATGATTAAAAAAAAATTTATTTTTCCATTATTAAAAGTAAACCCACTTAGAAAAAGTAATTTTATAAATTCATTAAAGATCTTTCTCCAGTTAATTTAAATTCTTAATTCTTAACTTCATTATGAACTATAACAATGTAATTGTCAAATTGATGTCAATTAAGGTACCTAACCTTATTGCTGTCATTAGAAACCTAGCACAAAGGTTTCCACAAATGGTATATCCCGGAGCCCCCGTATTCTGTGGAAGGGTTAAAGGGACTCCGAAAAGTTAAGACTTTTATTGAAGAAATTTTTTATTTATTTAACATTTCTGAAATCTTATATTTAAATTCAATCAGTAATCCATTATTTATTTAATATTTCGGTTGTCTTTATAAAATTGATTTTAAAATTGCCAATGGAAAAAAAATAACATTTTTAAAAATATTATTTATCTAATAACGATGCATTATGAAAATGACATGCTTCCATGAAAAAATTTCATATGTATTTCCAATCGTGCTTTTCAAATCAAAATAAACTAAATTCGTTAATAAAGAAATATGCTTCTCTAATAACCAATTTTCCTCTAATAAGCATGCGTTTCTCTTTAATTTTCATTTCCACTAAACCCATAATTCGGCTTATTTTATTTATTTTCAGCTTATCTATGCACAATAAAAACAAATTTATAACTAGACTAAATTCAGTTCCTGGGCTGCGAATTCAACTATCAGACACAATTCAACTGATTTAAGAATATCAATGATAAAAAGATGAAAAAATGTCAGTCTCATCTTATTAAATATTTTCAAAATACAGTAGTCTTTTATTCGATAATACATTTACAATTCCTTTTTTTTAATACTTTATTTTTAAAGTCAGTGTTCCCACGAAAAGAGGTGGATTAATTAGGGTTTCATAGTAGAAAAAAAATTGAGAACCTCTGACTAGAAGATTCGTACAGAGCAACTGTTTAAATTCAGCTTCGTAGGTTTAACCGTTCGTAATGTTATTTATATTGTACAAATTACGAATTTAAGGATCACTTATTTCTAAGAAATGAAAATATCCGTACTTACATTTCTGTTGGAAAGTTCGTGCAATATAATTTTCCTGGTCTAGGTGACTGAATGGCTCCACAGTAATTAGCATCTGAAATTATAAATATAATCTGGTTCATTTAAAAAAAATAGTAATGAATTTTAAGTTTGCTTTATAGTGACATTCAAAAGTTTTATTAAAGCTTCATTTGTTGAATATATTTCGTGTTAGTATTTTCAAATGTGAACTTTATTTCACTTTAATTTCAAGTAACCGCTTCTAATTTTAAAAGTTCGGATAATATTAATAAATTTGTTATTAATAACTTAATACTTACAGGAGGTTTGCCTTTTTTGTATTCCTTTCTTTCTAGAAATTGAATGGTTTCTGTTTTTACAAAGTTTTAACCATTCTGACTCATCTTGCATTGGATTTTCAAAAACACACAGACATTCTTTCTCATCAAAATCTGCACGACACCTAAATGGAATGTACAATTAAAAAGTTTATGAGATTATCATCTTATAATAAATTCAAATAATTTTATAAGCAGGTTTTAGTTCTGGCCTTACGTGTGATTGCAAAGTTCACCCGGCAACCAGGGTTCATCCAAATGTTATTAGAAATATGAAATGGATTCCAGAAGTTCGTACACGATCGTAGTAAAGAATTAAAAAGAGTTACATAAATGGCGCAATTGCGGTGGAATTCAATCAAAAAAAATTGTGGTGAAGTTTATTATAACGCCCACATTTGGTCAACACTTTTTGTTACTACACAGACACTGCAGTATTTAAAATACGAGAAGAATAAACCATCCGTATTCATTTGATTTCATCAAATTTTAGATTATCATATGGTAAAGTATTAGAAATCTAATACAAAAGAATATCTGAGATATGATAAATATTAGAGACACTGCCTTCTTGCTCTAGAATATATTTGTGAATAATGTATAGTGATATACATTATTGATGATATATATATACATAAATTGTAGAGAAAACATGGAAAAAAATATAATAAAATTTTTTTATGAAAAGTGAAGGAGAAAAATAATTAAAAATAATAATTTTTTTAAAATTTTTATTATTATTAGGAAAAAATTAAAAAACCGAAAACAAAATAATGAAAAGATAAAATTTCGTCATCAGCTCACACGATTATATCCGCAAAAAAACGTGTGTAATATATNATCTATATATATATATATATACACACTCTGAACTACACTTTACTAGTCAAGAAGGACCTACCATATTTGCGTGTTGTTGATAAATTGTTGTTGAAATTCATGGCGTCTGTGTTTTATTTTACCGTTATCACCTTTCTAATGATCTTTTTTTTAAGCTACTCTTATTTATTGGTCATTAGAATTATAAAAATTATTTTAAGTTCAGCTTATTATACGCTTACAAAGGATTCATATCGAAACAAGCAATGATTTCGGCCCATAGCAGCAATGTTCTGTTTCGTTTTGATAATCTCGGTTCTCGGGGTAAGATCGGGTACCCCCTTGATGTGTAGCTATGCTTGGCCATGAAAGCTGTAGTTCAACGGAAGAAGAAGATAACTACATCCAAGACAGAATGAAGGTTTTACGGGCCCTGGGACAAATTTATAGCGGGCTCCTTCTTCAAGGCACAAAAAGCCTTATTTTCATATTTGAAATTTTTGAAGACCCTTTATACAAAATCGTAGTTTTTATATAGATATGAAGTAATTCTCAGCAACTTTAACAAAAAAATAAATTATACGCACTATATTTCAAATAAAAAAATTTATTTGGGCCCTCAGCTGTGCTAGACCCCAGAGCAGAGATGGGAATTTGTTATTCATGAACAAAGAATAATGAATAATTATTCAAAACCTTCCTGAATAATGAATAAAAATTTATTCATTAGTTAGAAATATTTTGAATAAAGAATAAATCATTCATTATTTTCAATCATTATTCTTCATTCATAAGTCAAGAATAAGTGAATAATTTCTCTGCTCAACAGAAATGGGCACGAAATACTTTAACTACAATTGTGACAACTACAAATAAAAAGTACATAGTATTAAACTACTTGTAATCATTTTTATGAGTTACAAGTTACGATTTCTGATAAAAAGTGATTATGACCTGCAATCACAAGACGTGATAACTGGTTGTATTTACAAATGACCGAAATCTTTTACTTTAAGCAATAAATGCAATCAATATGTACGATTATAAGCAGTCATTTTCACTAACCATCATTATCTAACGATTACAAGGAATATCGAATACTAATAATTGTAAAAATAGTTACAGCACGAATGCATAAATATGCTATACTTACGTGCGGACTTAACTACGTTGCATGTTTTTACGTATAAATACATGAACGAGCACTGTATATAAATGTTTCCATGAAGAAGTAAAAAAATTTACGTACTTACGTGCATTGTATGTACAAGTGTACGTTCAATGTATAAATTACGTGTACGTTAGTATGCATGTGTACACATATACATACAATATATGCCAGTATGTAAGCAAAAGTATGTATGTGTGTACCGATGCACATACAGTGCACGTATGAACATAATGTGCGTATCCACAGAAAATGTATATGTATGTAAAATATACGTACGTACAAATGCGTACGTATCTGTGTATGTGCAAAACACGTACAAAGGTTATACGATACGTATGCTCACGCAATGTATTTACGTCTGCAGTATGTAATAGCAATGTATATACGTTAGTTGTAGCTCATACAACGTACCTCCATTTATAAATATATATATATAATTATGCAGACGTACATTAAAGAGTTAGGCATCGATTACAGGCAATTACAGCTATGTAATCAATTACTTGAAATCGTGATTACTATTTTAAATATATGTATTCACTTATGCAAAATATATGTGTGCACAATTATACATACACACATTTATAAATTACATGTACTTACTTACATGCATACATTGTATAAGCATACATATAATGCAAGTAAATACAAAAATTTTTGTACATATATACGTACACTCATACATTACATACACATGTTTTGGCGATGTACATAAATATGTGCGTATATACATATGAACATACAATACACGTGCAAACCATACATGTCTGTATATGAATTTTATATGTATAAATATGTACATATATCGTATGTATAAACTAAGTTCTTATGTACATATCTACATTCATGCTATAAATGTACTTGCTTGTATAAATATACGCATACGTACATACATATATTGCCTCTTTATAGGTACCTACAAAGTAACAAACATACATAGAGACGTACATTGTACTTACATCTGTACATTCATACATACATCCTATATGCATACGTACAAATATTGTATGAGTTTAAAATATATCTATGTATGAGCAATTGTACATATGCTACACATACATATATACGTCTACATACATTCGAACTTACATGTATTGCTCATACATTAATAAATTGCATTTATATACGTACGTTCATTCTACGTATATAAAAATATGTTGTTACATACAGATACGTTTACAAACTGTATAAGCATGTAGTATGCAATCGTAATAACTTGTAATCGTATCTTTTAATTACATGCACTCTCAATTACTTGTAATCACGCTTGCATGTAATCATATAGTCTGATTACTTAATAACTCGTAATCGTTTTTTATTGTGATTACAAGTAATCACAATATAATCTTATTCGTGTATTTATGTAAGTATTTTAGTATGTAACTCTGTGTTTAAAAGTTTCCTTTTAATAAACCAAACAATAGTAAACTAAATAATTCATTTACATATACAGTTTATGCATTGCTTTAGAAGTAGTCAATTACCTATAATCCCTATTATAATGTAATCAAGCCCACTTGAAATTATAATTACATCTAATCGTGTTGTAATCATATATATCAAAATTGCTTAAATTTAAAATTATCTGTAATTGTTAGATTATAACTTGTTAGTTGTAGTTATGATTTCTTGTAATCTTACTTTATGATGACAAGTAATCACGATGTCTTGCAATCCCAGGACTTGATTATTTGTAATTCTGATCATGTGAATGACTTTTATTGTGATTATAAATAATCATTACCACTTGTAATAAGAAATAATTATTATTTGTTACTGTGATTACTTGTAATCATGATCATTACAAGCAGTTGATTACAAAGCAATCATGATCATTACAAGAAGTTGATTACAAAGCAATCATTATCTATAATTAATTACATTTGTAATCGAATTCTATAATGGACGAGCAACTTGCAATGGAAATGGCATTTTTCGCTGGTAATTCGAGATAATAATCAGAAAAATTAGTCATGACTAATGAATTTATTCATCAATCATTATTCAAAAATTTGTATAATGAATGATGAATAATGACTAAATTTGCATATGAATAAGCATTCAGAATAAATTTATTCTGACTAAATTTAGTCATGAATAAAATTTCCATGAATGGTGCTCATCACTGCCCCAGGGCAAATTGTCCCTCTGTCTCCCCTCCTTGATTGCGGCCTTGTTTACTTCACATATAAATTACATGCATAATTTTCTTAAACTGCCATACAAAATATAAATGCATATACATATATTTCTTTTTTTTTTGTTGCCAAGTGTAGTTTAATATCTAACAATGTTTTTAGCATTTTTTTAGAGAATGTTTCTTTAGAACATATTGCGCAGTGTTCAATACAAAAATGCATGTTTTCGATAAACTTAAATGCTGTTTGGGAGTAACAATTTATTAGAGTTTAATATGAGCCATGTTCCTTTATTTAGACGCTTATGAGCAGCATAGGTTAAGGATCCATGAATTAAAGTTACATAATAAAGGTAAAGGTCTTATAAGTTAAGGACCATAAGGTAAGAATGGTAAAAAAGTAGTTTAAAAAAAACAGCATTACATGTAAAGTAGAAATGGTTCATTCTCACTGCAATTCACTTTCTCCACTTGTACTTCACATATTTCCAAAGAACTCGGGAAAAATATTAAAAGCAAGTAAAAGTCTGCAAGATAGAGAAAACATTGTTAAATATGCTTTATACATTTACTGTTGTAGAAATAGAAATGATAACTTAAAAATAAAAACAATATAGCCAACCCTATAAAGAGAGAAGAATCATAATAGAAGATTCTTCTTTAAATTTGTTTAAGTTAATTTATTTTATATAATTGTCTTTTTTTATAAAATTATAATTTTACTATGAATTGAAAGAAAAAAAAGCACGATATTACAGTGAATAAAAATTTTTAAACTAAAATGTCACAATCAGTTATAGTCTTGTACTTATTAACCCTCTGATGCAGAATTTTTATTAAACGTATTTTTCATTAACTTAAGTCAAAATAAGTGAAAAATATTATATTTAGCATTTTAATAATTAATGTTTATGAAATACAAGTATACAATACAAGTGTTATGGTTATGAAATACTACATGATACACCAGTGTCTTTTGCTGTGTTAAAAATAAAATCTTCCGAACACGGCTCACTTGCAATAATTTTACACATGTGCCCTTATTTCCAGCTATTTAGATCTAAGAAAAACAGTTATTCAAGATTGAAACTTAATTAACAAAATCAATTATTGATACATATTTTGTATATGAATTAAAAAAATTATTTTTTTAAAGTTACTTTTTAGCATTTTATATTTTAGTACAAATATAATTCCGATAATCTAACAGATTTTTTCAACAGCTATTAGACTGTTTTTTATAATTAAAAGGTATGTTTGTTTGTAATTAGAGAGCCAGAAAAAATATATAAAAGGGACACCAGCATCTGTGTCAAAGGGTTAACAATAGCAGCTTACTTTTCAAAAAGATTTTTTTCATCTTCTCACATCAAAATCTACCGTCACTTGCATTACTGACGTTTTACCTTTCAGAAAATTACAACACAAACAGATTACTGCCCATTGTAGCACTGCAAAAAATATTTTGAAGTAGAGGGGCAACAATCGTAATTAAAATTTATTATCCAACTAGAGAGTTTTGCTGCTTTGCATGGCTGTTTGCGTAAAATATAGTTTGAAAAGGAAAAAGGTTTGATCAAATTACTCTATTATCTATGATAAGGATCGCCCACATTTAATGTTGCGGTTAGTTCCTTGTTCTTTGAAGGAAAATTAATTTTTTTACGTAACTTAAATTCATAATACCGTTCCGATAAATGCTAAAAAGAGCTCGTAACAAATAAAAGAAACTTTACTTGAAATTAATACTGTAGAAATATTACTGGAAGAAATATACCTGAAATTTTGTAGAACTTTATGTTTAAACAGTTTAACTGTCGAACAAAACAAAATTTTCTCCATGTATAATTAGCTTTTTCTTAAATTGATTTATTTCATTTTCTTGGCAGAAGATAAATAGTAGACTATTACTTTGCACACAAAAGAAATACTATTAATAAAATTTTGAAAGGAGAAAGAAAAAAAAAGTTATATATAAATTTTTTTCCAAAGCAAATAAAACCAAATCTTGCCAAAATATCATGGATATAAGACCAATCTATGATAAAAGAAAAATAAGCACAAACTGTACCCTAAATAACTGGTCACTTGTGTAGCACAGTAGCTGACCGACACCCTGTCAGTCAGTGAAAATTCATGAGAAATCGATATCTATTTGGGTGTACGATCGCCTCTAACAACTACCGCATCAGCATTTCATACTGTTAACCAGGGGTCTATCTATACCAATGCCTATGGCAACCGTACACAATCTTGCACCGGGGCACACTTGAGTCGTGTCGTTGGAACTGGTCTTCGAGTTGCAATCGAGTGTCCTATACGCGTTCGATGGTATTAAGATCAGAGGATTTCGCAGGCCAACCCAATCGTTGAATATTCTACTACAGGTACACGTCCCCCAACTAACCTCGGTGTTGACGGCTGTTATCGTCCATAAAAAGGGTATTTGTTCCACATGAACCCAAAAAAATATCACATAAGGTGAAAGTATCTCGGCCCTGTACTGCTGACAAGTCAGAGTACATCAATCGAAAACATGAAGGTCGGTATGCCCGTCCGGACTATCCTCGACCATAGTGGTCTTTTTCGACAATGTTATAGTATTGGGTTCTCTCCAGATAAGAATACGTCTAGAGTCACTGTCCAGACAGAATCGCGATTCATCATAGAAGAAAAACCCGTGCCAATCATCCTCTGTTCAAAACATGTGTTCTCAGCACCATGCTAGACGGTTCTTTTTGTGGTTCACAATCAAAGGCATGCAGGCCACCTACATTAGGTCTCTAGGCTACTGTTATCTGGGACACGATTCCTGTTGCATTATACGGGTTGTAAGACAGACATTCAAGTTTCTGTCGCTCCACGAACCCTTTTGGGTAGATATCTCAAATCACGGTCTTGTTGCCTCGAATCTTTTAACTATCCGCAATTAGTAGCATCATCCAGAAGATGATGACACACCATATTCACGATAGGGGAACTAAGAAATAAAAAAAAAAAGGATGGGAAGTCAGAAGACATTTTTAACACTTTTGATGATTTAAAAAAGTCCTCACAAGGATATTAAAAAAAAGAGCAAATGCTGGAAAAATGTACTTGCTATTATTGCAAAGTCATGAAATTTTCAATAAAAAATTGGAAGAAAAAAATCCATATTCATCACCTGTTTCACAAGCCAAATATTTTACATCAAAAAATTTCAGTACTTTTATGCCTTTAAACAGATAAAAAATGCTCATGTGTTGTGAACAGATAACAATCGTTAAAAAGAAGAAACAAAATCACAATTAACCTCTTGTTGTAAAAAAAAAACTAAATTTTTTTTCAAGAGATTTTAAAAAATTTGATGATGCTTTATCTTTATGAATTTAGTCATTCAAGTTACATTTACAATAAAGTACTTGTTACGATTTTAAAGAAAATTTTCGGTACATTATTTTGATGAGAAGAATTGTACATAATAATATGGTAACAGAAGAAACTCAGAGAAAAGTTTAAACACTATTAAGAAAGAAATATTTAGGACATACGTTAACTAGCATCGTTTTGCATAAAAATAAATAAAGAGAAAATATGGGAGCAGAAATGATTTTGGATTTTGTACAAATGAACAAAATTAATAATGGTGATAAATGTTTATTATCAGCAATGAAAAGATACAAAATCAACTACACATTGTTTTTTACAAAATACAACCTTCAATACACACTCACAAAATACTGTACATATGAAGCTCTATTTTATATACACTCTTTAATACTAATGAATCACCACAGCACAGGGAAAATAAACATGTGCGAAAGACAGTTCTATACACAATAAAGGTACAAGCTATAAATTTTTCCCACTTGCATGCTTTGTCTATATTCATCAGGCATAAAATAAACTTTTATTTTTGGTATCTAAGAAAATATATCTTTAGTTTAAAGACCATGCTAAGGGCAACAACAAATATTTAACATTTATAAAAATTTATCTAATGTACAAACATGCAAAGATTTGAAAAAAGAAAAAAAAAATCTCATTATCATAACTTCATGTTGAGCAAAAGCATCTGAGACACTACTTTGATTAAAATTTCACTTTGAGAATAATATTGAAGTGGATAACCTAAGGCAGAGTTAGTATACTATGGACGCCACTTTAATTGGACTCGGAAGTTTGGTTTTAAGACTGTAAATTGGCATTTCTTTCAAGTTTGAAATTTTGAGACCTGCATGTGTTTTTAACCACTTTACAAGTCTCCTATGTTCTAAAATCAACATGAACCCCATAAGTCGATCAGGTGGTTAAGATCCCCTGAGACTGTTTCAAATGAGTGGTTTAGAACACTTGAATGGAAACTAGGTCTCAAAACCACCAACTGGAAATAGGTACCTGTTCACTGCCTAAGGAACCTAGATGGATACGAGAAGCTTAGTTAATATTTCTTTTTAAGGCATTGCCTTATAGTTAAACATTCTTTTTTATTAACTATGGACTGAATGGAGAGAGTTCTTCAGGTAGATGTTTGCAAAAGACATTAAGCGTTATAAATTTATCTATCAATTAAAAAAACTAACATAAGAAAAAAATAATCAATTGTATTAACAAGAAAGACGAACATAATATGGTATAAACAGGATTGTAACAAGAAACAGGATGGTTATAAGACGTATCAGGATGGTTACAAGAAAACTACTGGATCAAATGCAAAGCTTTGAATAGCACATAGAAGTTTAGGTTCAAAAACAAGTCATGAACAGTGATAATTAAAAACGTCAATTTTTTTCAGTCATGTTTCTAAATAAGGTCATGGAGAAAGGGATTTTTTAAAATTAGTTTCTTATTTTTTGTACATTTTTCTAATGTTGAAGTTCAAACTTTCACTAAAATGCCACTTATCCCTTTGCACTTTAAAATGCTGTTTGAACAAATGTAAGCACTAAAATGTTTAAAATACATAATACAGTATTCTAGCATAATTTTTAAAATTCTTAAAATATTGTGGTTAGTAAATATTAAGGTGTATAGTGTTAGTAAATATTAAGGTGACTGCTGGTGTAAGGTGTTAGTAAATATTAAAGTGACTGCTGATGGATCCTCAGAGACGACATCAGAGTACTAAGGGTTAGGACTAAGCTCTTCAAATATGATTACACAAGTTGAAACTTAAGATACTGTGGAAGTTTCATCAAAATCATAACATTGTTAGGAATTGAATATAACTAATAAGAAATAAACAGTCATAATATTAAAGAAAAAAAAACAGTTTACTATTATTTTAAGATATTTCTACATTTATTATTTTAATTTTTTTTTAATTCTTGAAAACCAAACCTTTTAAAAATTTAAATGCAGTAGGACCCATATGTATTGAGGTGCTTAGAGAATAGATGCTCATTAAATTTAATTTCAAGGTTAGTAAAAAATAGTTAAACATAAAAAAAAAACCTAATAAGACTATATTTACTTTATCTTGACAGTTAATACTTCACAAAAAAATTTTTTAAAGTAATTTTTGTAATAAAACACCGACTGCAATAACTGTTTCATTTCATCTGGAACATTTTTTGCATTCCATTAATTGGACTTGATTTTATTAATCCACAAAACTCTTCAATGTTTTGTTTTACAGGTTTTCTGGCATGCAATATACAGTACTTTATGTAAATTTTCTTTTAAATCATTATATTCATTAAAAAAAATTAAATTATTGTTTCTGATATTTTTCATGCTTAAATAGACTAACATTGAACCAAACAAGACTCTAGTTTCTCCAAAAAGTGGGTCTGAATTTATAGATTATTTTTAGGATCTAATTTTGCATAATCGGAAAAAAATGCCTGCAATATTTGCTGCGATTTGATCAAGTAGTTTTCTATAACAAGACTCCAAATGCCCGACATTTTATAAACATTGTATATGATGAGTTAATTTTAAAATCATTTGTTCGTATGAAGATTTTTTCTCTGTTGTATAATAACTATATATTTACTTCTATACACACATTTTGCAAAAATTTCTAAAACTTACTTCCATCCTCAAATTTCTCTTCTAACACAGAATACTCCTTTCAAATTTAAAAAGCTATAGAATATTATTATAAAATTGCAACAATTTTACTTGTAATAAAGGTCAACGTACAACTACACCAGAAACACACTGCTCTGCTAGTCCAATAAATATTTTGTTAAACATAAGCAATACAATAAATATAAAAATTTGTTTGCATAGCTGTATTGGTATTAACAAGAGTATATTTTATTTAAAAAGTGATTGTTAAATTTGTAGTGGCTCATACCATATAGAGATTAAAGATTTAAAAGTATAGCATACTGTTTAGGTAATAAAAATATCTTTCGGATTTGTTTTAAATCTAAAAAGCAAGGTTAAATGTGAAGTATTTGGAAGGACAATTTTTAATATATTCTAACAGAATTTGTAACAAATATACTAAGTTAACATTGAAAAATACATAACATCCAACAACTTTTTAAGCATACTAGCTCGATTTTGCATTTAAAGTGAACAAGAAAGCTGATAAACTTCAAGAAAATACTATAAAAGACAATATACATTTAGTATTAAGCATGAAATTATAAATGCATAAAGGAATAAAAAAAAAAGATTCTTTTCATATTGCACAACTTATTTAATAACTATACATGAAGTCAATACTTTCAAAATAATAAAAATTATACATTATAAAAAAAAAACTCCATCTTTGTATTGAAAATAGTAATAAAAACATTAGAACAATTTATATATAATTATAATTAAATATTAGAAAGAGATTTGTCTTAAATTTTTTTCTAAAAACATTCAACACTTTGCTTATTCTGATTCTAATGCTTTTAAATAATACTTTATGTGATCTTTATCGATTTTTAATGATGCTTATCTCATATAAAACGGTATTTTCTAGCAGAATTTACTAGACTTGAAAAATATGCATTGTTTCAATTCATAAAAAATACAGCAAGTTCAATACAAAATCTTACACATATTTATAGATTTTTTTAATTAAACATATTTTAAAAATTATCCTAAACTAAAAATGTGATAAATCTAAATGAATGCAAAAGTAACAATTACATTTAACAGACAAAAATTTATGAAAAACAAATGAATTAAACTTAGTTAAAAATACTTAAGGTAAATTATTTTTAAAAACATTCAGGGCAAATAACAGACATACAATTTTGTTTATTTGAATATTTATTTCAAGTCATTTACTTGGAGCAATAAATCCAAGAGAGGAAATTTCCAGTGTCAAATGAAAAAAATCTGCATAAAAACTATCACTAAGAAGTAAGAAATAAAAAGCCCCTTTAGAGTTATTTTGTTTTAATAAAGCTTATTAATATTTTTCAGAAATTAAATTCTGCTGCATAATTAACTAAAAATTTTTTAAAACTATTCTTCAATTATATCATCATAATAAAAAGTACAGAACATAATATAATAATAAAAAAAAAAATTAGCCCTCTTTTTTGAGAAGCATTATATAATTTTTACAACATAAAATATAAAAACAATAGCTTTGTTACAAACATTTATAAAACAGCATTTCATGCACTGTTTTATAAAACTAACTACTTCCTGAGTTTTAACTTGTATCATGCAAATTTATAAAACAAATGAACACAATGGCCATATAAACAGGTTGTATGAAAAATATATACTATAAATATTGTATATACACAAAAATTATATTAATATTGCTTAAGGAAAATACGTTTCATAAAAAAAAAAACCAATCATCTAATCAATAACTTTTGTACTCATTGCTGATAGCAGAAAATTAATAAAGAGTTAAATAATTTTAAAATAAAAAAAATAGTAATTGATTAAGAACAAGATTCAAAAAATTATAATAATGAGCACATACAATAAATCTTATAGTTTGCGGACAAAAAATTGTTTTCAGAAAAGAAGTTTTAATTATGGGAAATTTAAAAATGCATTAAATAGATTCAGGGTATATAAGACTCTTCTTTAAAGAATTTTAATATTAGAAATGCATTTATTCTATGGGAAATCAAAAAGGGGAAGATTTTTTTTTATAGTCATTGTAAAGTAAGTGAATAACACTTTTAACACGAAATCTGTTTTGCTAAATCATTGTATTTAATATTTCCTAAATTTCAATCAACAGAAAAACTAAATCTTAAACTATGAACTACATTATAAAAGATAGCAAAAGTATTTTTATTTTTGTCATAAAATGTTTTTATAAAAAAAATGCTATAAGGAGCACTTAAAATTTTATTTCTCTCAAATATTATTGTATCTGAAAAAAGTGTGCTTAAGCTTAAAATGTAAATTATAAATTCAAATGAATGAAATGATTAAGGATTCTTGACATTTATATTAAGTTGTCTATAGATTGCAAATCAGTAACACAAAAGAGGAAAAATATGAGTTTACTGACCGTATCTCAATTATTCAAAAAAATTTCTACGGATACTTATCCAATTAAGCTATCCTTTTATATTGCTTTCGGTAAAGAGTTTTGCTTTAATTTCTATGTATATAGGAAACAGTCTGAAAATTCCAAACAAATGAAATCTTTAAAATTAATGTTGACAAAGTGAAGCATAATTGTAATAGCACAAAAAGTAACTTAGCAGTTTTTGAAATAGCGAAACTTTCAACTTTGATTTATTGAAAAATCAGGAGCAAATAGAATTAGCAGCTACTTAAAAATAATAAAATCAGTTCGCATGAGAAAAAAAAAGTTGAATGGTAAATATTGAACAAATAAATTATAAGTTTTTTTTCCACTTCCATGCAATAATTAGATATAATTGAATTTAGTTTTTCAAATAATTAAGATAAGCCATTCAAAAGACAAAAAAATCAAGGAGCTGCCTAAATAACGATTTAAGGCAACAGCTTAACACAAAATAAGACAAAACAACTAAAATCAAATAATATTTACAAAGTGATAAAATACTTGAACACAAATAAATTATTTAAACACAACTATTGCACATAACTGAAAACTTAGAAGTTTCAATTTATTAACACTGATAATATAAGCATATTCAACACTGCTTAAAGATTTCTTATTGTGAAACTATAAGATTAATTTTTTATTAAATAAAAACTTTACTAAACAAAATTGTACTAAGTATGAATATTCCTTTAACTCGCGAGAAAATAATACATTTTTACATCTACAAAAATATTTCAAAATTCCTTTGAAGGTTTTTAAAAAATGGTATTAATTGACCAAAGTACAAGTGTGATAATAAATTAGTTTTAAAATATTTATCCCATTCACTAAAACATAAGTTACAAGCATAATTTGAGTAGTAGAAATCTTTACTGAAATTGTCAGGCCAAGGTCATTAGGGTCAGGTAGCAACACATGGCAATTCAACCCTCTAAGCATTAGACCCAGCAATTTTAAAACTAACCCACATGCCTTAAAAACAAAAACATGTTTTCTTACGGATTATTCATTTAATGAAAAAGTAGTGTGTCGCAGGGAGATTTTAATACAATATAGCTCAACACTTGGAGGGTTAAAAATGCTAGTTTAAATATAAAAGTCTATAAAAAAATGCATTCTATCAAAATTAAAGGAAATAATAAATAAGTATTTTTATCACCACTTTCCCCTTGAAAAAAGGTTTATTAAAGGTTTCCTAGTAAATAAATTGAAGAATGATATTCAAAATGCTTAATATTCAATATTTTTTAAGCATTATAATTTTATTTCAAAAATATTTATAGTTTTTTTTCAATCACATTAATATATATATATTTTTAAAAAAAACTTCTACTTTTTTAAATTAGTTAAATGAGAAAAATTAACATAAAAAGTGTGCATTTTTTTGTGTTAGATATTAAAAGTGGACATTTTTTAAAAAGAATCTTATTATTAGAGATGGTAACATACAATTTTATTTCTAACGTTGACACTTGACATCTACACAGTAAAATTGTACAAACATTTTATCATTTACATTGAAATTTACTAAATGAACTAAAAATATATGCTTGCAAGAGAAGATATAGTCTTTTCTGCTGTTAATGCTAAACATATAGGAAGAAAATTTAACGATAGGGCACAATTATATTAGAAAGCTGAGCATATTTTAGAGCCATTTGGTGTATTTAACAGAGCTTTGTTTTTCCCAAAACTGACAAAATTTTGGACCTCTCCTACTGTCATAGCATTAGCAGTGAAAAATAAGATGTTAAGCATAACAATAACTAAAGATAATTACCATTTACTTAACAACTATTTAGTTAACAACTTTTTAATTCAAACAGCTGGATAACATTTAACTATTTAGGTTGTATAGTAAAAGAAATCGTGGAAAATTCAACAAGTATATTTTAACAAAACAAAAAATCTTTTAAATATATTTTCTTTCACTATAAAATGCACCAACAAATTTTTTTTAGACAAGAGTAGAATATTCAAAGCTCTACACGATGAAAAACAAAGCTAACAATGTTAAAGCATAAGTTTACAACACCGGAAACAACACTGCAAAAATTCTCTTCTAAACAAGGTTTCTTTTAAAATATATCACAAAATACTTTGAAAAGGGACTGGTTATATTTCTAAATGGTTGTGTACCGATCACCAGTACTCATCTCTGCCAGCTGAACGTGAAGATAAGTCATTTCTCGCTTTGCAAGAGATAAATCTGTGGTCAGTTTCACTTCCTTTTCTTTGAGCTTTTTTATTTCCCTTTGACAAGCCTGAAATATATCACAAAATTTTTTAAATAGTTTCTCTTGATAAATCACTTGAAAAAAATTGAATTGGAAAACATTCGGTTGAAAAATAGGAGACTAAGAATAAGATATTACCAAATTGTGCTTTAACAAGTCTAATTTATCACTTTTTAGTTTATTGATCTCTTGTTTTAAAACTTCCAGGTGTCTTGTCATGGCTGAAAAATGAATTTTTATATTAGACTTACGAACATAGTGGTTTTAGTATACTATTATTTCACTATTTACTTTTGATGTGATTAAAAGGTAAAAATAAGAAGCTAAAACTATGGTTACGAGAAAATTGTACAAATCAGAATCTAATTTGGAAAGCAATAGATCCTACTAAAAAACTATTTATGTCATAATGCTCATTACGGCATAATTCGGTCTGAAGTGAATAGTAAAATCCCTATGTCAAAAAGAAACGTGCCACATCTGTTTTATTCATAGATTTTTATTCAACAAAACATTTCAATACATGCACATATTAGAATACTTTCTCTCTTTGAATCTAATCTCATTTTAAACATTTTGTATAGTGTGGAAAAATGTTACAAATTTTTAAACCTTTTTGGAAAAAAAAAGTAAAGAAGAATTTCATTTTGCAATACTTCATGCATTTTTCAGTTAATGCTCACGGAATATTGAAATGTTGGGACATTTGAATTGAACATTTAAAATTATTTATTGAAGTGAATTTTACTTCAATATAATTTAAATAAATGCTCATTCATAAGAGACATTGTCTTCTTTCTCATCAGCCTATTTGCATTTAAATTTGAATCAAGAAATATAACATGATGCATTAAAAAAATGCTTACCATCATTCTCTGTGCACTGAGGACATGATGTGGAATTTGTATCACTGTTAGAATTAAATGATGCTTCTAATGGTCCATCTCCAGTGCCATTTTGAAGATGTTCAAATTCTAAGCTATTGACACTCGAAGAATCCGATTCAGATGGTCTTGTTTTGAAGTGAGGGGGAGGTGGGGTGTCAGGACTCGAAATCGGTGTTCCTGGGCTACTGTTTGTCCTTATCCATAAGGGAGTACCCCCAGAATTCAGAGAATCTAAACTTCGGTTGCGAAATTCTCTTCTGGGGAAAAAAAAAACATAGCTTTTATTAACAATAGATATCAATGAAAAACTTTTTGATTTCAAGAAAATTGTTTAATAATCTTTTGAAAATTTTAAATGAAAAATAAACTTGTTTCTTACGTTCTAACTGATGTTGGAGATGAAATTTTCATTAAAGTTTCTTTTGGTACTTTAGGAACCTATATAAGAAAAAATATATCAAAATAAGAATAAAAAAAATAAAAAAATGTTTGATAAAAAGTGAGATTTTTTAATGTCACAAATAAAACATTAAAATAAAAATATTAAATTTGATATAAGAATTCTTATCAAAAAAGTATATAATGTTACATAAAAAGTAAATAAGTTTGCTATGACAATATTTTTTCCAAAAACTATACCCGATTAATAGGAAGTGGCAAATTTTTAAATAATGGTTTCTCAACTTTATTTTCTTAAAACATATGAATTCTAGAACAATGCAAATAAATGAAAACATGTGAATGAATCCATGAAAAATGCACAAATTTTTAAATTCAAGCTTTTATAGAATTCCTTAAAAAGATTCATTTCTGCATTTTAATGTTTAATTACGCATAAGAATAAGAAACTAAATTCTTGGATACACAAGAAGTTCATTGCTTTTGCGCTCATCACTGATGTCTGTTATTGATTTCTGTTTAAGGATTTTAACTTTCAAAATTTACTTTTAACATTCTTTCAAAAATAATGTCAGGAATGAATAAAGATATATTAAAGGAATGAAAATAATGTAAAAAAATAAAAATGTTTAACAGATCTTACATTTTGTGCTACTTCCCCAGCCACAATGGAAGACAAACTGCTGTTAGATGTGCTGGCAGATGATCGCTTATTCATCACAGAATTAGCTAAGTTTGTTTCAACGGAATGACTCCGCACACGACTAGTGATAGCTTTTCTCACAGAGTCCAAAAAGCGATTGCTATTGCCATTAATTTCTGTCTTCCCACTGTCACCAACAACACCACAAAACTCTTGTGTCTTAATCCTTATTTCATCGTAAAGAGATTGGAGAAGAGAGATTCGAGTGCGCTTCTATATTGAGAAGAAAAACTAATATTATTAAATAATTCCACACAATGATGAATAGTAAATAAATATATATTCCCTGTACAAAACATTATTGAATATTTAAAATAAAAATTATTAGTATTACAGGGAGGAAAAAATATAACAATTAATTGCTGTTAATTTAACTGCAATTGCAAGGAATTACACATTATCCATTTATTTATCACATAGAATTAGTTAAATTTTACTAATATATCAAAACAATATATTTGAAACTACACTACTGCTGACAAACAGACTAAAATTAATAAATCAACATCAATTTCACAGATCTAAAAAAATGGAATTCGTTAGATTGACAGCAGGTAAAAAAATATTTTAAAATGTATAACTTATTCATATATTATTTAAAAAAAAAAAATAATAATTCATAATTTAATAAAAAGCAATCTGAAATTAATTCCTAAACAGTTTTTTTTTTTATGCTCTATGAGGATAATTTCCTTTTAATATTTTATGTATTTTAAGATTCAGAAATTTATTGGCAATATTAAAATAAAGTGTTGAAGATTATGTTCTTAATCTAGAAATTAGTAGGATTTTTATAACCATCATATTTATTTAATGACTCGTTTATTAGGTATATGCAAATAATGGCATTGAATTTTTACTTTGCAATTTTTATTTACATTCTGAAAAACTCTAAAGAATAACAAGATTTTTAAAATGTAATTATAAAAGTGAACCAAGTATTACTAATCTTGCTAATTGGAACTTATTAGCATAGCAGCATATTTAAAATAAATTTAATCTATAAAAATCAAACTTAAATAATAATCTCACACTTTGCAAATGTTTAAATCAAAGTTCAATTGTGAAATCAGTTGGCTTAAACCAATAAACCTTGATAATATGTAAAACACTGATTATAAGTTTAATATGCACACTAACAGAGACATAACTCTAAATTAAATATAATGTGCAAATAAATAAAAAGTAAACAAGTTTAGTTAAATTACTTTGGCCAAAAAAATAACATTAAATTAGAATTTTTTTTTTAAAATATTGAATAATAAATTTTATTTAAACTGACTTTTTATTTTTATAAAACAATTATATTAAATATTATTTTGGGAAAAAGAACTGAGTAAAATTATTGCTAAATTCGGAAAAGTGTTGTGCAATTTATTAAAAATAATATTTTCTATCATTTAAAAATCCACAACATAGATTTTTATTACCAAGACTAAAGACTTTCTTTTACTAAAAGAAGTTAAGGTCATAAAAGTATAAACCGCTTGTGAGAAAATTAATTTACAACAGCAGAATTTGAAAGACAATTCTAAACGCATAAAATTTGCAAATACACAAACTATACAGTTAACAGGCACTTATTATATCTTGATATTATTTTCATAACACAATGATCATAACAAATATCATTTTCAGTGCAGCAATACAGGAAGAAGAGAATATAAAAAATTTCTCTATTCTGTGACTTGGCAATGAGGATGCTATAGTTAGTACCAAGCGATTACCTGTCTGTTAACAGCATCATTTGTGCTCTTATGGATTGATATTTAACTTTGTTTAATATTGTTGCACTGAGAAGCCCTTTGTTTTTTGAACATTCTAAATATAGTTATGAGCTTATTATTAAATGATTTTGATCCATTAGCATAAAATAGTTTGAAAAAAAAATAGAACACTTAAAAACGTACTTCTAATTTTGAAAACTTTTCTGCTTTATAGCATGCTATTTCAGCATTGATAAGCTTTGTAAGAAGGAATTCTCTGAATTCATTGTCCTTTCTAAAGACACAAGGATTAGGCAAAGCTGGGCCAAAAGATGGGACACCATCTCGAGCAGTGACTGAAACTTTGTATCTACAACAGTAAGTATTTTGTTATTAAAATTAATGCAAAATATGTAAATTGTATATAAAAAATAAAATTAAAATTATAAATTGTTCATGATAAAAATTTCATGAACATTTATGCATTAATTAAGGAGCAAATTCAAAATATACGAGCAGGATTTTCAATGCCTCAATTTGTGGAAACTTAGAGGTAATATCAAGAATTATGAGATTTTAAAAGATGGATAATATTTTTTTCTTAAAAATATAATTGAATATACTATAACTTACATTAAAGACTATTTATTTTGAAACTCATTAGCTACTATCCTATAATTCAAAAGACTTATTTTCAAGGTTTACTGCATAATTTTTTCAAGGTTTCGACTAAAAAATACTTTTTTCAAGACAATTCTAGGTTTCCCTGAACCTATGAGAACTCTTTTTACAACATCCTCAACATGAGTATGGAATATCATACAAATGGTATGTGTTGTACATATTTAAATTTGGATTGCATTAAGAGAGGCATGATTCAACATGCATATCACATGCAATGTGATAACATGCTCAAACACAAAAATGGCCGAGAATTTTGTGTTACCCATTTATTAGGTCATATGTTACGCCGTATGACCACATATTCAAAATAAGATAGAATAAAATAAATAAACTATCTGCATACACAATTTAAAAGTACCTGTAAAATCACAGTACAATATTTCTTTCACCCTTACACAGATTTGGAACATTCTTGAATAATAACAATAAAAAAGTTGAAATTTATTATTATTCAATTATCTCTGTGAACATAGAATTTAACTGTTACAAGAAAATATGAATTATAAGTAGGATATAAAATTTGTTCTGTCTTTGCTCTTTATACAAAAAATTAGTTTTGTAAACTCTTAAAAAAATTGCGCTAATACGAATCGAGACGTCTGGTTTTAAAATTGCATGAATATGAATCAGTATGTTTGTTTTTTAAATCCTGTATATATGATTTGGGATGTTTGCTTTTTAAATCATGTAAATATGAATCGGGATGTGTGTTTTGAAAACCATGTGAATTTGAATCATAATATATAATTTTTAAAACACATTCATAAGAAAATCAATGGTGGATGTTAAAATGGAGTGAGTATAAATCGCAATATAGGATTTTAAAGACGGTGAATACAATTCATGATTGATTTTTTAAATCATTTTAACTTTAATAGCGATGTGTAATTTTTAAATTAAAGGGATACGAATTCCCACATTTGATTCCTTATACTCTGTGGAAATGAATCACAATTTTGAAATCAGTTCAATACGAATAGAAAAAAATAAGATTTAAAAAACATGTGAAGTAAGGAGTCATATATTGCATGAATATTAATTGTATATTGTGTTGGTGATAAATCATTTTAATGTGCATTGTGTTGAGTGATCTGCAGACTACTTTAACGCAAATCCCGATGTTTATTTTATAAATTGCTTTAATACGCTTTTACTCACCGAATGCACCAAGGAGTTAGCATTATCGTAGATACTTTTTAAGGAGAAAGCTCAATTTAGAATTTTTATCAAAAATATTGGAATTTTGGTTTTTTCAAGAAACAGCCACACTTGTAAATTAAAAAAAAGTGCACGCAAAATGTAAGAATTTTCACAGACGTATCTGCGCACAGCGTGCACTTATATTATTTATGTCTCCTACGTAGCTGAAAAGCAGAACTTGAAAAGAGCAGAAGGTAGAGTAAGGGGAGATCCTTAATGCTCCTAACTAATTTAAATGAAAAACAATCCTTTCTTGCTATCAACAGATGAGAAATATAGCTCATCACTTTAGCAATATTTAAGCTTTTCAAAAAATATTACAAATCTTATAATAATAACAAAATTAAAAAAATAATAATAATAAATTTAAAACACTATGAAATAAATTTTTTAAAAAAAGTTACAAATGTACAACAATGATTCAATAAACTTGCAATAACAGTACAGATACAAGACAGGGTTGCCACTAATGTCTTCAAAAAAAGTAAATAAATAAAAACTAATATTAATAATTCCCTGCACATATTATACAAATATATTAAGAGGAAACACATATTCACAGCACTTGTGAACTATATTAGGATAAAGATGTTAGTTTTAGCAGCTGGAAAAACTTGCAGGGTTCCCACTCAATTTCAGAAAAAAAATTCCTTGACTTTTCCAGGTATTCCAATGAAAATCCATACCATATTTTATCTATACTACGAAATTTTTCATTAGAAAATTTGGATTTTTTTTATTTGTTATGCAAAGTATTAGATTTTTTGTGTAAAATATATATCATTATATGAGGGAGGAAGCAATTCAGTATGCCTAAAATGTAAAATTTTTACAATAAATAATTGTAATTTATTTAACTCGAATCTCAATAACTTAGTAGAGCATTGCTATTGACAATTTTAAGACTGTTTTTTTCCCCAGGAATAATGAAGGAATTTTCCAGGTTTTTGTAAGAAAATTGCAACTTTTCCTGATTTTTGGAGTTAAAAGGCTTTCCCTGTTCTCCCTGACCCGTGGGAACCCTGACTTGGAGAAATAAGAAACAGCAACATAAAACAAATAATACTATAATAAATGGAATAATATAATATAGCTGAACTATCATCTGAAAATAGCCCATAGATTGGGCTTTGAGGGGTCTGCACTTTTCAAAAGACTAAAAATAAAAAATTAAATTCCCAGTTTGTAAGGAAAATTTCAAAATTCCCCGCATTTCCCCTGTTATTTTAGCTGATTTTTAAATTCCTTGCATTTTACAGGTTTTCCCTGTGAAGTGGCAACCCTTCAACAGCATCTAAGATTTTAGAATAACAATTTAAACTAAATTCAGATGCTTAAAATACTTACACAACATTTGGAGTTAAGGGATCAACAGCTTGTACAACTATGTATGAGTGTAAGAAATGAGACGCAATCATGGAGGGTAGAAATGGTGTATTTGTATCTTGGAAAACTATTGCAACAATATCATTGCCTATATGACGCTTTCTTTGGAGCTAGAATATTAATTAAAAAAATTTATGCATACATACTTTGGCTTAGTACTAAAGTACTGAAAAACATAGGATAATTTAACTTTAAACGAGACTTAATATGCTAACCTATATAAAAAATACTGGCATACCTGTTGTGAATCTCCTTCTGTGTAAGGTAACAAGGTGGAAACATGAAACATGATTTCAGAATCTTTGAATTGTGTGTAAACAGATTCTTCACCAGTCTGACCATACACGGCATCCAGGCCACCACGAAATCTGGAATGGAAATCAAAATTTAAAAGTATTCAGAATGCAAATTATTTTTTTGCAAGAGTAAGTAATACGAAAAATTTATCAAATGAATGAGATTTTTATCTAGCTAGTCTTATATTTTGTATACACTCAGTATTGTTACACAGCTTTGGTGATCACTTATATATGGCATAAGGTTAATTCGAAAATCCGACTATCAGTAAACCATTAATCGCAACCAACTTAGACAGGCTAGTTAAAAATCTCCATTATTTTCTGATCAGTCTCACATCCTTTAGGCTTATTACAATGAGTTAAGACACTAAAAAAAAAAAACATATCATTGATTGATTAAATAGCCTGACTTACTTCAGTAAGTTTGAGATGAGCCTATATACTTTCGTACTAATTAGAAATATTCATTGCTCAATTAGTCCTATTTACTACACTTTTTTATACAAACTAGTACAATACAAGGCTTTTATTGCAACAAACCACAACAAATTCAATTTGATCGAGTAAATTTTTGTACATTTTTTAATCAGTCAATTCACCTTTATTATTATCAGTATATAGGCTGTTAATAATAAGGTTGAAAACTATTGGAGACTTTTCAATTTAGCCTGATGCATTGTAAAATGATAGTGAATGTTTAAAAGAGCTGTTTTTCTAAAAATAGAAGTATGACATAGATGTTAAAAGTTGCTTAATTTATTGCAATTTATACTCCTTACCCTTTAAAATCCTTTAACTTTATTCTATTTCCCAACAAATCAAGAAACTCTTCCATTGCTGGACTATGTTTTCGATTGCCAAACAATTCTTCTTCGGTTGTCTAGAAGAAAATGTTTTGTGTAAAAAAATTATGCAATGTCACAGATAAAAAGATATGTTAAAAATGTAATAGATTTGAGCTGAAAAAAGCATACTTGACCATATTTTTGATAAATAATACCAAATTTGAAAGTTTTGACTAGGACATGTTCATCATACGCCAATAACATTTCAGCAGCCTAAAACACACCATGACATTTTTTTCGTTACACAAAAAGTATTCAAGATATTTTTTTAAAAAAACTCAAGATAATTACAATAAATTTAAATCAACTAATTGATTTAACATACACACACACATATTGTAATACATACACATGGTATGAAAAATATCTAGATTTAAAAAAAAAAAAAAAAAAAAAAAATTGAAAATTCAGTGAAATGTGAATTAATAATTGCTAAAGACACAATTAATGACTTAATCGGTAAAATAAAATGTATCAAAAAGGGACTTAAATGGGCGATTTATGCTTCATGTATAAATAATAATATCCACATTTAAAAAAATACACGGAAATCAATAATGATAACTATATATTGGGGTTTAAAGACAAAGAGTATCATGAGCATTTATTTCCCTTTCGTTATGCATGAAAAGTTATTTTTTTACAACAATTTTGCAAAAAAGTTTCGTGCAGAACAACTGCTGTTACAGCCAGCAAGACTGCGGCTGGAAAGAATATAAAAGTTTTTTCACATATCGGATTTTTTTATTTATTTATTTATTTTTTTACAGGAGTTTTGTAACATTCATCGAAAATGCTATGTCACCATTATTCTGCCACGGAGACCATATCATAAACATTATTTTTAATGGCTAAAGCTATTATACTAAAACATAAAAACAATACTTACCCGAGGAAATAGTATTGGCGTAAATTTTTCTGTTATGATATCTTCACACATAACCTAAAAATTAAAAGAAAAATAGTTTTAATTACACAGTAAAATATAAAAAGACATTTCCAAGTAATTTTGNTATATATATACACACACACTAGGGATGTAACGAGCATTGATTTGGCTGAATTTCTGAATATTCGGACAAAGAATTGGCCGATTAATGCCATTTTTTAACGAATTTCAAGACAGAAGTTATTTTTTGGATAATTAATATGATCTAGAGTTTAGCAGAATTTTCAGAAATTTATAACTCACTGACTCCAAAATGCATCTTTCCATAGTCATGGCCCATATATTAAATCAATGATTTGATTATTATTTTTTCATTTTGTTAATATATTTTTTCACAGCAAATAAAAAAAATAGTTAACCTTGTAGATCTTTGCTCTAATCACTGGATAATAAACCACTAATTTTTTGTGAAGCTATTCATATGTCTACTTTTTTTGTTGCTTTCTATTCTAAAAAATTAAAAAAAAAAAAAAAAAAAAAAAAAAAAAAAAAAAAAAAAAACTTTGTTTAGCATTTCAAAATGTTAGAGGAAAATGAAAACTCAAACAAATTTAGGTACAACAATAGTACAAATTATGTTTAAGCCAGTAAGCACTGAAGTTCAATCAATCCCATTCTTTCATTGAGGTGCAAGATCATTACTAGATCACTTTGCAATAATTATGAAAAATAAAAATGTTTTCCTTAAAATCCAATATTTGTATAAAATTAACTAAAAAAATAAATAGAAAATACTTGAATAAAATTAAAACATTTTTAAGGGAAAAATGGCATTTTAATTTAAAGAACAAATGCAAAAGAGATCCATTGATGAAATTTAGTCTCATAATTTTTCTCTCCAGACTGATCACAGTCCCCAGAACTGAAAAGTGACACCCATGTAAATGTATGCTTTCTAATAAATGACAAGAAACCATGAAAAAAATTGTATGAAAATCAGTTCACACAGTCATTATTATTAAATGCTACTTAAATCAAAGATTATAAGCATGAAAAATAAACTTTTTAATCTTTAAAAACTGAGATAGGATTAAAAAAAAAAAAACCTTTACAAAAGAATATAGTAGGTGATTTGTAATTCCCTTAAAAGTTAACCTACCTTTGATATTTGTACAGGATTGAGTGAATTAGCGGTAGCTTGGTCAATATGGAATACATCATATAAAAGTCCATCTTTGGTTCTAAAATAACAAAAATGTAAAACTTTTTTTTAGTTGCTTACAACATTCAATTGAAATTGTTAAATCATAGCACTACTTTTCAGGTTTAAGTGTTAAAATGCAGAATAAAATAAAATTAAACAACTATGGACTAATGTAGGGGTTAACTGTACAAGAATCAGAATAAAAAAGTGTTCTTGTTAAAGAAAAAACTATCAAAAAATTTTAACAATAAACAAACTTTTTAAAAATATTTTGAAAAAGCAATGGGGAAATATAAAGCTATAAATTTTTTGCACTCTTATCAATAAATACCCACATATACCTAAAAAGAACATGAAGACTTTTTATTTTTAATAAAATTTTTAATTTTTATTTAACAGTTAAAAATTTTATCATCCATTTTCTTGCAGAATTCTCCTTAAATTATATGAAATACATTTATATTGTACTTCACATCATATTGTACTATATGGGTGACTTAAAGTGTTTAAATTTTTGCAAAAGTTCTACAACTTTAAGAAATTTAGAAGCTTCGGATATACAGAAATAAAAAAAAATACCTGATTAGAACTTTAAGTTGTTCTTGACTAGAGGTACTATCTACCTTAAGCGACATGACCAGTGGACCGCACACATCATCCAGTGCAATGAAATTAAAATGCTCCTGAAAAATGTCAATTTTATTAAATGTAGAAACATGCGCAATAACATTGAAATTAAATGTTTCACATTGTTTAAAAAATACAACTAAAAAATAAAAATTTTAAAAGTTAAGAGGAAGTCAGTAATACAGAGGTGCCGACTTTATAAACTGGCTATCAGCAATCAGAAGCACAGTAATATAGAAATATATACAGTTAACATTTACGAAATTCAAATTAGTGTATATACTATTTAATGCTATATAGGTATATAATATTAATAAATTATGCATGAATTTACTATTGAATAAAAAAGCAACACCTAGATAAAAGTACTAAATTAAAATTATAAAACTTTAAAGTTTTATATTTCATTATAAAATAATAAAATCAAATTATTTAGAATCTATGTTCTAGTTTTAGGTTAACTAGCACTTATTGCCTTCTTATCATCCTGCATTTGAAACTGTATAAATTTTTGCTCACAGCTTTTCAGATGAGTAAATAATCTTTTGCTTTTCTATAAGGACAGAAGATCAGTTTCAGAATAGCCTGTTGTGAAAATGAGAATGATGAAATTTCTTGTTTCTATTAAATTGTTTTCATTTTCCCCTGTGGCAGAATTTTTTCAAGCTATTTGCGACAAACCCTCTAGCTCTAATACCTTTCTGCAAGATACTTTTAATAATAACAAACATATATGTTATTAATTTTTTTAAAAAAAAGCGCTGTAATTACAAAAAATACCATAATATATTTTTTTAAACTGAACATGTAATAATTTTTTATTCTAATATAATGGGTGATAATCTTGCATTCTGTTGGGGGGAATGCACAAATTACTTCCTTCTTCGCATTTTGTAAATAATCATCACAATAAAAAAAAATTAAAAGCCATGAAATCCATGGAAATGATGTCTGAAAAAAAAAAAAAAAGATTGGCGAGGGAACCACACGAATCGGACTACTTAAATGTGTGTTTCGTTTCAAGAGTATGTCATTGTAATAAATAATATCGGATTTAAAAACTATGGAGAAATCAATAGCAATAACTGCCAAATATTAGGTAAAATTATTGCCTTAAAAAGTAAATAGTCAAATGCACGATTGGAATTTCCCATATTGTTTGCAATATATCGGGATATTTAAAAACCACCTGAAAATCAATCTGCCGAAAATATATTCGAAACACTACATTGATTTACGATACTATTGGCGTAAATTGAGCGCATTAAAAAGTGATTATCTAAATGCATGATTCAAATATTACTTGTCTTCTTCTTCTTCTTCCTTATCCCCAAAATTAGCAGGGCTAAACTATGTCCATGAAATTCATCACCCGGAGGAAGTCGGCCACCATAAGTGTGTTATTAAGAATGTCCCTTTTGTCCAGACCTAGACAGTCCAGTATATGTTGGGGGGAAGCCTGCATGTTGTGGCACCTGGGGCAGTTAGGGTAGATTTTAATACTACCCTCAAAAGAAAGGGACTTAAGGTGGCCGCTGATAAGCCTGGTAAGTGCAGTCTGGTCCTTGCGGTTGCACCGAATGTTGAGTGCACCTCCTGGACTGGTGCTCTGGTACCAGTGATGTTTGGGGGGTACGAGCCAGGAAGCGAGGTCTTCTTTTTTCTTTTTTGATGCCAGCTCCATGAAGGTGAGGGAATTTGGACTTATCAGATTTTCTTTCGTCCCCTCCTTAGCCAGAGTGTCGGCGATGTCATTGCCCAGAACCCCAACGTGAGAAGGGATCCATTGGAGGTGGACTTCACGCAATCGTGAGAGGATTTTAATTTTTTGTAGGATTGAAGCACCTGTTTTGTCTCTCACCTTCCTCCAATGCGTTAAGTATTGTATGGAGCTGAGGCTGTCAGAGAGGATCCAGATGTTATTTTGATCCTGTAGTGTTAGAAGAAATATTACTTGTAAATTTCTATAGAAAAGAAAAGTGCTTTTTCTACAACAAAAATAAAGAATTTTTCGCTTTCCAAAAGAGAATCTTTCTACAAGAACTATGTAACGTCCTGCGACAATGTTGCTGCGATTCTGCCACATGGTCATTTTCTATTTATGGTTTTTAGAATTTTTTAAGGAGACATGAAAAAGAATTATTGTCGATAAGTTACAAACAACAAAATTTCCTATCTCTTGCTAGTACAAGTAAATCATAATAGTTGGTACTTCTGGGAATAAATTATTCATGATGAATTTAATATATCAATAAAAAAAATAATATTTCTCTTCTAACCTTTCCATAAAAGAATTTTCTGAATAATTGAGCAGTTTCATCCCTTTCAATTTTCAGAAGAAACTCATGCTTTGGTAGAATGGGTCTTCCTTGAGTGTCTAATGCATGACTGTGGTGAATACCATCAATCCAATATCCACCACCAGGAGGTAATACTATTAAAGGATAAGGACCCGATTTCTTCAATATCTGCAATGCATGTAAAAGTCATTAAGAGAAATGAATTTACAATATAATAAACAATTTTATGAGTTATTTTTTATTATTAATTAAGACAATACTAAAACCAAATATAACAAAATATATATGTCAGCTAAAATACAAAAACAAATAAAAAAATTATAATTTACTAATAAATACAAATTATACTTTACTTAAATGCTATTTTATTAAGTTGTTATGGATATATAATAATTAGCTTTCAAATTTAAATCAGCTTTACTTGACAGTTAGTAAGTAATAACTCAAGTTATGTGGCGTGGTTTTCAGTAGGCTTGAATTAGCAAAACAGAATGTTGTTCTCATTTGCATTTCATTGTATTATTAAGCACAAAAGAAAGGTTGCTATACCTGGCATTCTTAAAATACATAGAAAAGTTTCCAATATAATAAATATATCATAATAATCAAGAATATATCAAGAAAAAAAAATTCTATTCAACACTGGAAAAAAAATTGCATAAAATGTAGCAGCTGTATCAGAAAAGGGCATTCTTCCAAAAGAAATATGTAAAAACTTTACAAAATAAAAGAAATACAAACAGACCACAATACATTTGTTTATTTGACCTTTAAAACAGGTTATATTACAAACATAAGCCAGTGTTCTCCTGAAACGTTTTTAGAAGGGTGACTAGAAACAAAAAAATTTTAGAAACGTAAACATAAAATAGTATAAGAGGGTAATTTAAAAATTATTGAGGATCAAATTCAGTTATAACATAATATTACACATTTTGATAAATTTTTAGTGGTAAGTGCCATTTCAAAACTCAAAGTGCCCTGCCCTTTTTTATTCCTAGGGAGAACTCTGCAAAAGTAAATGTTTCAATTTGAATTATTTTTATGAGTACCATTTAAATATATAGGCTTTAAATATATAAATCAATATATAGGCTTTTTTTTTCATTAACAACAAATAATTTAATATTTAAAAAGTCAATAATATTTTTGTGATTTATTTCAGTTTCATTTTTTACAAAAGTAGTAATGAACAAATAAAAAGATATGTAATGTTAGTTTTAATTTTCCTTTATTTGGAAATAAGTTTTTTTTTTTCCTTCAGGTTTCTCTTTCATTGTGGAAGTTGATGAATAATAGCGATAAGTAATGATAGAGTTAGAAAGTTAAAAAAGATATTTTGAACGCTTAATAGGTATTAAATATATTCAACAAACTAAATGCATTCATTATAAGTTTTCAGTTTGAAATGGGACATAATTGGCTTTTTAGTTATTTTTTGAAAAATATTTTAAAAATTTTAAAAGTAATATTCGATGCATATTAAAAATAACATTTAATAATCATTGCATAAATAATTAACTGAACAGATGATAAATGCCACAACCATTTTACATTAGCAGAAAAACATACCTGGCAGAGAATGCTAAATTCAGAAAATACAAAGTTTAAGAGTTTTTAACTAATTGCAACTTTACTGCAATAGCATGCAGCACATTAATAAAAATTTAAAAAAACAAATAACATAACATAATTTTTTTCTGTAAAATTACCATCTTTTACAATAATTTAAAATAAAAAAAGGTTATTAATCTGATAAAAAAGGCTTTTATATCATAGTAATTCTTTATGGATTTATTAAGCAGCTTACAGTAGAAATTATATGGAAATCAATGAAACAAAATGCTATTCAACTGTACTGACTAAAAAATAATATTTTAACATAATAAATGAAATAAGAACAATAATTCAAATAAAAATATTTGTTGAAATAATTTACAAGCAATGATGAATCAGAACATTTGCACCTTTATGAAAATGGACAACTTTAAATTTCAATTTAATAGGCGCTACCTTCCACAAAAAACTTTTAATTTGAAACAATTTGATTAATAAAAATTTATACAGTTTAAAATTATTGTTGTAAAAAATTTTTTTAATCAAATAATGCAAACGTAAAATAAATTTTTTGCAGAGAATTTTCCCTTTCTTTCACATATTAAAAACATATTTTAGATGAAATTATACTTTTTCCAAAAATTTCCCCCCCAAAATAGGAATTTGACCGACTCTCTTTAAAACATAGCAATTATTGATGCAATAAATGACATTAATCATAATTCAGAAATGGCATAATCTTACCTCCTCCAAAAGATCATTTTCTCTCTTCATTTTAAGCTGTGGACCAGGGCTCTAAAGATGAAGATTCAATATCAATTAACAAGTTAAATTAGCCATAAAAATAATGGCAGTCAAATGACTAATGAAATAGGTGACATGTATAATTAAATAGCGTCTTTATAAATGAGCTAAGAGGCAAGTTCTTATGAGTAAAAAGCTCTGCAATCAGCCAAAAATTGTTAATATCAGCTTTATAATTTGAAAGTTTCCAAGTAATATCGAGATAATTATTTAAGAAATGAATTTTATATGCGAATGATTTTGGGATAAAAGATTGAACCTAAGCTATACTAATTTTTTGTTGTTGACTAAACATCTAATGGGAACACTTAAATACCTTTCAATTCGGGCACTTAATTTTGCCCTTTGAGTCAAGCCTATAATGAACACATTGGCACAAAATATTACTCATACACTATCGGGTAAAAAGTATCCAGGCGCCCACCCATATTTTCATGGTTTTGTCTGAGTCCCTTAGTTCTAGCGGTTGGAAATAGGCTGAGTTTGCAACTTTATGGCAATAATTGGGGAAAGCCTAATTCTCTCCCAGGAGGATAAGTGCTACATTCACACATCAAGATGTGCAGCCTGCAATGGTTTGATGAAAAATGTGTTCAAAAATTGGACAGCTTTCTCAGAACCCTGATCTAAATCTCATAAAGCATCTTTGAGATGAATTATAATTCAGTTTATACAGCCAGCCAAACTCACTTTAGCTATGATGGACGTTTGGAAGTCAGTTTTGATGGCTACTTATAAAAAACTGGAGAAAATCTCCCCCTGGCATGTGCAGGCTGTCATGGATGTGAAAGGAACACCAACATCTTATTAATAAATGCCTCAAAACTCCTTGAGTCTGTACCAAGGGGTTTTCTGATACTTTTAGCTAGATAGTGTATGAGACCCTACACAGATCATAGCTTTCAGATAAACTGTGAAAAGGTTTTTGAATTTTCTTCTTTCATAACATAAAATGATGAAACTTCAATTTAAAAAGCCTTCCACAAGGCTTGTCAGACATAGTGCTTTGTTACGAAATTCTCTTGTCTCGGGTATTTGGGTTCAAAATCATAAGGTTACAGAGGAAAAGATAATAGTTGTGCACGTGTACATCTGCAAGCAGCACAGTTCTTACTTAGTTTTTCAACAAAGAGGATAAGATAGTAAACTTTGTTAAATTTTTTCAACGAAAGACTATACGGACATTTCTCTTAGTAATTTACTATGTTTTTCAATTTTTACCATTTTATTATGATTATCAATATGAAATGTTACATAGGCATATTTTATAGAATACTTGTTCTTTTCCCTCTGCTTGCAAACTAACAAAAAAAAAAAGTAAATTGTGAATTAATAAAATAAGTACAAGTAGCCTTACATTAGAAGTTTTTAAAAAATAAATAAATAAATAAAACAAACTAAATCTTAATAATTTAACTTGTTTAAAGTTAAGCTCTAAATTCAATTTATGTAAAATTTGACAAATAAATTTTTGCTACCCAGTATTAAATTTAGACATATGTTTACATTATGCTAATTAAATCTAGTTTCAAAACAATAGAGTCAAATCAGATAATAAAAGGACCTCAAACTAATGTAATGAAAAAAGGAAATTTTAAAAACAATTTTATCAGCTAAACTACATACACCTGTTATGGCCATTTAAAGGTAAAGCCATGGAAGAAAAAAAAGGGCTAAGTATTTGTTTATGGCTGAATGGTGTCTAACTTTCTATATCGAATAAAATGAACTGTTTTTTATTTCCAATAAAAAAACCTATACTGTTTGGGTATCCCTAGTTGTATTCTTGAACCTAAAAGGTATACATGATTTTTTGTTAAAAATTTGCATTGTAAATATCTTAATTAAGATTTCATAGGAACCAGTCTTTTATGTAATAATTCTCCTTTATATTGAATCGGACATGAGATATTCATGCTATTTAAATTATTATGTAAATATATTTTTGGAAATTTTGAACTTCTCACCAATCAATAACGGGGGAAAAAAATCTTATACATAGGTGATTCTTTTTAAACAATGACAATTCGGACAAAACAATTTCTTCAAATTTAAAATCTGCAAAAAAAATTTTTTTTTGTATACTTCTTTAGTTACATTTATTAATATCTTACAGACAGCAGTGTAGTTTATTGACATTTTCTCGAAGAAAAAAAATAAATAAAATAGAAATTAACCAAATCTTGAATGCCAGGAAAATGACATATTAGCTTAGAAGTTTAAAAAACAGTCATTTTAAGTTAATAGTAAGTAACTCAACATAAGCCTTTATGTTAGATGGACCATAAATTGCTTAAATTAATTCTTTTTATCCATTATAGAAAGAATCAAAAAAATTTTTGTTGCTGATATGCACAGAATAAAATTGTCTATAATAATCAATCATTAAATAAATAAATACCTTTGATTACATCCAAGCATATTACAATCATTCATAAACTTGGCATTAGGTTAATATTTGCTTTCCCCCCTTACAGTATTAGTACTTAAAAAAAAAATTCTGGTAACACTTCAATGTCCTGGCATTCATAAGCCAGGAAAATGACAAATTCGCCCTTTTATAGCATATAACTTTAATTTAATATTTTGGCCTAAGACGTATATATTCTGCAGAAAACAACAGGCTTTCTTAAAATCACTCAGATAAATCTATGTAGTTAATGTTATTAATGATTTCAAGAAGTCAGGAAAATGACAACACAAAAACCTATTCACCTTGAAAAAATTTTTGAAATAGATTTCGAACCAGAAAATTAGTTCTTTATTTATGCAACAAGACATGCTCATATAGGAGGGTATCTAATCAATCTATTAATATAAGATATTGATTGCTGGCTCTATCTATTTTGGTTATAAACCACTAAATAAAAGTAGCCAGGAAAATGACAGATTTTCTTGATAGAAAAAATAATTTTAAACTAAGTTTTTGCAAATAATACCCTCTGCGTATATTCTAGAAATGCTTACACTGCTTGAGATAAAAAAAAATTAGATACTGAAAAATTTATGGGAAGTTTTGAAGCTAGTCATTATTGAAAACATTGTTTGTGACATGCCAGAAACATGAAATTTTGAAGTTCAATTAAATTTTTTAACTGTACAAAACATTCAATGCTAGTGCAAAGTCATTTTAAAATGCTAACAGCAATGCTATTTATCAATTTTTTTTAAAAAAAATGTTCTTTTAGTATTATAGTATTAGATCTTGAAGCAAGGGACAGTGAATTGTCATATTTCGTGAGAATCAGCCATATGTGTATATATATGCTAGCATAACTCTTTAAATTTATTTTTGAAAAGATAATTCTATTTTTGCAATGACATTTAGAAAAAAAAAAGTATCATATCTAGAGGATTTCAATATATTGCTGTAAGACCCACAGTTAAAGTAATTTAAAATTGATTCAGGACCAAATGATTTTATTTCATACAGCTAAACAATTCAGTAACTAATTGCAATGCTAATAAACATAAAATTAAATGCAAAAAAAAGTAACTTAATTTTTTCACACAAATTAAAGCCAAATAGGCAGCAAATGTTTCATTAAATGAAACAATTCAACAATGATAAATAGGCAAAAAAGTTAACATAATTCTAATATGATAAACAGGCAGTAAATGTCAAAAGAAAATTGAAATAATTCTTTTTAATACAACTGATATAAAAGTTTATTACTTTGCTGAAAGCAATAAAAAGTAATGAAAGTATTTGGTCTTTCAATATAAGAAGCATTAAAATTTATATTTATTCTATCAAACTAATGCTAAACGTGTTTAATCTTCGTTAACTTAAAGCAATTTTTAAAATTTTTTTAAGACTATAAATTTCTTTCAATGTCTAAGAATTTTCAAAAAATTTATAATTGTTTTATCAAATTTATCGTTAAATATATTAAAAATTCTATAAGCTTAAAACTTTATTTCAAATTGTAAGAAAATTAAATTTTCTTTTTACCTGCAAACTGTAAATTTGTTTTTTATTATATAATTTATTACATAATCTTATATATTTTTTTACATAATATTTTCCTACATAATTTTTCATTACATAATTTTCCATTATAAAAATTAGTGTTAAAAACAAAAAAACTTTTACATAATATAATAAAACTATATATAGATTTCTTTAATTATTTCGCATCATTTATGTTTTTTTTTTAAGCACTTAGAAACAAGTTCTTTCTTTCTTTCTTTTACTAACAATAACATCAAACTGACAATAACTTTAAAATTAATTGGCTAATTTTGAACCAAGTGCTGCACAATCAGTTAAATCACATCAAGATTTTTATCAACCAAGAACACAAATGCACTGAACATGAAGCATATTTACCATGAGATAGGAATCAGAAGTGGGGGGAAGGGGGGAAAGAGGAAGGAAAACAATATAGTGCTGGCTATGCTTATGCAATCAAGTGTTATTTTTGACTGGACTCTCTGAAGTAAGAAAATCGCTCCTTATTACTATTCATCCATTCATTTAATTTGTTACAAGGCAGGATGTAGAAGCCATGATGGAAATATAATATAACGCTACGGAGCACATACAAACACAGGCATATGGAACAAGCAGAGGGAGGTGTTTAAGAACAGAACAACTAGTTTAACTTTCCAAGGCCACAGGTGCATGTGAGGGGGGAAACTAGGAGCCACGTAACACACCTGCAGTGATGCATGGATTCAATTGGCCCGTTTTGAGTGGATGCCGTACCTGTAGCCTCACTTAAAGTTTTCGATCTCTGACACAGTTAAAAAAGACCAGTTGGCCCAATTTGAATAGGATGCAGAAGAAAACGATTTTCCCCTTACGGTCAATTAAATTCGATCTATAATTAACGATTCTTCATCTAATAATAAATATCGTTTTCATTCACCTTCTATTACGCGAGTGAAATTTCTAACCGCAGGTAATAAACAAACAGCGCGGGAGCAAAGGGTGAAAGTTCCGAACCGAAGAAGTTCGGCGAAAATGAAAAGAATGCCTCTTCCAA